TTTCATACTCCATCTAACATATTTTTATCAAAAATATAATTTCATTATATTAAGTAAAAACTCTATATTTTTAGAACTCAGTCTTCTTTGTCCTTCTAACTTCTCTTCTTTTTCTGAAAATGACATCTTCGTTTTTACAATATCATTATTTGGTGATCCCTTATTTTGTGAGGATCTACCATCCACTACCTCTAACTTGTTCCCCGCACGTACTTTTGCTTCTCATTTTGTTATACTTTAAGTTGGAAAAAAGAATGGTGCATAGGTGATATTTCTAGGAAGATATTATTGTTTACTGGAACTTAATTTTCAAAATTAACTTCAAATACTTTTCAGAATTAAACTTTTAGAAGAGGACAAACTATAACTCCAGAATTTCTTTTGGATTGTTATTTTTTTTTTCGGAATCTATTATTTTCTTAATTGAACTTTGTTAAGCAAACAATGAATTCAAGAGCCCAATCTCAACCTATCACTAGAGTTCCCAATTTGTCAAGAACCCTACGTCTGCAATCGACCACCCCAATTCATTATGCAGAGTTATTATGTAGAAGTTGACAAAAAAAAGGAGGAGAACGAGAGATTCAAGTGCCGCAAAAATAAAGTTGGTTTTCCATCATGCAGAGTTGACAATAATGAGGTCGATCTTTTAAAATCATGAACTTGATAAATGTTTCAAATTCTTATTCCTTATGTTATTCCCTATCTCAAAAATGCCATACACTGACATAGAAAGAGCATCATAGAACTTGGGTTAATCATGCTTACAGGGAAGGGGTTGTTGTTCTTTTCTTATAATAGATGCATTGCCTAAAAGAAAAGAAAAAAAATGACATTTTTAAAATAAAACATTACAAAAAATTAATAAAGGTGTGAAAAACAAAAAATGAGGTGCAAAAAGTAAATCCTGTTAGTGTAAGCAATATTAAAACTAGAAAATGAACATGGGCCTACGTTTGCATTGTACATGAAAGAGGAAGGACCCTCAAAATAAAGTAATGGAGGCCCAGAAAAAGAAGTCCAAAAGAACCTTTATGTGGTCTGGTTTGGCAATTTTACTACCCCATTAATCGTTAATGTCGATTTATGCAGTTCAACATTTAATTCAAAGATCTAATACCGTAAATTAAAAGAACAAAAACAATCTTCATGTGTTCTCGTTTGGTAATGTTACCCCATTAATCGTAATCTGGATTTATATAGTACAGCATTGATTTCCCATATCCCATGTTGCCGGTCTCGACTGTTCAAGGTTGCTTTTTGAGAGATTCATGATATGTGAATGAAAAACGAAATGTTTTTAGTTCACATGTATAAACTCCGAAAAAACAACCGAATTCACTGGCATTAAAGTCTTCGATATCCCGTGATTTGTTAAAAGCGAGATCAATTCCCATTCCATTCATTTTCATCTCTTCTGATCTATATTCCATCTCATGGCATTGGCATCAAAAGAAACGAGGAAGAAACAAAACCAGAATGTGAAGAGAAACACAAATGGGGTGGTGATCACAGTGTACACTGAATCGGAGAAAACTTGCTTCATAAATCGATCAGAGAAAGTGACCATCAAAACATATGAAAGAACCTATAACTATGATCGTCGAGCTATGCTTCTTGCTCTTTCTCGACAACTTAGAAATGAAGGGTCCCAAAAGGTTCAGTCACGGTCTAAAACTAAAAGCAAGGTAAATTCCCTCTTTTTTCCTCTTTTTTTTTTTACTTCATGTTCCAATTACGTGTAGGGAAATGCATGGCACAATATAATCAATATTAATATTAGAACTTTGCAAATTTAGCGGAAGGGAATGTGGTTACCTCAGTTGGTTCGAATCTGCTCGGATTCCAAAGAGAACAAAGAGAGAAACGAGGTCAAGAAGGGAAAGTCCAGTGGGAAAAACTTAACCCCATTTTTGGTAATACAATATTCAATATTGATTCGGATTGTGTATTTCACTATTTCGATTCGGATTCCAAAACTTTGATTTTGTCTTGTTTTTACGTGTTTGTTTTTAACCTTGTTTGCAGCGTAAAGTGAAGAACACGTTGAAACTGTTGTCATGCAAGGAAATTTAGTGATAAAGAAGATTATATTATAATCGTGGTCTTATGCAGGGCGTTGAATATATTTCAGTGCCTTGTTTTTGTTTTCTTTCTTCACTATTTCTCATATCGGAATTCGACATGTTCTTTGGTTTTTCTTAAGCTTTGATTGAGCTCTTTCCACTCCAATTGATATTGCCTTTCTTTTTAGCAGAAAATCTTTAGCTTGAAACACGAACATTGAAAAAGTTAAAAAAGAAAAAATCAAGGTGGGGAAAAGTACATATTATAGAGTTGAATGGATAGTAGCATTAGACCATATTTAACAGTGAAAAAGTTGCTTAAATGAGAAACAATATTTATTTAATGATAAAACTTGATTTTGTAACGTTTTTTTAACAAAAATAAATAAAATTTACTTTTTTTTGGTTGTTTGTGAAAAAAAATATTTTTTTACAGATTTATAAAAAAAGGAGAACTAACACTTACAACTTGTATCTATCTCTGTCTCAAAGAAATAAGTAAATGTTCAAACTTGCACCATAAAAGTAATTTAAATGTAGTTATTAAAATTTGGAATTTGACTCTTATAAAGTGAGAAGATAAAAATCTATATTTATAAATTCTTAGTTCAAATCAACAGTAGATAAAACTTTATTTTCTCATTTTACATGTAACTTAATTCTAAAATTTGAGAAACAAATAAAGATGGGTAAGATCCGTTGCTTTCTCAAATGATAGTCATATTTGGAAGATTAGAGAATGTTGGAGAGAACATGTGTACTGTAACTCATTCTCATCCACGATTCATCCGCCGAATTACATTCTGGAAGGACCAAATCATTGAGATTGAACTGAAGGAATGCCATTTTATTTACAGGTCATAAGATGATGTTTGATATTTGCAATTTGCACACCTCAAAGTTTACACCTTTTGTTTGCATACCTCAGAAAGAATGAAATTTTGTATTTAGCCAGACCCAGATCAGTTCTTCCTTGGATAAAAATGAATAGCAATTGTTGGCCTACAATTACAATGATGAATGTGATGTTAAGTTTAAATTTTCAGGAGCTTAAAACTACTTAACATATAAAGTGAATCATTAGACTCTTTAAGTTGTTGAACTTAGAATATTAATTCTTCCTATATGTTTGGATTAGCCCAAAAATAAATAAATTGTTTTAATGATTAAATATTATAATCAATTATTAATAATATTGTCTGCTATGGAAAGTTTCTATACAAATTTAGACGGATACAAAAGCAGGTTAAATTTTATTGGTTAAACAGTGAATAGAGAATATAAAAAAAAAATTAGAGAACTGACGGAAATTATGGGAAATTGATTTTGTAAATTTTTATGTGGAATTTTTTTTGCACCATTTAGCATTATTTATTAATTATATAAAATAAATTTTATGTTTGAATATATAAAATGAGAAGTAAATTTAATTTTTTTAAATTACTTTTTCTGTGATAAATTTAAAAAAAAATAAAATTATATATAATAGTTAATTTATATTTATAATAAGTAATTATTAAGAATAAAATGAGAACATAAAAATTAACTAAAATTAAGCTATTAAAATGCGTAATTATTTAATACATTTCTACCCTGTGTACTAAGTTAAATTTTTTTAAATAACTAACTCAACATTAACATTCGAGAATCACGTGTTGTGTTAACTATTTTCATTAATAATTAAATAAAAGTGGTAGCACAAATTTATTTAATAAAGTTGAGAAACAAAATTTTTAAAAAAAATTACTAAGATATCAAAATCACACATGTAATGTAATAAAAATACTACAAAATAAATATTAGAATGTGTTTATTAACACTCATTTAAATAGTTTTTATTTAAAATACAACTTTTACTCTTGAAATTAGATTAATAATAAAAATATATTACATTATTTTTTATATATGATATTTAAATTCTATATATTTTTTAAAATTTCAGAATGGTGTAGGTACAAAAATATAAAAAAAGTGGTAAAGTGTCAAAGATTGTTAATGACAATTTTTCAAAAATATTAAAAAATTAAAAAAATCAGAGGTTACTGATAACAATTTTTAAAATAATAATTAAATATTTAAAAAATATAAAAAAAATGGTCAATGGCTAAAAGTCATGAATGACAATTTTTGAATTAAAAAAATTATATTTCTGTAATTTTACAAAAAAAATAAAATCATATTTTTGTAATTTTTTAAAAAAAATTAAAAAAGAGCGTAGAAACATTTTATATAATTTTTTATCCGAAACATAGTCCAGAGAAAAATGCTAACAGCTGAAAGACCTACAGACAACCTGCGGGTCGGGCCGCACGCGGGTCCTTAGCACAAATCAGCAAGAGGTTCAACCAATGCTTAGCATTTATCGATGGTGATCAAATCCACAGTGATACTGATACTATAAGGAAAATGCTAAAAAGAATATAAATAGAAATATTTTGTTAGAAGACACAAAAATAAACTCACTCCCATTAACAAGGCCTTCCTTTTATAAGATATTACTTTTTAGAACATTTTTAAAATTTTTATAAATACTTTTTAAAACTAATAGAGATAAATGTTAGTAATAAAATGAAATTCAATGATATTAAATAAAAATAAAATTAGTATGTTACAATATATTTTTAAAAATTAACTAACTTTAATTATTATTCTTGATTTGCATAATTTATTGAATGTATCTTAGAGCAATAGCATAAAAAAACCGCATAATCTCTAGGCCAGAATTTGAAATAGTTCAAACATCTGCGAAAAAGTCAAATTACCTTACCGCATCAGCTCAACAATTACCAATAGCGAACACATGAATGACATTCCATATTTCTAACACTATCAAAGATGAATTATTATACAATAATTCAAACTGTACAGCAAGTAAATCATCATAGGAAGAATAAAGCATCACTTCAAAATGAAATTATTTGGGACCATCTCGTCCCTAATCCCCTGTCCAATTCACCACTTTGCATGACCGAATGAAACCAGTCCAACCTATGGGATCTAACAGTCATAATGACCTGGATCTCCTAAACCTAGAAATCAGGGAGGCAGTGAGCATTCTAAAATTGCCTTTTGTACAGTCTACTTAAAAAAAAAAAGAGGGAAGTTGTCATACCACATCAATCTATAGATGAGATGGTACACAACTAGAAAAGGGGTCAACTGCCATACTCTGCCAATTAAATTATAAATTGCTCTGGCATAGCAACAAAACTAGCCATGCCAAGATCAATGGCATACTATTTGCAGAAGTGCAGCTTTTCCCCCACATTTCTATAGTTTGTCTTTGATTTTACCTTCTTGCATTTGCTATCCTATGCCTCCGTCGTCTTCTAGACCTTCCTAACAGTAGCCTGTGCAGTCCACGTCCAGAGACAGCAGCAGAACCTGTAGGTGCAACACTCTGCAAACCAAAACGATCAATGGCAAAAGAATCAGCAGCACGGTCCTGATTATACCTAATGTGTGACAAAAAATGGCCAGTTCTCCCCAAACCGAAGGACCTCACTGAGAAGAAATCATCCTCCAGATATTCCTCATCAGAATCATATTCGTCACTATAAAAGGTATGTTCATTTGGCTCCAGTACGTAATCCCCAAGTACCATAGCCCCTGGTGTCGAAGATAAAATTGTGCTAATCACATCATTCCGTTCTCTTTCACACTCAAGTCTCTTCCATTTTTCTTCTCTTATTGGGTCCACCTCTCGTGGTCGTGAGAATGGATGCTTAGACCTGACATGCTTCCTAAGTTCCTTGTAATTCCCTACAAAGGAGCAATCATCTTGCATGCAGCTTCTTTTCTTGGCATTCAAAGACTTCCGTGCTGCTTCAACTACTGTCCAACCTTTCACCTGCCGGCGACAAAGGGGGCAAAGAAGCTCAGGAACTTCTGTATTGTCATTAGGGTCACCTGTGCTTAAATCAAAATTTGAATTGTCTGTTTCAAGCCGAAAACTTTGAACAGAAGTTGCTTTTGTGTATGCCTTTTTGTACTGTTCAAAACAGTTTGAATAGCGATGACTAGTAGCACACATGTAAGGGCGACAACCCTTGTCATAGGATGAACAAAGGAGAAGGATAGCATTATGAGGGACCTCCATGCACACTGAGCAGGTTGCATCTTCCCAATCTTTCTTTTCTGATGCTTTAGAAAACCTCTTCTTTACATTAACATCTTTCAGATTTTTTCTTGCACAAGTTAAAAGACATGGGGTTGTCGTGTGACCTTGACACCGGGACTTGCACCGCACCTTACCATCTTTAGCCATTTACAAACTGAACCTGGGACTGATCAGATAGAGGGGGTGATATAAAAAGGACAGACATTCTAACACGATACATTAAAATGCTGGTCAATCCAAACACAATAAATCAAATGTCAAAAGTGCATATTTCATATGATACCACTTATACAACTTTGCAGATTTTTTTTTAACAAACCATATATAGGTACTTGCCACAATAATCTGTAGTTACATCTAAGCCACAATAGCTTTTGTAGTATCAAGATCAAGATTATAAGAAGTATATGTCTAAGTAATAGTAGAAATACAATATTATGTCATCCCTGCTCACAGTAATTAATACTAACCATGTGACTTGTAACTAAACTAATATAGAGCAAGGTGGTTAAAATTGTGTTTGCATGTTGGATCATCTGCTCTAATGAGTTTCTTAGACATTTAGGTGTAGTGTGCCACTGCAGAGCGTTTTCCAAGCCAACTCAAAGTGGAGTGGCATGCCAACTCGTTGAACGGGACTGGAATGGCACTCCAAAATGAGTTATAAACTGCATGCAAAGTGGGCTGGGTTCACAACCCCCTTCTAAGAAACCCTATTTAAGTCCCTTTCATATTGAGCAGCCTCTCTTTACCCAACTAATACCCTCTGCGTCGTTTTGCTACCCAATAACACCTCTCTATCCCCTCTCTCCCTACCACTGCAATTTTGCATGTGATCCCCTCTCCCTCATGTTCAACCTCTCCCAAAAACACCCCTCTCCTCTTCTCTGCTTGTTGATGTGTGTTTTCTGTTGCTGTTGTTGGCTTGCATTAGATGTTTAGAGTTAGACTATTTTTGTTTATGCTGTAGTTTTAGGTGCTAACCCAAAAGAATCTTAGAGGAAAGTATTAAAAGAGACTTTTTGATCAATAATATTTTTTAAAATTTAATTTTGGGTCGAGCTCAATAGTGTCATGTGATCCATTTACCCAATTTCAAATAGTGGAATAAGGCTTGATTGTTGTTGTTGTTGTAGTTTTGGGTGTTACTTATGACTTATGTGTTGCTTTAGTTTTAATGTGATCAGAACTTACGTGAATAATATTTTTTTAGTTGTATAAGACTTTAAGAAACTTTGGTTTAAGTTTAATTAAATGTTTGGTGTGATTTATTTATCTATGCTATTTCTTATGCATATAGATATGCATTTGAATATAATTCTGAATTTTAGTTGACTCTTATGATTTTTGTTACAAACTAAGACACCCCCCCCCCCCTCTTTCTGTTCCAACCTCGAAACTCAATTTTGACAAGCTTGATAGAGAGGGCATAACCTCAAGAAAATTCTATTATATGCTCATCACCATAGTTTAACACACAACATCGTAAACAACTCTAAGATAAAACAGTAAAAAATGAAATCCCCTAATAAGTAATGTCACTAGAAAAGATAACAAATACAAATCAAACCAAAGGATTGTAAAATCAATCCATCTATAACGAGTTTTGTCCTGCCATATCTGATTCCTACATAATGCACATTATCTTTAAAAGAAGAGCTGGAATAAGGTAGTTCACTTGGCATGGAACTTTAGGCTTCTTGATTTCTCTCCGGATGGAAAAAAATATAAAAAAATCGTCACATTCAAGTAAACAAATAAATAGCAAAGGACTAGTAGCTATTGCCAAAATTCTCAATCTAATTGCTCAACATCAACATATAAAACGTCTGAAGATTTTTTTCATTAATCATAGCCATCCAGAATCAACTGTTTGGGAGGTCAACTAACTGAAAATAATATGACATCCAACAGATGCACAAGCATGGAATAATTCACCATTTTCACAATGAAAAGAGGGGGGGGGGGGGGGGAGGTGAAGGAGAGCATCCATATTTTTTTTTAACAGTAAGTTGAGATCATCAAGACAACATGATACCAACCTTCAAACCAGGATCTAAGAAATAACAAGCTTACAATATCTATCAATTAAGTTCACACAACTGCTTCTAGAAAGCACACAACATTAAACAAAAAGAAAATGATTAATCACATTACATTAGATTAATCTAATTCATCTAAACAATTTAAAGTTCTAAAAATCATCTATGCGCGAAACTCTCGATTATAACCTGGAATCCGACATTTTCTATCACTTTTAAAAAATGGCAGAGCAAGAATGAAAGAGGAAGTTATAAAAGATTGTTCAATGTCGCAGTCGCGGAAATATCACAATTCCATCACAGTCTAAGGCGCGTGCGCGGACAAACGTAATAAAGCGGTCGTAAATCATAAATCAAGAAATCGCGTTAAACGAAAATTTCCAAAAGCACATGCAGATACAAAAACAACACTAGATTTTGTGGAAATACGAGCGAAGCATGAAACGACAGGCATCGGAGATCAGAAAATTGGAGAGTGAGGAAAAACCCTTACCATAGAGAACGAATCGAAAGAGAGGAATACCTGAAAATGAAAGTGTGCGAGAAATGGTTAGCGCTTTGCTTGAAACGGTGAAATGGAAGGGAATCGGAGCGAGTGCCCGATCTTCGCGCTCACGTTCTCCAAAATCCAAAAAAATGGTTGGCAGAGGTGACGTGTTCCGCTACTGCAACACCTAACCTACGCTGCTTCCTTCTCACTCACATCTTCAACTTTTATAACACCATCAAAATTATAAGCAGTGTCCTGCTATGTGGGCTCATGAGCCTATTTAACTTGTTGCTATACTGGGGCCCATTTCCCTTTCCTCAGGCCCATTCACCTGATATAGTTGTTTCCTTGGCGTGCCTTTCAGCACTTTTGTTTTTCATTTTCTTATATTTTTTACCGGTTGGTATCGTGTGTGAGGTAAGAAAATTTAAACTCCGGCATCAAAATAAAAGAGAATGTATTGTGCATAAAGACTAAAATGATAAATAAAAAAAATTGGTTAATTAGATAAGTCAAAATAAAACTTACCATTAAAACAAGTTATGGTGATTGATAATAAATTACTTAAGGTAATTTACTAACTTTAAATAATATAACTGTAAATTAATGTGAATATAAAAATTGTATCAGAAGTTAGTCTTTAAAAATTTAGTAAAAATTATCTTGATGTTATACCTTCTTTGATAGTTTTAAGAGATTATTGAAAATTTTGTATTTTTTAAATAGAATTTACATACATTCTTTTAAATAAATTTTGTATTTTTCAATTAAAATTACAGATTATCTTTAAAATTAGCATAATCCATTAACATTGACTTTTATTATGTTAGCTATTAAGGCAAAATTTTAATTAGACTTAAAGGAATGAATTTAAGTTTTGTTCGTAAAATAAATAATTTATCATAATTATACTTAGAAGTATGAGTAAATTAAATCATAGACTTTAATCTATAAGATGAAAGTTATTTTACATTCTCTCATCATAATGTTTCACAAAAAAAAAAAACTACTTAAATCTTAAATACTATATTCTCATGATAATTTTCATAACTACATTAAATTATAGTAAAATAGTTTAAAATCATTAAATCATCTTTTATATCGTGAACCATCGTAATATATTTTTTTCAATTTGTGTTTGATGATGATTATTTGTTACCTCTTCACATTTTTTTATTTCAATTTTTTTAGAAAATGCGTTTTTTTTTATTTTGCCCCCTATAATTAATTTTTTCGTATAAAGACTAAAATAAAAATTGTGTTATGTTTAAGGACCATAATAAATAATTATATTATGTATAGAAATTAAAATTAAAAAAATCTGTAAATATGTGATAACAATTTTGTACCAAAAGTAGACATCAAGGATTATCTCGAAAATATTTTTTCATTCACGGACTTACTTACAATTTTTTTATATATAAGAATCAAATAAAAAAAAGTTTCATGAATAAAATAGTATTTAATCCTAATAATAATAAATAAATTATATGTACAACTAGAATAGTTTGCAATTCTTGCTACGATTGCTCTACAGGTTTCTCACCGGTCAGCTAAGATGTGGGGGGGCGGGGGCAGGCAGGGAACTTTTTTCTGCGCGATGTTGGTTCTTGATACTTCATCTTTTACGACAGACAAGTCATCACTGAGAAATTTAGTAACACATTGAGCATAATTTTCCAAAATGACAGTGCCCAGTATTGGTTCTCTGGAGCGACATATCACGTGTTAGACCCAAAGCAATGCTTAACATCAGTTACAAGCAAGCTTACTCTGAATGCTTCAACACGAGCAACTCAACAATTGCTGCAGTAATGGACCCAAGATCAACTCCAGCAACTTGAATACTGAACATTGGAAATGTCACATGCAATGAAGGACAGATTGTAAAAGAAGAGTAAAAGAATCAAATAAACCACAAATTCAACCTATGCTACAATGATTTGCACAAATGGATGAAAATAATATAGTTTGACATTTGAATTCCACCATGACAGATTAGAAACATTTTCTGGTTATCTTCCTTTTCTTATTATTTCTTTCAGGAATGCTTGCCTGAACTTTTGTCCCCAATTAAGAATAAAACTGCACTCGAACCCTGCCCAACTTTAACTAAAGGAATTATATGTGAATCCTGAAAACCAAAACTGACATTTCAAGCATCTTAGGCATTTTGTGTCCAACCAAAATGATGTCATAATTTATGAATTATGAAAGACAATTCTTACAAAAATGGACAGCTATGAAAACAGTTATTCTATATAATTCAAGTGCCATGCATGATAAAAAGAGAAAAACAGAGTGGCAAAATGAGATAGGGTGTATGTAACGATCTTTACCTTCGTGTTTCATAGTAGAAGATGACATTGCTTAACCCTTGCGGCCATGAATATAAGGAAATGAAGAACCAGAGGACTGGGAAAGTGGCCTTTGGACAAATGGATGGTCTAAAAGTTGAGGAGCAGTGGGACGATCATTTGGATTAACTTGAAGGCACTGCAGCATAAAATCCCGTGCATCTTTTGAAAGAGAATCAGGAATAGGAGGTCGCTCGCCTTTTCCAATTCTAAATAATGCCTGCATCTGTTGTTAGAGGAGAGATTAATTGAATTCAACAGTCAAAACCAACAATAATACAATTTTCACAGTTGAAGAAACAACTAAAGGCAATATATATATATATATATATATATATATATATATTACTAACACTAAAGAATCATCAACCAAAATTTCTGCCCAATGCAAAACGTGGGACAGAGCATCAACAAAACCTGCAAGCTAATTTACAAAATAAATGGCAGGAACATAGAGAATTTTGGATAAAAACGGGTGGCCTGACAATTAACAAACTGCTAAAGCAAAAATTTTGTAAAGACAAACAAACGAAACCAAATACATGAATAAATAAAAAGATTGGGAGCGGAACTAAAATCAGAATTGCAGTTGTGAAAACAATGAGTATGGAATATGACGAGTTAAATAGGCAACAATATGACACATACCCATTCCAAATTCGAGTATGGAATTTCACGTGTTAACATCTCCAATACAGTGCATCCCAGACTCCACATGTCAGCTGGAAGCCCATAACCTTGGTTCTTTCCTTTTACAACCTGCATATTCCAGATTAAGAATCAATACCTATGCTACCCAGGAATCAAATGGCAAAAACACCCCAAAAGGGAAGAATTTCAGAAAGCTTAAGGTTTCAATTTCAAAACCAAAGTTTTCTTTCTTTCCATATACGAAAAGGCAATGATTTTTTGAAACAAAATATATGCATAACCGCTAAACCAATATTAATAATAATGTCCAGCTGTTGATTACATTGATCAAGCCATATGGAAAATAAAGGGGTCAAAGCAAAAGAACAAAGTAAAATTTCAACAATCCATATTCTCCACAAACCTATTAACAAGTGTAACATGATCTAATGTTGCTATATAGTTGATTTTCATGGGGTTCTATTAATTCCCTTTGGTTATAAGGGGGACCACCACTAACCGCGCATGTAAGAAAAAGCATTTAGAGTTTTAGATCAGTAGCATTTGAATGGATACAGTTTACTACTGTTTGAAAACTTAATTTCATTTAATGTGTTAGGTCCACAGCAAAAGAAGAGCAGAAACTTAAACTAGAGTCAAACATTAAACACAACCATTTACTGTCAAGGAAATTATTTAGAAGATGGAACTATGTGCACCCCATTAATAAATTTGAATAGATGAACAATTATTCAGTGTTGCTGTTCAAAAGTTAAGGTTGAAGGCAAACCTCGGGAGCCATCCAGTATGCTGTTCCCTTGCACGATTTAACATCATTCAATTTGGTTGCCTAAAAAATTCATAATGCAATATCAGGAAATGGAAATGATTCAAGAAATAAAAGAAATACTAGAACACGAAGCATTAACAAAAGATGATACCTTTGCCAATCCAAAATCTGCAAGCTTGACAGATCCACTTGCATCCACCAATATATTTGCACATTTAATGTCCCTTAAATTGAGGAAATATGATCAGACTATAATTACAAAGATTGCTTCATCCCAATCACATAACTACTATAGTAAAGAGGATGTTAAAGAAATCATGAGCTTAACCAATAGGAAAAACACTGCCCATTAAAATTCCCAAAATTGTTCTTGGATATATTATAACCATTCAGTCTGATATTGATGGATACGATTTTCCTTTTTAATCATTAGAAATATCAAAGTTTCAGATCAAAGTAACTAACAGGTGGAAGAAACTAATTTCGTCCACAAATACTAGACTGCATATTAGCATCAAAAGGTATTTGGGTTGGGGCAAAAAAATAATATCAATGACAAGAACTGGATGAGATATCCTTTTTTCCCCCTTTGGATTCTTCTATCCACCTCACTCCTCTACTCTTGTCTTTAGCCCAGTATACGTTTACACTTCTCTAAAATAAGCAAAATGGATTTTGAGCAGTGAAAATTGAGCTATATTTGTCCAAAGAAGAAAATGAACACAGCCAAATGACAAGGAGAAAACAAAACAAACCACAGAAGTTATTTACAAAGAATGTATTGCAATTTTGACAGTAAGAGCAAAAGTTCCTTTGAAGCAAGGAAAGCAAGAACCATAAACAGGACTCTTGCCAGCATTGTTCTAAAAACCCGAACCACATCATATGATTCAATACCAGGATTATCACAGAAAAGCAGAAGTCATATATTCATAAATGAAAGGGAAGCAGGATTATAAAATAAAATAAAATCTTGAGTCACCTATGAACCACATTTCGATCATGAAGATACTTCAAACCATGCAAAATCTGTCTTGTATAGGCAGATACTTGGGAATCTCGAAGAGTATATCTCTGATAGAGGCTTCTAAGGGAACCTTTGGTTACGAGCTCAAGAAAGATATACAGCTTTGATTCATCCTGCGTAACCATCAATCCAAGTGTGAAATACAAATCACATTTTGAATCATGAGCTTACTCTGTTAGATGTGAAAATAAAGACAGCAAATCCTGGCCCCCAAATGAAAATGTTTAAAATGATTATAACAAGAGACAAAAATATTGCAAATTAGTATAGTACCTGAGGTCTGAATTTTTACGGAATTAGTTATTCCATGAAGTCTTGTGGATCCTTTGTCATACAAACACTAGACTAAATTTCATGGCCTATTATGAAACTATGTCCTGACTCTAACTCCAAACATTCCACTCGTATTGAAAACACAAGTTTTGAGATTATGGACCTATATTACCATTGACATAATCTGTAATTGCAACTTCCAATACAGATTCAACAATTGCAAACAAGAAGAAAATATCAAAATGAACATAAAAAAGAAAAGAGAGGCTGGACAGAAGAAAGTACCATTTCTGTGCCATAGTATTGAACAATATTCTCGTGTTCAAACTGACTCAAAAGTGCAATTTCCTGAAAAAGAAAAATGTGAGAAAATAAGCATAGTGGGAGAAACATGAAGAATAGTAACCTCTCAAATGATTTATGAGGTATTGCACAAGATAGCAGAATAATTATGTGAGAAAACTTCTTTTCTATTTTTCATTAAAAAAATTATTATTGAAAAGTAAAGTGTGAAATGAAAAATAAGCTAAAAAGTAGAAAATGCGTAAGCCCATTACCTGCTCCAGTTGATAGACACTTTGCTTTCCCTGATCGCGTTGATCAAGCAGCGAAACTTCTTTTACAGCAAAAAAGAATCCATCACTACAATGATTCAGAAAGTATAAATAACACGTTAGTATCACTTGCATTATATAAAATAGATGACTAAATTATCATAAGCTTGACCTTGGGCGCTCTACATAAAATTTTCAAAAGCAGCAGCAATTTGAAAGGAAAACATTTGATGATAATTGATGACCTTTTGTAGGCAACTAATGAAGATGCTAAATTAGAAATAATTGTTTTATACTTTTTGGGGTTTGAAAAAAAATCTGGCATTAAACAACAACTACAAAATTCTTTGCCCACAAAATATAGCTCCCTCACTTCATTAAATGTTTCTACAGTTTTCATTAACCATGGATTTAAATACATTCTCATTATCTATTCAAATTGAAGCCATCTGCATTGCTGCATCAATTCTCAGAGCTCCTAAAGGATGATCTAATTCACCCTTCAATTTAAGGGGAAATAGAAGAGTAATGAAGCCCAAATACATTTTCTAATCAGGATGAGCAATTGAAAACTTGCATAATCGCATTTCAGAAATTATCTTCAACAGTAAGAGTCTAATAGCAAAGTTATTAAAACCACACAGCAGTGAGAAAACTTGGGGGCAAAAAACTATTGAAGGTTTAAACAGTTGCTAACCAAAACAATGGTTTAAGGAGTTAAAAGTAAAATTTTTTTAATTCAAAAAAGTAATATTAAATGTTACCAATGCATCCCTAACCATTGCCCTTAAGGAAATAGGGCTATGGTTAGCACCAATAAAACAATTTAGGAAATATAGCAAAGAAAAATCAAAGCAATTGAAAGTTCACACACCCTTCAGAACTTTAGTTTTCATCACCCATCAAACGGACAATATTGGACACACACACAAAGGGTAGCTGTCAATTGTCATCATGCTCTTTTTCAGCAGATTGTTAACCATATAAAATTTCAAATTAAGTAGTCGTCCCAACAGATGTCAACCTGTCAGATCGAAGGAGTTAATTCCATTACTTATTGGACAAGACTTAGGTGTGTTATACAGGCACTTTTAATATGGTTTTCAATGAAAACAGAAGTACGCGTTTAATAACTATTTCATATACAACCCACCCAACAATATTCTTGAACTAACCTTCCGAGTCGCAGACTCCCTAAACTACCAAAGCACTAAACTCACTAATTCTGCCCTGCAATCCAAAATTTAAATTTGATTTTTCCAAAATGGCATTAATGTAATAGATTTTCAGTAGGTTTTTAAACACATTAAACAACTACCATTAAAAGAAAGGACAAATTTAAGTTTAGTTCGTTTAAATATTTTTAGTGATGTTTCTCAATCAAAAGATAAAGTTTCTCACTAACATGCAATAATGTTAAATGCTGACCTTTATCGGGGGGAAACTTTAATTTTTATTAGAAAACGGCGTTAAAAACATCTACAGAAATGCAGCTTAGTTTTGTCCTAATAGAAAACATAACAACAAAGAACCACAAAAGAAAAAAGGCAGCAACACCACAGACATGCTAAAGTAAAAGGTGGTAAACCCTTTTTCATTCCCCCAATAAGAATATAAGTTTTTTTAAAAAGGGAGAAATGAAGAGTGAACAGGAATTGATTCGACTTACTCAGAAATTCCTTCATAGACGGAGCCAAACGAGCCACCCCCCAAAAACTCACCCTTCTGCCAGCTGCCGGCGGTAATAATACGCTTGATTCTGGCGTTAGGAGATATATTATTGGACCTAGGGTCCGAGTTAGTGCTAGAAGAATCATCTTCGTTTGACGTGGAAAACGAACACGACTCCGCATTATCCACCCCCTCTTCCTCTTCCTCTTCCTCTTCCTCTTCTCTCTTCGGACTTACCATACCATCTTGCCCTTCTTCTTTTGCCTCTGCTTCTCTAACTACTTCCCTCTCATCCCCTGAATGGTTCAATCGCACCCCTTCCCCTTTCGGAGCCAAATCCCTAAAAAGGTCCCAAGTCGAACTCGCGTTATCCACCACCTGAACCCTCGTCCCCGGCGGCGGCTTTAGCATCGGTGGACGAGCCCCGTTGATGCCGCCGCCACTAACACTAGTTTCAGTGGGGGAATCATCCACGCTTCTAACTCTAATCCTATCTTCATATATTTCTCTCAATTCACCTTCCTTTGGTGATTTTCTCTCCTCGTTTACCTTCGCTTCTTCTTCTTCTTCTTCTTCTTCTTCCTCCTCCTCCTCCTCCTCCTCCTCCTTCTCCTGAACATCCAACTTGTCGAGCTTCAACCGTGGAAGAATATCCGAAGAGGATCGGACCTTCATTGCCTCCCATGTCGCCGCGGGAATAGAGAAGTCTTCTGGCCCTGAGAGCCCCAAACTCCGGCAAATACGATCGAACTCACCTTCGACTCCCTCAATTCGAAAGCTGGTGCGGTCGTAGAACTCCATGGAGCGAGTGTAGAGCGAGCCAGAGGAGTCGTCGAGCGAGGATGAAGACGATCCGGCGTCGTATTCGAAGTACTTGTGCGCATTTCGGCGCTCGAGCTTGGGTTTTCTTCGGGGGTTCTTGCGATCCATGGTATGGCTTATCTTGCTGGGGTCAAAAATTCGAGCTAGATGATGCATGGAGAACTGAATCTAAAGCCATCTAAAACGGTAACGACAATGGCTTCAAGAATTCATGAGGTGGTTTTGAAATTGAAAGGTGTTAAACCTAAAGTGGTTATGGTTGCTTCTTAGGAGAAGATTGAAGAAAAGTAGAGGGAGTTTTATATGCTTCTCTCGTGGTCTCAGGTGAGAAATGAAACCTATGAGACGAGAGAGAAAGTAAAAGGAGCTGACCGGAGAGAGAGAAATGGGGATGGAACAAGGAAGAGATGAAGAGAAAGTGAAGAAAGACTGCACACACGCGCGACTGGTAAACGCCGTTGAACTGGAAACACAAAACGCGGTGCCACATCGGCGATCAACGCATGACTAGGATTGCTTTTGTGGAATTTTCCACTTTTTAAGACTTTTGCTTTAATTTCGTTTTGTATTTTTTAAATTTTAACTGTGTGTCTTTTTTAAGGTGGAATGGAGGGAATTTTAAATTATAATTCAAATAATTTTAATCATAAAATTTTAAAATATATGAATTATAATAGTTTTGAAACTTATTTAAGGACAACCTTAAATTTTATTCTTAACTGCAGTAGAGACACCAAGGTGGATGTAAAATATGTTGAGTACAATATAATATTTAAAGCATATTGAATGGATAAAGTTTTTTTATATTAAGGATTTTGTTTACTTTTTAAAAATAATAATAAATAAATTTTAATTGAAAATCATATTTCCATACTTTTTTAATTAGTACTTTTAAGATACCGTTTACCATTTTAAAAAAATAGTTCCTTATTTATCTTTTATTTGTTACAAAATAAATATTTCATTCAAATTTTTTTTTTATCTTTAACTTATCCTTCATTAATTTCATATAACACGGATAAAAATAGACTAAAATATATTTTTAGAAGCTTCAAACACAACTTATTTGTCTACTATAGACCATTTAGGTTAAAATTTATCTTTAGGTGTTTTTTTTTAATTTAAAAACTTATAAAATAATTTATAGCTCTTATATAATTTTAAATATTTATTTAATAACATTTTATAATAAATTATTAAAATATAATTATTTTAATTAATAATTTATTTTAATATAAATTATATATTAAATTTATGATATGAGTTATTGTAAATGCTTAAATAATTTCTTTATCAAAACGTACTCTAACTATGTTAATGAACCTTATAATATATACAAATCAATGAACTTAAACCTCTCAATAAAATATATAATATCAAAATATTACAATAATAATAATAGTAAGATTTCAGAAAACTCTTATTTAAACTTTTATATGAATAATAAATTTAAGCAAGTTCGGCCCCTATGTAAGCGTAAGTGTAACGGATTAAAAGATAAGAGACAAAAGGACATCAACTTTCATTTTATTGGGAATGAGAAACATATAATCAAATAAAAAAGGTCAAACCCAAATTAAAACATGATTACATGAATCACACATAATTATTTAACATCAAGCGTCAATTTTTACGAAATGTCGTATTTAATATTTTTTAAATAGTATTTCAACTGTTAAATGTTGGAATTTTATATTAACGTTTTAAAACTTGCAAAATTTTATATAATTTAGATATTTATAGATACCTTGAGAATAATTATTTAATTGTATTTTATATAATACAACATGCATCAAAATAATATATAATTATAGAAATAATGTGATAAAATATTCAATTTTAAGGTTTTATTTAGGCATTATGACTTAGGAGGTTGTTACGGTCATTACAAGTGAGAAATTCAGTTTTTTTTTTAAGGCTAATTTTCCATTAAACTTTATTTAAAAAAAAAACCATATAATTTGGATGTAATTTTAAACGTGGTATTATTTTAAAAGAATTTAAACTTTTTAGTTAATTTCCAATTGTTCTTTTAACAAAAAAATCAGAATATATTTTACGAAGATTGACATAAGTCTGAGACTAATATTATTAGAACACTACGAAGAGTGATTTTCTTCACGAGGATACTAGGGGCTATGAATTTAGTCTTCTTTAAACGAAATCTAAGATTGTAATTTGTAAACAGATTATTAAGATAATTTTGTCGTGTAAATGAATCTACTAAACTCAAATAAAGTTATTAAGGATAATATAGTTTATAAATTATAAATACTCATGATATGAGGGGACAAAAAACTTTGTTTTAATACTAACAACTTTTAAAAGAGAAAGAAAATAATCAAATTTTTAAATATTTAGTTTTTTTAACAAACTAATCACAATAAATATATTGACTAATATATTCAGAATATTATCTTGTGAGGATTTTTCATCTAAATTATATACACAGTTATTATCTATGGGTTAGAATGGTCCAATTTGAAATAAAATTACTAAGATTTAATTCGGAGAAGCACAGGGAATAACAAAATAAAAGATAATACACGTAAAGAAAATTTATACGAGTTGGGTTAGGATTGAGTCCAAAATTTTTCCCGTGTCTTAGTAGACAATATTGGAAGTATTTTTTTATCGATAATTTCAAAAAGGCAAAATTTACGTGTAGTTGTTTAATTTTGTTGTCAATTTCTAATAAGATTATAGCTACGTTGTTAACAATATAGATCATCACATGTCTATGTTACTACAGTGAAATTTTAATTTTAATTAAAAATAAAATAAAAAACCTATAAAATTACACCTAAATTTATTATTTTGAGAACAATGTATATATTGCTCGTAACATTTCAAGAAACAGTTTTTATGATATTTTTTAAAGGAAAAAAAAATAAAGAAATGTTACCTATTTAAATAATTTGAGCTAAAACCTTCTCATAAAATTTTATAAGCTAAAATAAAAAGATACCTCATTTATAAAAATACACGAAGAATTATATTCCAAATATATTGCTACTTGTTAGTTTTCGTAAAAATATGTAAGTATTAATTCCTAAAAATGAATATTTCTCTTATAATCCACATAAATTTAAAATTCTATACATTCATAAGATATAAAAAAATATAGTTTATATGAATTTAATTAAAATATATTATTAACGTGTAGATTCTTATAAATAAAATTACGAACTCTACTGTTGGTCCTTTAATTTGGACTTTGAAGACTCAAGTTCGAATCCTAGCAAGACAATTTTATACCAATAAAACTTAGACAAAAAAATTTAGATTCTTAAATTGCCATTTAGTTATAGTTTGTCATAATATTAAAGTAATTTATAATTAGTTGTTGGAGTAAATTTTTTTTATACTTTAAAATTAAATTTTATTGTTACTTTAAAAAGCTATATTAGTAATATATCAATTTTACAGTTAAAAAACACCAACAATATAAATGTTTTATACATTAACATTTGATTTTGAACTTAGAAATAAATTGAATCAAATTGAAATTCTTCGAGACTGCAAATTTCTTTTATCATGTCATCAGTTCAGATATTGACATAAAATTGAAAGATTTATTTTATAATAATAATTTTTAAAAATGCATATCTAAAATAAATTTATTAATTATTAATTAAAAATTTTAATATATGAAAATTAAACCATTTTATATAATATTTAGAAGGACTAAATTTAAAATAAAACTTCAAAATATCTACAAAAAAGTGTCGTAACAATACGACAAGATAATAGTAAAAAAATAAATTGATTTAACAACAAAAACAGCAACGAGATACGATCAAATATTTGATAATGACCTAAAAAAATATGTTGATAAACCATAACAACTAGGAAACTTAACACGAATAAGTTTTTTTTATATTAACTAGAGTGTTTCTCTTCAAATTTGTCTTATTTTATATATTATTTTTTAAAAGTGATGTATGCCATTTTTAAAATTTATTATTTTAAATTAAATACGCATATTATTCCTAATGTTACATGTTTTTGTTTGAATTGTATGTTGAATAAGTAATCATTTAATCGAAAAAATTAACAAAACTTGACACAATTAGAAAATAATTAAGATTGTTAAATAAATTAATACTAGTTAAATTATTGACCGTGTGTACAGACTATAATTTTTTTTTTTTGCAAAATATTATATCACTTTAGTGTTCTTTTCTTCACAAAAGGGAATAATCTCTAAAAAAAATAGGATGTTTAAATGAATTATAAATAATTGATTGTATTTATTCTTTTTTTTTATGATAATAGTAATATTTCAATATAGATGGTACCATTTAAAAAGTTTCAAATCATTTAAAAAGATTTGACTGATTATTTATTTAATGAACAAAGATTAAAAAGGGAAAAGCAAACTAATTGTGTAAATTACCTGCATATCCCTCTATTAGACGAAAAATAAGGTATAATTAAAACTAAAGCTTCATACTTGTGTATGTGACAAAATATACAATGGACACGCAATATTCATGTCATACAAAGCATATGAAACTAACTGAAGGTGTATCTGTTAGGTGGAGAACCCATGGAAAGACCATTAGATAGAGGAAAAGATTCAAATCTAATGGGAGAGTGCCATGTATGCCCTCAGGCAGTGCGTTTGTCTTGGGTCAAGAAAAATCATAGACCGTTCATAAAATTTTAATTTATGGATTGCGGAAAAGAAGGGCAGAAAAGGACATTTACAAAATGAATAAAAAACACAAGGTTCAAAGAATGCCAGGGACAGGGATGGAAATTTATTCGGGAGGTGCAGCGAAGGAAACGTCATAGCCGAAGAAAAAGAGAGAGAAAAATAAATAATCCACATTTATTTTCACATTAATGCTAATATCCTAATTCGATTTGTAAATAGCATTTAGGAGAAGAGGCTGTTGTTCATACGTTTCATCCTCAGTATCCCAAACTAACAGAAATTTTATACCTTCTTTCTCTCGCGTTCTCTCTCACACCACATCGCACTCCTCACCCGCACTTGGCACAAACAAAACCCTATTTTCTATTCCCACACACACTCTCTGTCTCTTCTTCTATTTCAATCAACGCCATTTCGCTCTCTACAAATTCACACTTCGCTATTGCTCTCTCCCGCACTCTTTCTTCTTCCACCTCAAAACGCATTCGCGTTAATTGCCAATACCGCTTCTACGTTCGGGCGGTTATTGAAACGGTTGCGTTTTCGTCTCATCAATCACTCCCTCGCTTTTAAGTCTAGGGTTAGTTTCTCCCCTTTCTTTCTTTCGCTTTCTAATTTCCCGAATTTCCCCCTCTCTGTAACCCTAGTATCCTGAGGAGTTTTTCCACGTGCGTATTTACTAGGGTTTCTTTTTTCTCAACGCATTTTTTAGGAGTTCCACACTGCCCTATAGGGCTCTTTTTTATTTTTATTTTGGGGGTTTTCTTGGATTGTTGGTGCTCAACTGTTTGATTTTTAGAGTTCTTTCATTGTCGCTGTAGCCGTACTTTTTGGTGTGCGATCGATTCCTCTTCAAATTTTTTGCCCCGCAGCGATGGTGGCTCTCTGAGTTTTCGAGGTTTTATGCGAATCCATTTTTCTAATTGAAGATGGAGGCGTAGAGAAGCTTTTGCTTCACGGCATTGTCTCGTGTTTCAAGTCACGGGGCTTTTGTTTTGGCCTCCGTTGTTTTGGCGCGTTGCTTGATTGGGGAATAGGGGAAACAGTGTCTGTTTGTGGTTTGTTGAAGCCTGTTTCAGTTAAGCGTTGTTGGAGCAGTTACGGCTTTGAATCTGTGATTAATTTTGTGGAGTAACCGCTTAGGAACGTTGAAGTTATTATCTTTTTTACGTAGAAGGGCAGCAAATATCGGGGGTTGTAGCTTCTGTGAAGATAAACTGCTGTTACTTAACTGCTGGAGAATACTGACTTGTGGATTAATCTAATTTCTTGGTGGAATTGCTCCAATTTTCATTTGGTACGCTTTTCTTTCTAGGCAGGTCATCCTTGATTAGTTTTGGTATCTAAAAGAAAGAAAGATGAGGGTGACTTAGTGTCAGTACTCAGTAGTTTCTTATTCAAGTGCAATAGTATTGTTCGTCGGGGAAGGGGTGGTGAAGAAGGTGCACGGGTTTTTTTGTAGTTAAATCTGATCATGTTCAGTGTTCGTTATGGAAAAAAGTGAACCTGCATTAGTTCCACAATGGTTGAGAAGTGCTGGAAGCGTTGCCGGGGCTGGCACTTCAGCCCACCATTTTGCAACTCCATCTATTCACACGGGTATTTTCAATGGCCTGGCTTCTGAATTGCTTACAAATTTTAATGCCATAGTTTAATCAATTCAGATATTTTTTACATACAATAAAATGTAATTTTTTTGGGTGCATCAATATATGTCAGAAACGTGTTTTTTTAATTCATAATTTTATAATAAGGTTATATCATAAAATGGGGGAAAATAATTGAAAGTTAACAACTACTATCATTGCTGTGTAGATTCTTCTTATGCTGCTCATAACACAAGGAATAGATCTTCTAAGACCACTAGTGATTTTGATAGCCCTCGTTCTGTGTTTCTTGAACGGACATTTTCTTCAAATTCTCGAAGGAGTATCAACGGTTCTGCCAAGCATGCCTATAGTAGTTTTAACAGAAGTCACCGTGATAAGGATCGTGATAGAGAGAAAGATAGATCAAGTTTTGGAGACTACTGGGATCGTGACTGTTCTGAACCATTAGCTGACCTCTTTCCTGGAAGGGTAGAGAGAGATGCTTTGCGGCGATCTCATTCAATGGTTTCCAGAAAACAAAATGAGCTTTTGACCCACAGAGTTGCTGTAGATAGAAAATCTGGTGGCAACAGCAACCATAACAGCACTAATGACTTGCTTTCTGGGGGTAGTATTGGTAGTAGCATTCAGAAAGCTGTTTTTGATAAGGATTTTCCATCCCTTGGAGCTGAGGAGAGGCAGGGAATAACTGAAATAGGGAGAGTTTCATCGCCTGGTTTGGGTGCTACTGCTAGTCAAACTCTACCTGTTGGCAGTTCAGCTTTGATTGGTGGGGAGGGGTGGACATCTGCACTAGCAGAGGTGCCTACTATAATTGGAAGCAGTAGTACTGGATCTCTAGCAGCGCAACAAACTGTTACTCCAACTTCTGGCTCTGTAAGTACATCATCTGGTCTTAACATGGCTGAAGCTTTGGCACAGACTCCATCTCGAGCTCGTTCTACTCCTCAGGTAGTTGAGATAGTTTTATGTCACCATCTACATTATAATTATAATGATTTTATTGATTTTCATGACCAGTTAATAAGGTCTTAATCAATTGCAGGTGTCTGTCAAAACCCAAAGGCTTGAGGAACTTGCTATTAAGCAGTCAAGGCAGTTGATTCCAGTAACGCCATCAATGCCTAAGACCCTGGTAAGAAAATTGCCTTGTGAAATATTGTTTAATCAGTTATGTACTGCAAAATTTGCTCTGATTTAGATATTTTCTATCTTTTTGATTTCTTATTTTGATTTCTTTATTTTGATGTTGCACTTATCCTTGGCCCATTCCTTGCTCTTATGATGGGGTGTTATTTAGAACTGAAAAGCGGGTTTGAAGTTGAGAATTTGTAATAGGTACTAGGAATATTGAAGTTGTTAACAACTTGGACTTGCAAGGATGGGGATTTTGAAATAGGCATCATAAGTATTGAATTTGATAACTGCCTGGAATAAAGTAGGGGTAGGGGATCTCAGGAAAGCATTAGAGTTAGGAAGAGAGAAATACCAAAGAATTGGCCAGCAGTGAAGTTCCTGTCTAATTTTCTTGTGTTGTATTTTTATCACTTCATGATCACCAAAATTGGTCATCAATTAGTGCATCATTACAAATACAAATTAATTGCAATCTTATGTTGCTTTATTGTTTTTATTCTAATATTATTGCAAACTGATTTTCTATAATAGTTTTTACCCTTTTTCTCTATGTAATTTGTGTTTTTTACTTTCATTCTGATTTTCTCTCTTTGAAATTTATATTTGTACAAGAAACAAAAGTATTGTCCTATTAATATGGTGTACTAAACTTATTTTTCGTACTTTGTACAACTGATTGGATGTAAGTATAGATCAAACAAAATCTCTTTTCCATGTCTATCTTCCTAGTGAATGTTGCTTGTGTTTATTTTTACTGTGTGTAATGCATGTAGGAAATACAAATATCCTCTTGATATGGTTCAAAAGTTTGTCCTTTTTCTTTGATTACTTCTTACCCAATGCACAAATTAATACTAGAGAGTGATGTATATGGAAGCTACAAGTTGTTAATTAGTTATTAACCTCCCTTAGCTGTCCTTCCTTTCTATAAGGGGAACATGGACAGCGTTCCTGGCATGTCTTCTATTTTTCAAATTTCTTTGTGATTCAAATTGTAGAGATTCATTGACCAAGTAAATGATTTTGAGAATCATGAAGCAGGTCACTCATTTCATCAGATAGTTTCTTGTTGAGAATCTTGCATGCTCATTGTGCATTAATTAATATATGAACAACTAGTTAATTTTTTAAAGCTATACGGTTTCATCTGTTTTGCACATTACATTATGTGATTGTGTAGCATTAGTTTTTTTAACATGCTCACGCTGGCTCCTGCAGCATTGGTGGCTGTGAAGCTGGTTTATGGATGTTTGTCTTTTCTCTTATAAAATTCTCTTTGAAAGACAATTTATTTATTTTTGTGAAATGTACATGTTTCATTGTAATCTTTCAATGATATAAAAATTGATTCTGATGGTATCCTGGTCTGCATCAGTTATATATGAAAATCAGTGGAGGATGTTTGGTTTGAATTATGTAAAATTGGATAAATGTTTCTTACGTTTTATTCATACATCAGAAATATTAAAAATTACTATATTCTGGGATTTTGTATTCATCTGTCTTGTACTTGATAAATGATAAATTTGTTTCTCAAGCTTTTGCAATTCTCTGATAGTTTTCTGGTCAGGTTAATAATTCTTCTGAGAAATCAAAGCCCAAGACAGTAGTCAGAAATGCTGAGATGAATATGGCTGCCAAGAATGTGCCACAGCAACCCGCTGCATTGCACATTGCTAATCACTCTGTTCGTGGTGGAAATGCCAAAGGTGATGCTCCAAAGATATCTGGGAAATTTACTGATCTTAAATCGGTGGTGTGGGAAAATGGTGTTTCCCCTACTTCCAAGGATACTTCAAATCAAACAAATTATTCTAGTAGCAGACCTGGAAATCCTCTTGCTGTTGCTTCAGCAGTTGCTTCTACACCTTTGAGGAACCCTAACAATCTCAAATCTCCCACAGAGCGGAAGCCTGTTTCTTTGGATTCGAAATTAGGTCCCACCATGGATAAGAAACCTTCTATTTCTCAAGTGCAGAGCCGGAATGATTTCTTCAATCTCATCAAGAAGAAAACTCTGATGAACTCCTCAGCTCTTCCAGGTTCTAGCCCGGTGCTTTCATCTCTCACGATGGATAAATCTAGTGAAGTGAATAGAGAAGCCGTTGACCCTCCTGCAAATCCTCAAGATCTTGGAAATGGTTCTGAAGTGACTAGCAATGGTGATACCCATGTAGATCATGACAGACTTCCTGCTGATGAAGAGAAAGAGGCAATTCCTGATGAGGAAGAGGCTGCATTCCTTCGTTCTCTTGGCTGGGAGGAGGATTCTGGTGAGGATGAAGGCCTTACTGAAGAGGAGATCAATGCCTTTTACCAGGAGGTGAGCATCTATCACCCTGATTTAATTTTCAATGAGATTGCTATGAATCAAAATTTTCTTAGGTTTTCTTATGCATCTATCACCCTGTTTTATGGCATTCTAACCTTTTAAGTTAGGAGCCTCGCTTCATGGAATGGAATGGGTCCAAAACTGCCCTATCTGTCGACCTTAATAGATTTGTAATATATAAGACCAATTTGCATGCTTGAATGAGACGTTTTAAAGCAACTTGTTGTGAGTGACTTGGCTGAGTAAATATTATTTAGGTATCAATATAATTTGGCCAAAAGGGTTTGCTTATTCTTTGTTGACTTTGGTTTTGTAGTGCATGAAATTGGGCACGACCACATTAAAGCTATGTCAGGGCATGCAACCAAAGTTGTCCAAGTTTTTTGCCACTAACTTGCATGGAGCTTCTGCTGAATTGAGTTCTGACTCCAGATCTGAAGCTTAATGTTCGGTTATATGAAGGATAGATCCAAGTTCCATTTTTTGATGGCAGATGGCTAGTAACATTCTTCCCTTTCGTTTTTAAAGAAGGCTGATGATTTGGGAGTGAAAGAAGTGGGTGGGTTTTGATCGGAACCCTGCATTTTGCAAATATTGCAATAAGTTACAGGTGCCTCGATCCTGCCTGCTTAACAGGGGATATTTTTTTTTTTCCTTTCTTTTTCTTTTGGGTTAAAAGTTATAGGTTGGGTAGGGGTAGGGTAGGGCTATTTTGTCTGCAGTGGAAGGTGCTGGGCAATTGCATCTTTTGGGGTATTTTGATCCGTTTTTCTTTCAAGAGGGTTTGATTCTACATGATAAAGTTTATGATGTTTTTGGTCAATTTTACGAAAAAAAAAAAGGAAATTAAAAGCTTCTAATTTTAGAGCATAATGGTATGATTCTTTGATCCGTATACTTTCCAGTGGTCGTTCAGCCGTTAACTGGGATTCGTTGGAGACATAAAATTGAAGGTTTTCTTTTATAGAACAAGAAATCTTATTGTATCGAAAATATACTCCAATAACTCTTTAATTAATTAAAATTATTTAATGGTGTATTTAACCATTTTTAATTAATAGTTTTAGTGCATTGGCTGGAACCGTTGCTGAAATTAGTTGTGTATTGCATGTATAATAGATGCTTTTATTATATAAATAAATTAAAGGGACCAGGCGTTTTAAAATTAAGAATTTGTGCAGATAACATATCTTGGGGTACTTTAAATTTAAGTTTGCATTATTTAATATTATAACTTAAAATATATTTGTAATTTGATGTAGTGTACTAAGATTTAAATTCTAACATTAAAATAAAAATTAACTGGAAATTAATTAAAATTTAATTAATTTTAAAAGAAATAAAATTATAAATTAAAACAAATTGAACAATGAAGAAAGTAATGCCATGTCAGAACCAAGAGGCGGAAGGATGAGGTGACTTTAAACATTATAAACTCGTGAGAGTTTAATTCACATAAAAATAATATTTTAAAAAATTATAATAATAAAATTAAAATTATACTTAAATAGTGAAAAAGTAATCAGTAATCTAATTATAAATGTAGTGTTTCACAGTTTGTAATAAAGAAAAAAAAAGTAATGATTTAATGCTAAATAATGTCATTTTGATGAGAAAATGTTTTTCTCTTTATTTTGTTGAATTTATCTGAATTTACTTTAAAAACGGATTTATACGCAGTTTAACATAATTTTTTTTATTTAAGATTGTAAACTCACACAAATTTTCGAGTTAAAATGTGAGTTTAATAACTATGCTTCAAGGTGTCATGTAACGTTTTTATAACACCTCTTAAATTATTATTTTAGTTCTCATTAATTTATGTATATATATATATATATATATATATATTAATAGTAATATTATTTAAATTACTAGCCTATTTTAAAAGTTGAAGTGTAATTTGATTTATCTTATGATGTTTTTTACAAGTGATTATTACAAATTTTATTCAAGTTAGTCATATATATATATATATATATATATTATTAACTATATTTTAAATTTGTTGCATTTATTATACACATAACGATGAAAAAAAAAACTATAAATCAGCTGTTCTTTGATTTTGACTCTTCTTGAATAAAATCAATGAAAAGGCAATGCATGCATATGTCCTCTTAACATGAAAATATTTGTTTCACACTTTTCTTGGTCCAGTCATTTTTATTTAGTGACAATGGCCACCAACCTAAATCCAATCTCAGCAACTATATATGTCAACTTCAGTATTTATTACTATCGACTATAATGAAACAAAATTTTAATTTTTACCGGTGATTAGAAACTTTTAAAAGGAATATAATACTGTTTACGATAAAAAATAACAGTTTGTAAACAACAATTTGGGGACTGAAATTAGGTCTACTTTGAGTTCTTTTAAGTATGTTGTTAATGTAACGGTAAAATTGGCATTATAAAGTGGAGGATTTAAACAGGAATAGTAAGCAATAATTACATGAACATGATTAAATATAGAGGTTTTACATAGAGCGTGTAAAACAAGTACTGAATTGCAGAAACAAATAATAACAGACAAGCAAAGTGAACTGAAATTAAAGTATAGAAACGTAAATGTGCAGAAATGTAACGTACGACTCCTCACAACAGTGAATAGCTCCCATCGTGAGTCTCCTTGTAACTAGTGTCTGACGCGGTGTAGGGTTTCAATGTGCAGAGATTTTTAGATGCAGTGTCAGGGTGCAAAAAATCATCATCTGAAAAATGAAATTCTGAGATTTTTATAGGCAAGCAGATCACCACCGTTCGCCTTCTTTTGCAGGCACTTTCTTAGTAACTGTCTTTGTGCGTGCTTACTTTCAAAACTGCTGCTGCCTATTATCCATGTTTGCTTATGATCGTACTGACAGTTGAGACTCTTTCTATAACTGTTGTCGCCCACGATCTTTCTTCATGTTATTGAACCTTCGTCTGGTAGTAACTGCTGGTAACTGTTGGCAGCTGCTCTTAAATGTTACAATATCTTTTGAGTCCTACCAGGACTTTTTATTTTCTCTCTTTCGAGTAATTTCTGAAAAAAATCTTGGAAGCTCATTAAATATTATGGCCTTAGAATATTTTCCTATTGACTTCTCTTTTAGACTAATTCTGGGGTTTGAAAGCTTATTTTGGCCTCATGGACTTCGAATACTTTCTCTGATCATTCCTGTTTTTTTTAAACAATTCTGGAGAGAATATGAAACTCAACCAGATTTATGAACTTAGAATATTTTACGCTTCCTAGTTTTCAAGCAGTTCTAAAGAAGATTTGGAGCTCTGTCAGCCTACCAACCATAAAGTTTAATACATTTTGCAATCATTCAAAATACTTTTATGACAACTTTACCTAATGCATAACGTTATGTCCATATGAATTTATCAACTAATTGTTGAGTCAAAATACTGAACACAATAAATTGTTATATACAAGATTCAAACATAACAATAAGAAAAATGTTAACAAGTGTCCTAAAGGATAAATGTATTCTTTAAGGAATTAAAAATAAAAAAAAGCTTTAATTAAAAATATTATTAACATAATTTTTAATACATCTCAATGCTATTTTCAATAAAAAATTTATACTTTTGATTCCTTGAAGAGAATTTTTAAAACATTAATTATCAAAATCTGAACAATAATAGGAACATTTCACCTGAAAAAACAAAGAATAACATGATAACTAAAATTTAAAAAGACAATATTAAGTAAGACAAACGTAAACAAAAAAAAATTATACGAGTGATTATAAATTAAATAGTCAATCATTTCTCGTAAAAATTCACTCTTGTAAATAATGCTGACTTTTGATGGGAGGATAACAAAAATCCTTTTCAACTAGTGATTAATCAACTAGTTGTAATATTGGAACATTGTTTGAAAGATTCATTTAGGTTTTTAGAGAATGATTAACTCGTTAATTTTTAAAATATAGACCAATTCCCTATATTTTAGTGACTAAAATAACTATTTACTATTTTCTTAATATTAAACATCTATTTTGAAGCTGAGTTTTAGAGTATTCTCTTAGGTTTGTAACTTGTCATCTAGAAAAATATTAAATTAATTTAAATTAAATATGATTTTAAGAAAGTTTTATCTTTCATTTTGAATATTAATGATAATTATACTTTATTTACTTTTATTAGTGATATTAGAAATTTATTAAAATATTTTTTTATTAGATTTAGTCATATTTTAAGAGAAGTTAATAAGTACGTTGATAGTCTTATAAAAATAAAGTTAAAAAATTATGTATATATCTCTTATTTTAAAATTTTCACTTTCTTTTACTTTTTTTTGAGTTTAGATTCTTTGAAGACTTTCATAATATTTGTTTAAGTTCCTTTATGTTTTTAAACTCTTAGTCCAGTTAACTAATAAAAAATAAAATAAAATAAAATACAGAGGATTGGTCATTTGAATTTTGAAAGAAAGTAATTTTAATATATTTAAATGTTATTCATGGTTTTGATGCTTACATTAATTACTGATTAGTCTTGTACAACCACGAAATCTATTAGTCCAAGAAATGATCTTTGAATTGATAAATCAGCTGAAACTATTTCAATAAAACCGATTTTTTTTTCCTTCAAAATGCTAGATTTTTTAAGCTAAGGTCGTAACCTCAAACCCACCCACCCCCCTACTTCTTCTCATCATTCTTAATTATAAATGGCAAAATTCTGAATTAGATCCATCTATAAACCGGTCTTTGAATAGGTAAATCAGTTGAAACTAGTGATCCATCTACCTCTCCAACTAATCCGATTTTTTTCAAAAATTTTTCAAAATGCTAAAATTTTAAGCTAAGATTTAAAAATCACACGCAAAAATGGATTCTCTACAGTGACTTTATCACTCCATGAGATTCTAACCCTTCAATATATGTTATTAATATGATATAATTTATTTTAAATAAGAGGTTTACATGAATAAAGGACAAAATTAACACAACTGATGGTGTCCAATTATTTTTTATACTTGAGAGAAACCGGATCCAACCTCACCCTTTACTTGCCATAAAGTGTTTCGTTCTCTAATTGGTTGTTCTTAATAATATATGACATAATTTAATTAATATATTTGCGATAATTAACAATCATAAGAAATAAAGGAAAGGCCGAAAATAATAAAATAGAATTGAAAATTTTATCTGTGGTTAGATTAACGATAGACAATAAAAGGGGAAACGTTATTAATAATATCCCTGCCTATCATTCCTGTTGTAACTCTGAAGCCTTTCGAAGTTTAGATATGAGTTAAAAAAATATACCTTGGGGTGACGAATTATCCATATTATTTTAAAAACAAATATTGATTCTCTGCGCAGCACGTGAAATATTATTGGCGAATATCATCGTTTTTAACTTAGTTGCCGGCGTGCATGAATAATCAATATTCAATCCCAGCATAGATTTAGTACTAGATAAATATCCAGCGTGGGATAAATTAAGAAATTGAGCATTCTATTTCCACTTAGTTGTCGCATCTAGTTTTATTCTTTACTTCTTTTTTATTTTTGCACTTGATACAGAGCACTTACGCATTATTTTCCCTTTATTCTTTCGCTTCATTTAAGGCGAGCTCCAACGTACTGACGTCACTGTAAAGTATCTGCGTACATACCAAGAATTGCCACTGCATCTCAAAAATGGTTGAATTACAACCAGTCAAGAAACAACGAATGCTGGTTCTGCAGGTGGGATTCAAAATGAAAACGAGTTTTTGAGGAATTCGTGCTTACAAAACTATGATCAAGAAAGAACGTGAAGTCTAATTTTATTGAAATGTCAAGACATATTGCATTAAGCAGAACCCGTCTGAACATGAGTTCCACAAAACAGTGATGACCAGTGTCCATCCGGCCACTTTATATTTGGAGGTTGCAACTGCACTAGCCCTTCCACAGTGAACTCCATAATCACACCGGCTATCAAAAAGCCATGGAAATGTCGTATCAGAGTTATCAGTCACGCCAGGTACAATGCCAATTTTCTACAACACAGAACCTAATGGCTATTAACATGGAAACTTCCGCCCGCTTGTCATGGGCAATTGACTCAAGCTGTGCATGCAGGGCTTCCATAGCCCCCGTTTAACAGAAGTTTATTTATCTATTTATTTTGCTCGGACTCTCGGCCTTTTATGTAATTTTTCAAAGAAGACGACTTACGAGTATAAATGAAGGACGGAGAATTGTGTCTGGGAATCTCTGTCAAGTCCTACCTTAGCTGCTCACAGTGAAAATGCTATTTACACAAACTTTCATACATAACTTATCTGAATTCTCCATTTAGAGTTTTTCTGGTCAAACCTAGATGTCGTCAACAGAATTATTCCCAGTTAGAACCATAAAGAAATTCCTTTCCTCTATGCTGTAAGTTCAAAATATTAAGAGGGGATGGGGGAGGACATTATAGATACCAACACCAAGCGACTACAATTCAGGTAACAGATCTTGATCAACTATATGAAACAAGATATTATGAATCTACCCGGAGGCTCAAGATTGTTAGCACAATTTACATTTACTGATTTACATGAAGTCAGCCATTTCCCGTCACATAAAATAAACAAGATGATACATGGGTGGACATAACCTGGCATAATTTGAATCTTCAAGTTATATCTTCGTGTGCCTTATTCAGGATGAGAAGTCCAATATACAAGTCCACTGTATGCAAATTTGAATTAGAATACAAGTAAAGAACATGAAAATAAAATTGGGGTCATCCATGCTACAAAGAGAAGCCAACACCAAACAAGAACGCAGTAATATCTAAACTATTTTCAAGATTGAAACAAACAGAAGTATTGATACTTTTCAAGCTTATAACTTTTAGGAGATGGAAAAGGGAGAGTGACACGATTATGCTCTCAAATTTCAATTTCAGAGAAGGATCTTGACATAAGGTAAATTTTGTTGCACTTTCAAGCTGTTTTTGGAAAATTTTATTTACAGTCAGGACTTCAGAAATCATTATCATAATGGTTTCATGTTATCCTGAATATACAATTGAAATAAAAATTACGTACATATTTCTGAAGAAATCTGATAGCTGTTTGAATGACATTTTGAAACAGCTTTCTAAATATCCACTTCCATGAGGATTTATTAAACATTCTCAGTTTTTTATGGTTTTCAACACATAATTTCTTCCATTACAAAAAGAAGGTATGCTTGCATCACAACTGGAAGCAACAAAAAGTTCTCAGACAGTAAAGATCTTATGTGATTATCAGCTATCAAGAGAAGCATGAGAGATGAATAGAGCATAGATGAATCATTAAATGTTCAAGCAGCATTTACCTGATCAAGACAAAAACACACTGCAAAACACCTGCAACACCTGTCCAAACTGAAGGAGCTGATTTATCAATTGAATCTTGGATCAGTAGACCTGCTGAACCAGCTAAGGAAACAAAGGATACAACATATGCAATGAAGAGCCACAGCTTCAGTCTGTCAATAAGAGGAAGTGGTTAAAAATAAATTCTCAAGACAACAAATACAAAGTTACTCTTATTGCTTAAGGCTTTAAGGTGAGGGGAACAACAAATAATACAACTACCAAAAGTTATTTTGTCTAGTTAACTTGATGCAACATGCATCAATAACCAAGACATACTTCATTTCTATCCCTTCTTGCATAATCGCATTCCTCTATCAGGGTCATGGGACACTGAGGTGCTTAATTTATTTATACACACGTCTTTTATCTATAGTAACATGATTAATATATCTCTCCTTACTGGAACTTCAAATTGGGTGTGTATAAGGTGGCATAAGATTTTGTTTTTCTATTCTCATTGATAGCAGTTTGGAGAAAGGATAACAGTAACAGACATTCATTACCATTAACATCATTTAATTAGTGATCCATGTCTTAGGAGAAAAACAGCACCTTTGAAGTAATGAACATAGCAAATAAAAACATAGATGACCAGGTAAATAATTCAGTAGCATTCAAAGACCAAATGTGTAACTACTCAATTGTTCTTCAAACTTAGTGGATTGGACGAAACATATTCACACGTCAACATTCTTTACACAATTGTTCTAAACTTCTAAATATTACTTGAGACCTCAACCAGTGTGTTGGGGAAACATAAATTCACTACAAAAGATGTTGTTCACAGAGACAAAATAGACAACATGTTGAACAAACCCAGCATCTGCGAATGACCTAAATTCCTAACTTCTAAGCTCACGACTCATGTAAAATAAACTAATTCAAAATACAGGCATATTCACTACTCACACTCCTTAACCGCGTTGAACCAAAAGAAAACCTAAGCTTTACGAGGCATTAACGCGATGAATCGTCAATACATAATTCTTCTACCAAATTCCAAGTCAAACGATATCGCCAACCAAGCAAACCCTCGCGGTGGTTGATTATGTTGACTACGCTTAAGAACTTCGGTAATCGAATGGTTAATTTGAATTTGAAATTGGTTAAAACAAGATAACAGAAAAATGCAAGTAATCAAGTACCTCCACTCGCCTTCGTCGTAGGGAGAATAATCAATGTCTTCTTTTCTAACGCAATTGAACATCAAAGCCGCAAGAGATGCAAAAATTCCTTTAAGAAAGACAATCAAAAGCATAATCGATTAATAGAAACCCTAAAACCAAAAGAGAGAGAGAGACGAGATAAGAAATTTACCAGGGAGGTAGTGGAGGAAGGCAACGGTAACGGAGCTACAGACGACGGCGTCAAGCCAGATCCACCAGCCGGCGCCAAAGACGGCGCCTGCGACGCCGGGGCCGAAAATTGCCCATAACTCCATTAAGTCCATTGTGTATTTTCGTGTGTAACCCTCAAACCAAACCAAACACCACAGTTAACTTATTCTCGCGGCACAGCTCATACCAACAATCTCACCTATCCTTTTACTCTACATATTCATCTGTCAACTTATATTAGGTGCATTATTGATTACATGTTATTATATAAGTAAAACTTATTAATTTTTATAATTATTTTAAAAGCCATATTTATCTTCGTATAAATTTGTATATTAATAATACATAAGGTTGATTTTATATTATAAAATATATTAATTATAAATAAAAAATTAAGGTATTTTAAGGAATGTATTCTTTTTTACATAAAAATAAATAAAAATAACTTATATTACGTTTGAAAAAACTATATTTATAATAAAGAAATAAAAGATAAATATTAAAAGATAAATATCTTTTATCATAAAAAATTAATTATTAAATTTTATCTTGATAAATATATATTTTATTAAGTTGTAGTATCTTAAATATATAATGGAATGTAATTTTTATTTTATTTTGATATATGTGTATGTAAGTTGAAGAGATAGAAATATAAGAATAAAAATATTTTATTTTCTAATTGGTGGGGTTTATTGCCTAAAAATTGGGCAATCAATTGCAAGGCATAAAAAAAACATTTTATACAGTGTGTGTTAACTTTATAAAATATAAAATAACAATTAAGGGTGTCAAAATGAGCCTAGTTTTATGGGTTGGCCTACCTAACCCATCCAAATTGGCAGGTTGAGCTAAATATAATGAATACACCAGTTTATCTAATTCGCCTGATCAGAGTAGGTTAGCCCGTCGGATCAATTTTTTTTAAAAATAAATATAAAATAATTAAATATAAATTTTTATTAGCATAAAAATATTTTTATATTATTTATTGTAATTTTTTAGTTAATTCTTAGTAGACTAATCTATTAATTCAATGACTTTAATTTTAATTTTTTAGTTTTTGACGAGTTGGTTTATTAGCATGCCAACCCGCTCTTAAACGAATTGAACTACAAAATTTGACCCATTTTTTAAATAAAACGGGTTTTGGCTAGCCTGCCTTTAGGTGGGCTTTTAGCATAACAAGATAGACTGACTTATTTTTTCACCCTTAATAAAAAATAATCATAACTCATATTTTTTAGCAATAATTTAATTATAATAACCAAATAAATAGAGTAATTGTTACTAACTTTGTTCTCTAACATTAACCCTTTTTATGTAATCATGTTTCAAAGTAATATTAATAAAGCTATTAGCTTTAACAAAATACAATAAAAAAATAATAGTTTAAAACTCAACCTCAATAAAAGAGCATATTCCTACTTTACAAATATAATCAACAACAAAATTTACAAAACCTTCACAAGCAACTAATGTGATTCCCATTGACATTGAACAGTTAACATTCAACTTCAATGTACCTTAGTCAAGAGAAGACCACTTCATAAAGAAAAATTCATGTAGCCTAATAAAAGTACAAATGTCATAATCCACAAAACAAAAAACAAAGGAGAGGCGCGTGATAAAAATTGAGTTTAAAAAAACAAAGAGAAATTAACTTTTAATTAAAAATAAATGAGTTTCTATTAGTCTAATTTTTTCATGTAATTATTTTATAAAATACAATCTCAATTTGATTCTTAAAATTGATTTTATTTGAAAATATAATAATTTTAAACAAATTAAATATTGCATTAGTAATATTTAATATTTTCTTATATTAAAAAAATGAATTAAGTAGACAAATCTTCTAGAATATTATATAATCTACAATCAATTTTATTATAATTTAAGATTAAATTTAAAGATTGAAAAAATAAAAAAATTTGCAAAATAAATAAATAAATGCTCAACTAATAAAATAAATCACATGGCAGTGACGGCACAATGTTTTTTTTTTAAATATTAAAAAATAAAACAAGCCTTAAAAAATTCAATTAAAATTGTGATTCAAATTTAATATATAAAAATATAAATAATAATATTTATACAATGAGCAAAAAGCTTCTTAATTTTAATTAATAAATGTTTAGTCTGTACAGTGCAGGTGTAATATTTAATATAAATTATAATTTTAAATATTTTTTATACAACACAAAAGTTTTGTTATCAAAATTGTCATATACAACATTTTTATTCTTGTTTATTTGTTTAACTCATTTCAATTTACTACTTTTCACTAATATGTAAACTTTTCACAATGGAAATAAAAGAAGATAGATATTAATGCATTTATACTCAAATAATATACTATCTGAAATGTAGTTTTTTTACCTTATGGAGAGAATAAAGATTAAGAAATTAATGTCTGTAATCTTTATGATATTGAAAAAAGGGTAGTTTTTGTGAGTAAAAAAATGTGAGTAGATAAAATATAAAAATACAATTTTTTAAAATTTTCTCTAGAGAATATAAAAATTCATATGACCTTAAAAAACAATATATATAGATATAGCCAGTGAGTATTTTAATTTTGTTTTTTAAAAAGGACATTTCATTTTCTTCATTGTTGTTGTTGCTCCCGAGTCTGGGGTTGACACAGTAGGTAGCGGGTAAGGTGCACGTTTGCATCCCTTCAGTGTCATGCGTGCCACGTGTACATCAGTTTGTGGCATAGGAAACAAAGCGTATGACACTACAACACCGTAGCAATACCCTGGTTATAAAATATCTACGAAAGGGAACATAGTGCCTGCAAAAAATGAGCGAATCTCTCTCTTTTTCTTTTTTATTCTCTCTCATCTCACTACCCAATTTTTCAATTCTCTCTCTAGCCCCTTGAAAGCGAAATAGAACTGCACAAAACGAAAAATTTTACATGTCTAAAAAAACGGATCCCAAACAATAACTGAACCCTAACCCTAGAAAACGGGGCTTATCCTTTTATTCCCCTCTCCCTTCGTTCCCTCACTCTGAAATCGAGTCAAGTTCGATTGGGTTTGTCACTTTCTCTCCACTGGCGCATGCGATAAGGTTATCTATACGGCTTGTTACGTTAGGGTTTCGTTTTTCTATGATGGAATGCTTTCTTTCTTTGGTACCTTGTTGTTGCCGGTGATGACAGGGGACCGATGCCACCGGTGGGAGAACATGGCGGGAGAACTGGATGCCACCACCCAGGAGAGGCCCTGCCCAGCCAATTTTCCGGTGGAAATTTCTCAAGACTCCACTGTGTTTGAGATTGATTACTTGTCACAGGCTAGGAAAGCACTCAGCGAGCGTTCCCCCTTTGATGTTGCTGAAGAAACGTCCACTTCTGCTGCAGTTACTCTGCCAAGTGGGTTAGCGAGTTTGCTGAACCGTCACACTGATAACAGAAGGCGCCATAAGAAGTCTCATTCTGGTGGGGATAAGAAGAAATCTTCATCTAGGGATAAGAAGAAGCCCGAAGCATCTAACATTTGGGTTGAGACTGAGGAGTACTTCAGGGACTTGACCTTGGCTGATATTGACACCTTGTTTGAGGCCTCTTCATCTTCGAGTTTAGCGTCTCGTGCGTGTTTCTTGATTCCACACTTGGGAAGTGCTTCTAGGATTAATGCAGGTAGTACTAGTAGTCAGAATGAAAAGGAGCCTTTTCCCAAATTCAATGTAGTTAGTTCTGAGAATCAAAAGAAGTCTTGTGAGGACAACAAAAATGATGATGGTTTCTTGAAACTTGAGTCAGTTGACAATGTTGCTGTTGAAGAAGCTTTGCCTGAGGATGACAAGAATCACCAAACTTCAGATTGTTTTCTTAGTTTAGAGTGGTTTTTAGGTTGTAGGAATAAGGTTTCTTTAGCTTCTGAGCGCCCTTCCAAGAAAAGGAGGCTATTGAGTGGTGATGCTGGTTTGGAGAGAGTTATAATGAGTAGTCCTTGTGATGGGGACCAACCATTTTGCCATTATTGTGGCAGGGGAGACACTGGAAGAGATTCCAACCAGTTGGTCGTCTGCTCCTTTTGTAAAGTTGCGGTTCATCGAAAGTGCTATGGTGTGCATGATGATTTAGATGAATCTTGGTTGTGCTCCTGGTGTAAGCAGAAGGGTCATGTTAAAGAATCTGTGAATCCTTGTGTTCTTTGCCCAAAGAAGGGTGGCGCATTAAAACCGGTTAATAATAGCGTGGAAGATGCTGTGGCTGTCCAGTTTGTGCACTTGTTTTGCTCTCTGTGGATGCCTGAGGCCCATGTAGATGATTTGAAGAAGATGGAGCCTGTTATGAATGTTGGAGAAGTCAAGGAAACCAGGAGAAAAGTAGCGTGTAGTGTTTGCAAAGTGAAGTTTGGTGCTTGTATTCGGTGTAGCCATGGTATGTTTATTGCCTTCTTGTTCTGTGCACTTTTCATTTCCAGGTTAGCATTGCTATGTTTCAAAACTACCTAATTGTGCATTAGTTAAGCTTCTGATTTGACTTCATGCAGCAATGTTTTGAGGTCACATAATTTCTATTTGTCTATTGCCTTTTGGCTTGTAGTTTGTATGTTTCTTGCCCAATGGTAATTAGATGGCTGGGTTACTTTGTGCTAAGATGATTTGTGTTTTAAATCAGGTGTATTGAAAATAAGCTCAATTTACTCTCTGATTAATGTATGTTTCTCAATTTAATATATTAGTTATCATGGTGCAAACCATTCTGTCAATATCTTTGCTGTATATCTGAACAAATTTGTTCTGTTTCTTTTGATGTTTAGTACTCTCATCAACATATGTATTCTTGTACTGATCAAGCGATCAAACATCTGGTTTACAGAAAAGCTAGTAGTTATCTAAGAACATTAGTTTTTGTCTGACTGATTTTAATGGTTATTTTTGAAATATCAATCTGGTTCAAAATTAGAGTAGTTGTATTATACATTACATAATGTGCCTTATTCAAGAATTTGTGTTCAGGGAATCACATTCTTTTCTTGCAAAACAATGTTATGCATATTTAATTCTGTGCTCCTTATGATGTTATTTTGATTTCTATTATTTCACTGGTGAAATTAACAAGTTGAAAGATGAACTTCTTTTCTTTTTTTCCTAAGGCTGTCCTATACATTTCAATCTTAAAGTGACCATCCTATCCTTGTGTTTGACTCCTGCATATTCTCAGTAGTACTAGTATCCGACTTGGACAATTGACTTGTTGATTATGCTTGTTCTTATGATTTGAATATGCCAGGCAAGCTTTTGGAATTACTTTTTTTATAGTTGGTTATCTTTCTTTGGCTCAAGAAAATGTTGTAAATAGGACCTTGTTCTTGTTCATGTCTTTCGTGCAATTTTCTTTGTTCATCTTTCTTTAATGTGATTTAGGGAGAAACTAAAGACACTGAAATTTGATGTTTTGTTGGGGAAGCTCATATTAGTTGTATAGAGTAGAGATTCAGGCAACGGGTTTGGCTCTGCTTCTTGTGATATCCAAACCTTTCTGTTTATGATATTGGACATTGGACTATTTTCTAAGCTATATTAGAAATTGTGGATATGCTTTTCTTCCCTGGTACTTCTGTTTCTTGTTATTGTGTCCTGATCCTGAATATGTCTGTGTGCCTTTTAAATCAGTGTTTGGATGGACAAGAACTGCTTGGTCTTTTTGTTAAGTATGTGTTGACACTTGCCATATTCTAGTCTCCAATGAGTCTTTGGGTCGTCCCCAAGCACATATTTCTTCTATTATAGGTATAGCCCAGAATTTGTAGTGAATCTGTTCTACGAAAAATAAAGAAGATAATGAAAGATTCTCTTTTTAAGGATATTTAAATTGACTAAAGGATATACTAAATCATGGCAGCCAGCTAGTGTTCTTGAAAGCTGGGTGATTTGGCCTTTAAAATGATTATATTATTTCAAAGTATCATGTTGGGATAAGGTTTTGTGGCACTATCATATACAGTTTGTATCATGCACTGCTGCTACTGTCTCTAAACAATATTTCAATTGATGTGCTCCTTTTTATCTAATAACTATCTTTCGCTCTTAAAATTAGTTTATTCTGTGTGGTGTTTTCAGGAACCTGCCGGACTTCTTTCCATCCTTTATGTGCAAGGGAAGCTAGACATAGGATGGAGGTTTGGGCAAAGTATGGTAATGATAATGTGAGTGGCCTGTATTTTTCAAACCCTTGTTTCCCCTTCCAGGAAGAAAGTAGAATACAAATCAAGCAAGATGTTGAATAGCAATAATGAAATAGTTCCTATGTTGCCAATAGTCTCTGTTTTTTGAGTCATGAGTGTTTCAAGGGTTGATTGTCATATACCTTTTTATGTTATGCTTTGTCAGGTTGAGTTGCGAGCATTTTGCTTGAAGCATTCAAATATACAAGAGAGCCAAAGTATCTTGCCATCTGGAGGCTCTATTGCAGTTAGCAGTGAATTTTCAGAAGCCAATGGTCTTCCAGTGACATTGCCAGTGAGTATTGAACACAATTTGAAAGACTGTAGGAATGGAGGATTAACTTCTGATAGCAGTCTGGACATATTGAACCATAATGATGAACGACAGGATGGAGGATTATCTGATAGTACTCATGACATATTGGGATGTGGTGCTGTGTCACAACATAATATTGGAGTGGTAGGTAGAGCCAGTGATAATGTTGATGCAAGTGTTTTGAAAAAGGTATTTGGCATTATAAGTATGGTCGTGTATGTGTTTTGGATTAATCTATACTTTTGTAAACAATTTATCTTACTCTGCTTTTTTTAAATTGACATCCATTCTGTGGCAGTTGATTGATCGGGGAAAAGTTGATGTTAAAGATGTAGCATCGGAGATAGGTGTTTTGCCAGATATATTAACTGCAAATATCAATGTAATGCCCAAAATTTATCATGTACACTTTGTGGACAAGTGATTATTCTTGGTATAATATTTTTTTTAATGTTTCTAATATTTGTCTCATATTATTCTAGCAGGAAGCGTGTATGGCCCCTGATGTGCGACACAAAGTAGTCAATTGGCTGAAAGACCACGTATATACTAGTAGTGCATTTCAGAGAGGTTTAAAAGTTAAATTCAAACCAGGCAATGTATCAAAAAATGAAAGTGGAGCCACTGATGGTTCTGATGCTTTACCAATATCAGATTCTGGTTTGCTGGATCCTGTTGCTGTTAAGTCAGTTCCCCCAAGGAGGAGAACAGTCAGTAACATCAGGATTTTGAAGGATAATAAAGTGATATGTTCATCCGAGGGGGTTACAAATGAGAATGGGATGCCAATGGACAGGTGCAAAGTTAGTCAGTCTAACTGTGACAATCCAGCAAGCTCCAATGAAGCATCCATTCCCAATGCAACTGAATTGGTATTTTTATTTCTAGAATTTCTTACCTGCATATTTGAATATTATTCTAAATTCTAATAAATAATTCTTGATGATTATGCATATAACAAAGTGAGTGATGTTTGTTTAAGAATTTGGTATTAAATTATTTAGGTTAAGTTATACCTGACCCTAGAAGTTCTAAATCTGATTAATGACATTTAATATTGTCCATGTGGAAAAAGCTCCTCTAAAGTGAGTTTGTTTGGAAAGTGAGAAAGTAAAGGGTGCCCTTGGATCTTTATGTGTTAGTATCATCATGCACTTTACATTATATCAAATGGTAGATAACTCCTCAGTTTCTTACTTTACAAACAAACTAACCTTAGAGTAGCCTTGTCCTGTCCATGGTTATGCTTATAATTTGTTTGTTCCCATTTGTTACTTTGTCAATCTTGAACCACATGACCAATTGTGTTCTCTTTTTTTCTTACCTTTTGAACTTTGTTACCCCTCTCCCAAAACATTATCTACTCTTATTGCAAGGATTTTTTAAATACATTATATATTTTGTTACAATTTCATGGTGGGCACTGGGCACTTTCGATCATTCATTTTTTTAACCTTGCTTATTGGCATGCAATAAGACTTGATTGTTATGTTTGGGTTGTTTTTGTTGTTTTTTCTACTGGCACTCCTTCAGTATAATAGCGTAAATTTCCAATTCCATTTTAATATAGTTGTGAAACTTCATGCATTTCCCTATTTTTGTTAGTTTAGATAAACTATAGCTTTTCAAAATTCCTTCTTTCCAAAGATGTCTTACCAGTTTAGCTCTTGTAAATTTCTTTCCTACCAATCTCCCAAGAAACCTTGAGTAGGGATCATTTTCCACCATTTTAATATGGTTTTATCTTGAATTCTGAAATGGTATACTTGAAGTTACATTCTTGGACTTTTAATATAGATTTTACTCTCCTCCATTGAATGTGTTTACGATCATGGCAACATCAACTTTTGTTATTTGGGTTTAGTCTCAGGTGTGTGATGTTTAACTGGAAAATAAATGTTGCCAAATGCTAGTCATTATTTATTTATTAAGGATTCAAAATTAAGAATTCATAGAAGTCTGGTTTTCTTCTGTGCTTGTATGTTCCTCCTTCCTGACCTGTCTACTTTCAAGAATGTTGTTTTTCCTGACTAGTGAAACCTCTTTTGTCAGGAATCCTGTGCTTGCTTAATTTCTGATGCTAAATTTAATACAAGTGAAGCATCAAATAACTTCCTATAAAGTAAAAACTAGTGATACACGAAGACTCAATAAGTTTAAACAAATAACAATCTTAAACAGATACATCCTACAAGCATGATAGAAGATTGATTCATTGAAAAAAAAAAAGCAAAATAAATTATGGTACTTGTTGCATGACTGAATCAGCAAACAACTATAATCAGCAAGAACTTGATTCTGCATGACTGAGTCAACAGTACTTGACTCTTCCTTGAGGATATACATGGTGCAACAAGTGACTATCCTAATCTTAAACAGATACATCTTTAGTGTCTTATAATGTGATTTCCATGTGGACTTTTGTGATGGAAGGACATTGACACTGAATTAAAGAAAGACTAAGAGAAAAGAAATATTATGAAATAGGTTAATGACAAAATATGCTTCTTAATTAGGCTGTCTGTTTGGATGTTTTGGGTGAACTTGATGGAATCGATTTTTTTTTACCTGTTTGGAAGTTTAATAATGAAAGAAATGGAATGGTAAAAAAGTATATTTATATTCTCAATCCATTACTTCTTTCTAATTTAAATACTTTTAATGGCCAAATTGTTTGAAAATTATTTCTTTGTGTTTCCTTTTCCTTCTGTTCTATAGAAATCAGAAGTCGAGAAAGAAATCCTTTTGCTTACTTTATTTTTTATTTCATGCAGAACATAACCAAGTCTGAGGATGTTTTTCATGAAGTTCAAGGTATTTCTTCATCTTGAAACTGTTATTTTATGAATTCAACAGCTGGTGGTGTGTGGCAATTTCTTTCAAAATTTCCTTGTTCCTTCCTTTATTTTTTAAAAGGAAGAGCATATTTTGTGTACGATGAAAAGCATAGTTTTAAAGCATTTTGATGTGCTTTTAACTGTAAATGTGTCTTGGATACTTTCTAAGTTATTGTTATTGGGTTTTTTCTCTTGTTGTTAGTGTTTTTTTTAAACTGTATAGCTTCATTATGCAGGCAATGCTGATAAACTTTACAAATCCAGCTTACCTGGATGTGTTTCAGAAGACAAGTCTTGTGTTTGTTTGCAGAATGCTTCTATGCTTTCTGATCAACCCTGTCCTGTTCATTCTGCTTTAGGACTGCCTGATTCTGGTTTCATGTGAGCTTTTCAAAGTGGCTATTTTTGTTATTTGCAGCATGTACTGCTTTTGTCTCTTATTGTGTGTTAGTAGACAATCTTTGATGTGATTTACATATGTTGGCAATCTTCTTTAAAGCCAGTTTCATTTTTTCAATCGCAGAAAGAAGGATACACTCTCTAGTTATATCCATCCATACATCAGCAAAAAATTACAGCAGATTTGTGGTGGGTGCCCTCCGAGGACATTATTGAGATAGATTTGAATATCTTTTATAGGTGTTTGGTATGATCATTCTAATTTCCTTTGTATGTCAAAAAATGTTCGTATAATATTTGGGTATAAGATGTATGAAAAATTCCAATTCTCAAACCACAATATTGGAAAATTAGAATGACCACATACCAAACAGCATCTTGGTGTTTTCTTTATATGTTCCTTGCAATAGACTGAGACATTCCTCAATCAGCAGGTTCAAGTGATCAGGAAAATTCTTCTTTGGTTGAATCCTGTGGGGCTATTGGCTGCTCAAGTGGCAAAAATCAGCACTCAACTTGCATTGACATCTCAAAGGCTGAGGAAGTAAATGTGGAGCAGTTGGTTATGGCTAGAAAAATGGGACTATCAGAGTTTCCTCCAGAAGATGAATTGGAGGGGGAGCTTGTATATTTTCAGTATAGATTATTGCAGAATGCAGTTGCAAAAAAGAGGCTTACTGGTGTGCCTTTACTCATTCTTTCCTAAATTCTAATTAAGATCTTTGTTTTTTAAAATTAATTTGAAGTTGGTACTATCATTTGTATTGGATCCCACTTTCAAATTTGGAGCTACGGTATCCCCCCCCCCCCTTTGTTAAAATCTGGATTGACAGTTAATTGTTCTTGATTATGTAATTGCAGATAACTTAATCTATAACGTTACCAAGAGTTTGCCACATGAGATTGATAAAGCACATCAATTGAGGTGGGATGCTGTAACTGTTAATCAATATCTACGTAATCTTAGGGAGGCGAAAAAGCAGGGTAGAAAAGAGAGAAAGCACAAGGAAGCACAGGCAGTGTTAGCTGCTGCAACTGCTGCTGCTGCAGCATCTACTAGGGTTTCTTCTTTGCGGAAAGATACCTTAGATGAATCTATGCAACAGGAGGTCATATATGTTTTTTTATTCTCATTTCTTTAAATAATAAGCTACTTGTATTCACAATAGAATATGATATTTCAGAATTTATTAAAATTGGATACTTTAAATGGGAGGACCGGTGCTTGTTCTCAGCCAATGCCGCGAGCCAAAGAGACACTTTCAAGAGTAGCTGTGACAAGAGTTTCGTCAGAGAAATATTCAGATTTTGGCATGCCAACCTCAGATTTTTCTAAGGAGCAACGTAAATCATGTGATATTTGCAGAAGATCTGAGACTATATTAAACCCTATCCTAGTATGCTCTGGTTGCAAGGTTTCAGAACTCAGCCCTGGTCCTTCTTGTACTTGTTCTTCTGATTTTCTGATCTTTGTCCCTGAGTTATTGTTTTTGTTTCAGGTTTCAGTGCACTTAGATTGCTATCGTAGTGTGAAAGAAACAACAGGTCCATGGTACTGTGAGTTTTGTGAAGATTTATCATCAAGGAGCTCTGGGGCATCTGCTATCAATTTCTGGGAGAAGCCTTACGTTGTTGCAGAATGTGCTCTCTGTGGTGGTACTACTGGTGCTTTTAGGAAATCTTCTGATGGTCAATGGGTTCATGCCTTCTGCGCTGAGGTTAATTATTCTCATTTGATTTTGTTGGGATTGTTGTTATCTTTGTCTAATACCTAAGATTGCCTAAGTATTAACTTGCATTTTTCCAATATCTACTAGTGGGTTTTTGAGTCTACGTTCAGAAGAGGACAAATAGATGCTGTTGAAGGAATGGTATGTGCATTGGTTAAACAGATGTTTAATTTGGAACTCCAACCTTCTTTCTCTTTCTTGTCTACTTCAAAAGGAAGCTAACTATCTTTTCTAACACCTATCTATGTATATTGCTGAATGCCAGGAAACTGTGCTGAAAGGAGTTGACATTTGCTGTATCTGCCATCGCAAGCATGGTGTATGCCTGAAGGTATTGATAACATAAAAAATTATTTTTCTTCTTTATCCTTAATTTTATTTGAAGCAGCAAGCTTTTGTAGTTAACATTCTTGATTGACAAGTAAATGTTAACATTTTGAATGCAGTGTTGCTATGGCCATTGTCAGACCACATTTCATCCATCTTGTGCTAGAAGTGCTGGTTTGTACATGAATGTGAGGATTGCTGGTGGCAAGACACAACACAAAGCTTACTGTGAAAAACATAGTTTGGAGCAGAAGGCAAAGGTTTGATTTTGTCTCTTGTAGTAAATTGTCCTTTTTGTTAGTCTAGCATAATGGTATCTTAAGTTTTTGTTCCACATTTGCTCAGGCTGAAACTCTAAAACATGGAATTGAAGAGTTAAAAAGTATCAGGCAAATTAGGGTGAGACTTCACTCTCCATTTTTTTCCTTTGATCACTTCCTCATATTTTGTAGGGCTTGATAATAGGATATGTTGTCATAAGAAATTGGAATGTGTTTTATTTGTAGATTTCTACTGTCTAAATTCTGCTGGATAAAGATTATGCTTTGGTCTTATTTTTTGATTGCCAGATCACCCAAATAATGGTGGTGGTGCTTATTGCATTTATTAATCTGAGTCAAACTCAAGTAAATAGATTGCTGAGTTTTGTGAGGTTGGAAGTATCTTGTAAAGTGACTGTTGTGTGGGCTTTAGAACACACTGTCTGGGTTTAGTTGGAAATGACAGGCTGGTTGGGCATGGAAGTGCTTCGCAATGAAGAAATCATTGTGCAGATAATATAAATTTCTGGAATTTTAAACTTACTGTCTAAAACTTCACAAGTTTTGGATGTAGTGTTATGTATGCTACATGGTTCACTCCAATATTTACAAGTGCTTTGTGGGAAATAAATGTGTTGCAATGATGACAGTGGTCTCCTAAAAAAATTTCTTGTGGTAATTAAGTATCCTGACATTGACCAAAAACCCCATCTCACATTCACATATCTCTATAAATGTTGGCCTTTTAGTGTTCCCCAAAGCTTACCTGTTATAAATCCAATTTAAGGAGTTGTGAGTTGGTGCGGGGGAATGTAGATACTGATAAGATATGGAAGAAGAATTGATAATCTTGCTAGTAATAACAGGAGGAAGTGGCTAGAAGTGTTGTTATCAGTATCAAATGAATTGCAATATGGTTTGTGCAATCCAATAATGATATGGAGCAGCAGCGATATGAATCATGCAGTGTATTGTATCTCGAAACGCAACATCAATTGTCTGTATTGCATCTGAGTGAGTTGTACCAATTGCACCATGAATCATAGTTCTGTGACTAAATTGTGCAATTCTGTCCAAGCACATAATATTGGAGAAAGAGAATCCCCATTTTGTTTTCTCTTCTCTGCCTCCTCTGACTGTAGATGTGCTGTCTCCTTACCTGTTCCTAAAATTGTGTTTTTTAGTTATTGAGCATGGATATGTATTTTTTTGTCTTTGTTAGCTATATATGCTATTTTTTATTATTTAACATGAATCTTTCAATTCACAATAGGGTTTGATTTGTGATTTGGAACTTAGGTTTTCTGATTCACAATCTGAATCTTGATTTGATAACCTTGGCTAAAACTGGTTTTGTAGGGTTACTGATCTGCTGGGTTAAAATAGTAGTTTCTGGAACCTCGCTTGGGTGTGCGCCATGCCAATGCACTTTTCTTATATTTTAATAGAAAAAATAGATTGAATGGTTCTTTACCAAACTTATTATATGAAGAAACTTCTGCATGTGTTATATAGCAGCCTTCATTCATGTATGTAAAGGATTGGTTTATAGTTCTTTTGTTCACATAATCATTTCTGTTTTGAAGGCAGTGCTGTCTGCTTTTATAGTTATTTGTTCACATAAATGATGTAATTTTGTGTGTTTATCAAATAACTTGATTCTTTCTAAATGCTTTGGAAACAGGTTGAACTAGAGAGATTGCGTCTCCTTTGTGAAAGAATTGTCAAACGTGAAAAATTAAAGGTAATTATTTCTGAAATCTGTCATAAGAATCTCATTCTGGATTTTCAGTTAGCTGTTGGTTCTCATGTCTGGATTTTGATACAGTTGGATGTCTTACATAATCATTCTGATAATTAAATTCTGGTTTTGTGGACATTTGCAGCGGGAATTGGTGTTATGCTCACATGACATACTTGCTTTTAAAAGAGATCATGTTGCTAGGTCTGTACTAGTTCATAGTACTTTCATCCTTCCAGATGGTAGTTCAGAATCAGCTACAACATCGCTTAAAGGGAACACGGAGGGATACAGATCATGCAGTGAAGCACTCCAAAGATCAGATGATGTTACAGTGGACAGCTCAGTTGCTGCTAAGCACCGTGTCAGGGTTGCTGTATCCATGGACACAGACCCGAAATTGGAGGATGACTGCTCAACCTCGCAAAGTCATTATAACAAGATTCCAGATAGGACCCAATTTTCTGGCAAGCAGATTCCTCATAGAGCTGCTGCATCACGTAATACTACAGATGAGTGTGGATGGAGATCCAAATCTAGAAAGGTGCATAATGACTAAGACTTTAATATCCTATTTTCTCTTTCACTCAATTTTCACTGTGAAATATCTGGTTTGCGGGTGGGTGAATTGTGGATTCAGTGGGACAAGCCCTCATGCTGTCTTGCTTATTTGCAATTACAGCATGCTGAGACATTTGGAAAAGAGCTTGTTATGACGTCTGATGAAGCATCTATGAAGAATTCAATGCTACCTAAAGGATATGCATATGTTCCCGCTGATTGCCTGTCAAATGACAAGCAATCTAATGAGGATGTATTTGCTGTTGGACCAGTGGAGCATGACAGGTAGAGTGTTGGACCCAGCCTGGTTATTTTTATTTTGCCCACAAGGCTGACATCCATAATATTCGATGCCATGCTGTTTTGCTCGTGGATGAATTTTATTTGAAAATGGCAAAATGTAGAGATAGTTCTCTGGTCACTGTATTGTTGCAGAATGTTGCATTCTGCTATGGCGGGGGTTAGTTTTGTTAGCATTGTTGTACATTCGTTATGAGAGTAAACTGTACAGTGGATGAGCATTTCTTGCATTTACTTGTATTAGAAGGGCATGCATTCCGTTTTAATGACACTCGTGGGAAGGACGGAACAGATGCATTCCTTTTTGTAATCATACAAGGGAAGATCAGGGAATCACCAGTTTTTCTGTAAAGTTGATGTGTACATATTATGACAGTCGTATTAATTCTGAAAGGGATCGTGCTCGGCATCAGATTCACCGAGCACATAAATTATGTAACCTTCCACCTCCTAAATTTGTATTTTTACACCCCCTCCCTAATCCTCGCATTCCCATCGAGTATTAACGGTGATTGTCTTGTAATTGTTTTGACCAGAGTTCCGTGATATTTTAATGTAGTTAATGATGATTAGTCCTAATTCATTTTTTTATATTGTCGATAACCCTTTATTTTTCCCAGTAAATCCCTTTTCTGAAGCTCTACATACGTAATAAGAAAAGGCTTTCATGGACTAAATAATTGGGTGGATAGCGGTTCCACATCAACAGAATGGTCGAAGGGTTTTATTTTATCATTATGCTGGTTTGAGTTTTAGAAAGTGTGATAAATTGCTTGCATGAAATTTGAATTTTAGATATACACATCCATATTTGTACATTTTTGTGTATATTCACTAATTGAAGATTTATTTCCTGAAAATTAACTTGTGCAAAAGCAAAAGGCATGTGTGATGATAGTGTTCTATCTTTTATGAAGTTATATATCCCTCTCTTTAGTCGACTAGCTTGCAATTGTAATGATATTATAAATTACCTTTTTTGTACATAAATTATTTGAAATTTTAATTAGATAGTAACATTGAGAGTTTGGGACCTGTAGTGTTTTTTTTTTTTTTTTTTTTTTTTTTTTGGGTCTGAGAATGCGACTTTCTATTCAAATACTACTCTTTTAAGTTTATTAGTTCTCATTACTGTTTCATTTAGCCTAGAATTTGGTTGGGCCTTATCAAGATAGCATGCTGGATCACAACTAATAGTTCCTTTCTAAGTACCGTCTTTAATACCAGTTTGTGCCCGACCCTCTGGGCCCTGGGCTGTGTCAAGTTGAGCATTTTTTTCTAACACCTGCCAGCATTTTAACGTTGATCTAAACATGCATTGTATATCTTTCTAGAAATCAATTTTGTGATATGAACTCTTAAAATAATTAGGTGAGTACTAGGGTCAACAAGTATGTCTTAGTCAGAATGCAGAACTTTTAACTAAAGGTCCATTTGTTTTAAAATTCAATAAAACTATCTTTTGTAACGTATGTTTTTTAATTAAAAATGTGAATTATTTTTCAACCATAAATCAGATGGACACAATCCATTAGGAAACGTTAAGGTCGTCAAGACAACTTTTAGCACATAATAACATTTGAGTCCGTTGAGTTGTTGGACTTATGGAAACATTTAAGGAAAGATTTTGGTATTCACCCTTACAGCCTATTTTACACTTATATAAAATAATAATTCAATTTAGATTTAATAGGTAAATGCAATAAGATATATTACTAGTCTGTCATATTTTTATTCTATTATATATTTATCTAATTACATTATATTTGATTTTAATTAAAATAATTTTATTTTATTTTGATCTCTCTTTTAGTATATGTTTATGAGCATGAGAATGTATAATATTGTATCCTGCCTATAGTCATCTTTGTTATATTTGTATGTCAAAATAATTAAATTTATTTTAATAATAATTTTTTACATTGCTTTTTACTAAAATTAAAAATAGGAAAAGAAAAGAGAATTATATAATATGATGTGAGTGAAATAATATTTCAAAATTTTTAAGAATTTATTAATCAAAATATCTCTTTTAATAATTTTATTTTTTTAATTCTTTCTTGACTTATTTTTATTAGACAAAAAAGTTTTGTAATTTACTCTTTCTATTAGTGCTTTTGTAATACCTTATATTTCTTTATTTCAAATATGTCAATTTATGAGGAGTTATAAGAAATAATTAAATTTTCATCATTCAAATAATCAGAATTTACTAAAATAAAATATTTTTCATCACTAAAGTCATGTGTGAAATCATAAAAATTAGGAATAACTGTATAAATATGCTATAAATCTATGTTAACATACTCAAAATTTTATTTACATCATGAAATATTACATTTACAAACCTTCCATTTAACATATTTTAAAATATACAGCAGTTCATACTCATCCCACATATTCATCTATATCATGTCATCCCTTAATTTTCGTCAAGTCCTCAATGTTAATTCATCATCCTTTTCAAGGTAGGTGTTACCAGAGTCCACCACCATTTCTATACTAAGGAATCTCTCAAATGTATAGCTATTAGACATTCTTAGCAAATCATGTTCACGATAAGTAAATACATTATTTATGATCGAAGAAAATCTTTCTATTTCCTAGTATAGATGAAAATTAAGAGACTGATGAATTTGGCCACTAATGAAAAAATCAAAAGGAACTGTATAAGTATAGATTACTTTTAAAGCGTATTCCTGATTCTTCTCAAAATACACTCTAAAATTTAAATGTGTTACACATCTATACTCTTTAAAAATATAATTTAATCTATTATACTAATCCGCACAGGACGTGTTGTCATCTTTACTACTAGTAGGATTGTGTAAGGGTGAATAACTATTCTATCTTTTAAAAATAACACAATTTCATCGTATCACTTATTCCAGTAGACCGTAAACACATAATAATCATCATTTCATGCGACATTATCACATAACATATGTTCATTCAACACACATATTTACACAATCTCATTGACATTTTCTTTTGTATGTTTATATTGATATTGTGTTGTGTGTGTTTTTTTTCATTTGGTTTTTTTTTTTTATGGGCGAACGAAAGGAATTGAACCCGCTCATGGTGGATTCACAATCCACTACCTTGATCCACTTGGCTACATCTGCCCTTATCCTTATACTATATAAAAATACTATATCAAAATTACCTATACTTCAATTTCTACCCTTTCATTATTACTCTTTTTTTTATTTCTTATGTTGAAATAAAAAATACTAAAGAATGTTGAAGTAAATCCAAAGTGGATATATGTATTAATATTTATAAATATTAAGACTATTTAAAAAAGTAAAAGCAAAGGAGCAATATTACCAGGTGCTACGACGCTGAAGTAATCCATGCCATACTCTCAGAAAAAGCTCAAATGATCTTTAACAAAAGGATACATGTACCCTTAATCGACACAAGTGGGTAGGTAGAGAATATTCAGGGGCGCGAGACAACTCTCTCTAAGGAACTCAGCAAAATAGCCCATACTTAATACGTACTCTCAGTACATCACAATCATTTGATGCCTCCAGTGGTTCTCAAGGTCTTGCTCAATCATGTAAATAGTCGTTGGTTAGCCCATGCACATGGATATAACGTATACAATAACGGGTCACTTAGCAAAGGCATAGCTAAGAGTCTAGTTGAGAAACAAGTGTAAGGCCATGTGACGCATTCGCTCTCAGACAGAATGTGTACACATACGCGAATGTCGCTAACCACCTTACATTTCCTCCATATTTTTCTATCCTATCTAACTCTATACCTCCAGTGTATCTCTGTAACTATTTACAATAATCACATTATTCAATGAATCATCGATGACTTATTCATCGTATTTAGACATTTATTAATAACAAAGTCATACCATATCCAATGCATTCATTAAATATCATTGAAACTTGCTTAGTCATAATTTTATATTTTCTCATCATATATTTCATATGAACATAGTATAATCAGTTAACTAACAGTCAGACATATATATATCAACAATCTTTCTTTATTAATACTAATTACTCAAGCATATCTCATAAAAAATTGCTACATAAATATGCTCTATTGAGCTCAACATATAATCTATAACATATAATGATAAAATAGAGCCCCCTTACTTTATAATGAAGATCTAAATGGATATTGATGATGAAGAACGTCCTAAAATGGCACTTTTATTTTGTATCACATGAAACGAATGAGTAATCACAAATTTGGGAAGAAATCAGTGTTTGTTTTGAGGGATTTTGCCTAAGAAATTGTAGAGAGTTCAGAGAAACGAAGTTTGGGCGTGAGAGAAAGTGAAGTTTTCATGCATGAAAACCTTAGAATACCCTCAGAATCGCAACATTCTCACTGTAGTGAGAAGTGAACATGTCTTACTACAGCGAGAGATTACTCGTAACACTCTTTGCTACAGTGAGAGACTGTCGTTATAGCGAGGTGCTTTCTTGCTATAGCAAAAATATCAGATAACATTGTATTCTGTTTTCTGTATTTTTTGTTTCAGACCTTTCTCGCTACAACAAGACTTCTTGCTGAAGGTGAGACAATGTTATCCACTTCTCTTGTTATAGTGAGAAAGCTCCAGAATGTTTCAATTTTACTGCCTTATTCTCTTTACAGTGAGAATCTTATAGTTCTAACACTTCAAAATTCTTCTAATATTTTTTCACATGCATATTTATAATAACAATACAATTATAATTACTATAAAAACAGGGATGTTACAGCTTTCATAGGTATTCTTTGCAGGTGACCAAAAATAATTTAGTTATATTTTTCATTATAGATACAACTCTAATATTCTTATGTATAATATCATTTCTTATCTTATTATTTCTTGGGTTATCACTCATCTACTTTAATATTTTTATTTATGTCACTTCTACTTTTTTTCTCGTGTTGTTCCTTTATAGTTTATATCATTCACAACCATATATGATTAAGATAGAGTTAAAGAAAAAAATTAATCATAAAAAATATTATAATTTTTTATAAAATAAATAGCATTATTCTTTCAAAATTATGTTATAACTGATATAATTATGACACAACAGGTAATAAAAAGGAAAGACAAAAAAAGAAAAGAAATAAGATTAAAGAAAGAGTGACAAAGTATTATCTCAACTCTTATTTATGTTTTCATTGTTAGTTATTTATGCTAGATGAAAGATTGTTGGTTTAGCCATATATGGTGTCTGCCACTGGTGTGGTGATAAATAAGTTGAAATAATTTGAAGAAAAAAAAAAGTTATTCTCGAGATTATTTGTTTAATTTTGTCAAGTTTAAGGTAAGTACACGAATTCGCATGCCCTCAAATTTCTCTTCAATTGGTTTTGGCGGCTGTCTCAATTGGCAAAGATGACTTAATTAAATTTAAACCCACACCTGGGAGATATTCAAAAACTGCTGCTTGAAGTTGGAAGCAAAAAGTGTTAATTCATGTCTTATTTAAAGCAGTTGATGTAATCCGTCACCAAAGATATACATAATTTTATTTCAATTGATTTTTTGTACGCAGTTGATCATATTGTCCATCAAATATTGTTCAGATTAGTTATGGCCTGATGTTGTTGACTTGAACAATTTCCTCTTCATCTTCACAAATCATTAATTTTATAATTTCTCCATTTTTTAAAGGATTTACTTAGATCATTTCGCCTTCAGTGTAGAATGTTGACTTACTATTTCCAAGTTCCAACCATGGTTCTACATTGCTGGCCTTTAACTCAAATATTGGGCTTGTTATGGGAATTTTGAATGAGAAGGAAAACGAGGGAGAATAAAAAATTGGTCTTTTTGTTTTTTGGTGTGTAGAGTGAAATTTTGATGGTGGGATAATATATATATTGGTCTTAAAATGGTCTCATCCCTCCCATTTTCTGAAGATTAAGAACGAATAAAGAAAAGGCAAATGACAGCTCTTTCACCTTTTTCCTATTCTATTGCTTTTTTTTTCCCCTCTTTATGCTTTTATCTTACCAAACGAAACCGGTTTTATTAATATTAAAATTATAGTATCATTTGTAATATTATATTTAATTATTTTTATTTTTCATACATAATTTTTAAAATAAGAAAACAACTTTTAACTGTTCTTTTTGCTGTTTATATAATCGTTTCCTTATACAAAATTTCCACTATGTGACATTTGCGGGGTTCACCAATGTTCAGACAAACAACGGTTCTTTCTATAGAATACTGACTCTAATAATGTACCTAATGTGTTTGTTACTAAATCATTTATTTATATAATAAATTTTTATGACTTTTTCTATAATACATTGTTTTTTTTTTCATCTTTTATTATTATTTTTATTCTATTAACTCCATTATTTCACACCACTGTCTTCTCTTCATATTTTCCTGTTTGTCATAAAAACTTCTGTATAAAATTCCTTACTAATACAATTTCTCTGCTGTTACATTGTCTATGTTGACCATTTCTTGGCATTTGCTACATAGTAGAATTTATTTTTTTTGACATTGTATTAATATTTTGACATGCACAGAGCAAATTCATTTTAAAAATATCAGAGAGGACTACACTTCTATCCTCTTCTCTGCTAGAATTACATAAATAAAGAGGAAAATCTTACCAATCTAGAATTCATAAATTTAACTCAATCTTTTTTTCTCAACATAAAGCTTGGCAATCTTATTCAAACTCAATAAGACTATAAGTGGTAAAATAATTCACCTAAATCGTCATTAATTTTTAATTATAAAAATAAAATAAAATAATTAAAATTCATTAATTGTTTGACGGTTTAACTTTGACCAGTTTACTGATATATCCCACCCAAGCATGACCATGGTGCTCTCTCTGCATCGCCGCCATGCCCTCAAGAAAACAAACAACACTTGGAAATTTCAAGCTGAGAAAATTAAGAGAGAAAATCATTTACAATATCTGTCTAGTTTACGTAAAATCTAATTAAAAAGAAAAAGAAGGAAAGAAAAAACAAATATGGATCTGTTATGATGTGATCCCAACCCAATCCCACAGGCCATCAAATCAAACAGTAGGAGGCTGAAGACAAATCCTTGGATGGTGAATCTGTTGAAGATGTAAACTTTTGAGTGCAGGCCTACCCGTACCTGATCTCCTTTTCCAAAGACTATCTTCTTCCAACTTGGGCACTCGCTTCATCACAGGCAAAGGAGGATCCATATTCTCAATGCTTACACAAACAACATCTTTATTATTATTCTCATTCCTAACACCCTTTTGGTTTTTGGGCACATCTGCACCATTGGCTCCCACCCGTTGCCTAGTTCCACACATTGAGATGGTGGTGGAAGCTTTAGTAGTTGGTGGAGTGCTAATGATAAAGTTCTTACCAGAGAAGAGTTTTTTGAGCTTAGAGTACTTGACTACAGGTGAAGTGATGCTACTTTTGGTTATGAAATTGAACCTGTTTGATGTCGGGATGCCTGCTATTTTGTTGTTTCTCTTCACTTGACCCATGCAACTGATTCTTGGGGACAAAGGGTCGTTGTTAGAGGACACTGGATGATGCTCTGTCCACTGAGGAAGAGTCACTTCTTTGATGGATGGCTTTGAACAAAGCATTGGAAGGAATGTGCTTTTGTGATAGTGGAACTGATGCTGATGATGGTTTTCATTGCCCATGTTAATTTCTTGATTCTCGAGAGAAAGAGGGAGAGAGTGAGAGAATGGCAGAAGATGAAATTAAGAATATGTCAAAGCATTTGGTTTTGGCCAGGTCTTTGGAGTGTGAGTTAGAGGTTGTAAAATATGTACAAGGTCATGTGTTGTTTTGCGACCCTTTATCTTTACTAAGAATAAAGAAATAAACAATAAACAACAGGACAAAAGGGATCATTGCAAAGAAGGATCCTCTTCCAAGGCTGGTTCACGCATCAAAGGGAGAGGACCACTTCGGAACTCTATGTTGCTTTTCTTTGGAATTTAGCACAGATCAAGTTTTGTCTCTCTGATTAAACTCTTCAACACAGATTTTTGGTGGAAGAGGCTAATGATTCCAGCTTGCTTCTCCTCTCTCTCAGTGCTGGCTGGTGATATATGAATCATACTATGGTGGTAAAATCATAGGCTCAGCTACCCTTTGTCCCCTTCTTAAATGTCCACTTTATGTAATTACTCTATGGTTGCTTTTTTTTTAACTTGCAAGTTGCACAGTAATAGGATATATGCATGCATAATATGTTATTCTTTTGCTGACTAAGTAATTACCAACGTGGAATAATTTGTGCAATGAAACTAGGATAAGTACAAGTGTATTTTATGATTATCCCTTCCACCAAAACACATCAATTTTTTTTATATAATTGCTCATGTTATCCCGTCCCCCTTCATACACTACTTGAATAATATATAGACTAAAAAATATAATTAGTATTTTTATTCATATTAAAATTATTATTGACTTCAAAATATATTTTTTGTTAATATCTCTCATTTGTGATAAATAAAAAAATATTTCTTTTGCAAAATAAACAGATAAACGGAAATTAAAAAACAAATACTTCACGGTGTTTGCAACGAATTTTCTGATTTTTATAGTCGAACATAATAATCTCAGTAATTTTTTACACGTATTATGAGGTGAGCCCCGTTTACCGATATGCAAATAATTCAGAGAAGGCATTATTGTAAGAGTCTTGCTAAAGCGTAGAGTAAATAGAATGAGGATGATTAAGAAGTAAAAAAACAAATAAATTTATTAATTATATATTTTTTAAAAATATATTTTAACATATTATAACTATATTTTTTTAAAAACGTATTACAGGTATACTTTAAATTAATTTTTCTAATTTGTAGAAACACTATAAAAAATTGATAAACAATTTTCTTAAGGATACAAATAAGACAAGTTTTTTTTTATATTAAAAATATAAGATATTATATAATTTAACGTATTACTAATATATGCTGATTAATTTTTAATAAAAAGTATTTTTTTAATTTATTATTATGTATCATTAAACACACATTAAAAAGTTTATTTATTAACATACTCTTACTAAAGGAAATAGGTATATCTTTATACTCATGGTTGTTAACATACAATGACTTATTTTTTAGGAGTAGTATATTAACAAGTTATAATTTTTATTTTTAATAATATAATTTGTTAAATAAATTTTAAAAAAATCAATTAAAATATACAGATAATGTAAAAAAAATTATACTATCATTTAATAATAAATTATTATATTATTAAGAATCATTTGTTTTTATGACAATACTTAAAAAGTCAAATTAAATTAATTTATAATTAATTAACAGTATAAAAATCCTTAAATGAATAATATATCAAAATTAAATTATCTAAAAATTAGGAAAATGTATATTAAATATTTTAAAAATGTTTGACCTGAAAATATTTCCATTAATAACGCATTAACTAGTAATTTAGTGTGTCTTTTTCAATGTAATATTTTAATGTATCAAATGGAAAAAAAAAAAAAAAAGTAATGCAATCTAAACATTTTTTTTTAAGTTCACAATGCAGGAAATTCTCGTATAAACATAAGTTTAACTTAAATACACCGAGGCAATAACATTTATTTAATAATAAATAATATTATATTATTATTTAAAAAAGTGAAAAATTACATTTCGTTAAAATATCGATTAAAAAATATATTTAACATAAATAACAGTATTGAATATATCAAAATTATTATTATTTAATGTTTAGTTTTTAGTAATTAAAATTTCAACAAAAAAGTGATTGTAAGAAAAATAATGATATTTTGTTAACTGATTCTTAGTCTAATAATATAATTTTTGTCATGTATTTGTTTTCTCTCATAGTTATATATCTTTTAAATTTTAAATTAACTAAAATTAATTTTTACTATTTAATTATTTTTTGTTAAGAGATATTTTTACTTTTCTTAAATTTTAATTAATATTAATTTTTCCAATCAATATTAAATAAAATATATTTTGTTAATTTTCCATAAAATAATTGATGATTAATAAAATTATTTAATTTTTTCAAAAATAAAAAGTTTAAATATTATATTATATTATATTTGATTTCTTTTGTTAGTAACAAAGATTATGTAATACCTTAATATTTTAATTTTCTTAATTAACATCATATAATGTCGTTTATATAAATAAATATCTGCCGAGTACTTGTTAATTTTGTACATTGAATTTTTTTTCCTAGAAAGAATTAAAATTATTTAATTCACCCCAAACTCCTTATGCTACACTAGGGATGGCTTGAATGTGTCCTAAATAATCGAAGGAAAATAATTAGTATATATTCATAAAATGTATATACTTAGTAAGAAATTTTAAAATATATGATAAATAATGTCACATGAAATAAAGAAAATAAAACTTGAAATATTATATTGTGTAAAATTAAAATCAGTATAAAATATGGTGATGGGGTAGATGGATTCAAATTTTGAAAATTGTAGCTTTGACTTGATGTTAACAGTCAAACTGTGATAATCAAGTTCGCGTGTTTTGCGGGAAGGGCCCACCATGTCATCGCACTACTCACTACGCAATACGTGGCAGCTATTGCCTATTTTTCAATAAATAGGTTTTTGTTTAACGGCTAACTTTTTTTTTATGATTTTTATTTTTTAAAATAAAAAAAATATGAGTTTTTTGCAAAATTATAGAAATATGGAGTCACAATTTTTATTACAGAACAAGTATTCAGAGATAAAATAAAAAAGTGATGAAGTTACAAAAGTCACCAATGACAATTTTTTTAAAAAATATTAAAAAATGAAAAATTGCCAATAGCAATTTTTAAAAAATTAATTAAATATTTAAAAAATACATCAAAAGTTGTCAGTGATAATTTTTTATTAAAAGTAGCTAATGGCAATTTTTCAAAAAAATTATATTTCTGTAATTTTGCAAAAAAATCCCATATTTTTTAATTTTTTTTAAAAAAAACCCATATATAAAAAAAATTTCCTTTGTTTAACACTTAAGAAAATTGCTAACAATTTTAATTTAAGAACGTATAATTACTTCTCATCAATATATTCTTTTTTATTTCTAAAGTAGAGTTCTTTGCTTTTTATTTTAAATTTATATATTTTTTGGGTAAATTTTTAAATTAATATATAATTATATTTTATTCTCTTTTTATGTTTTATACACACATTTCAAAATAATAGCAATAATAATATGTTTAAATATCTTTCTCTAAATGTATAACAAATCCTGACTCAATAACGTTTTATGGTGTGGTGAAACTATTATGAAGAGTGAGTGACTTTCAGTTTTTTCAACAATATTAAAATATTTGAAATTTTGCAACCAAAACTTATGAGATTATATATCCAAAACTCGTTATAAATTCTTTTGTAAATATGCAACTTTCAATTGATAGAATAGACATTTATGTCTTGTGATATTAATTTGACTATTTTTTTTCTTGTTAAAAAAACACAACATTTTTGTTAAAATTAAATCCTATATCTAAAACAACATATTTAATTTTTGTTAAAATGCATAACAATATTTATTATATAACAATAGTAGTGTAATTTTTTTACACTGTCCAATACATTTAAATAAATTTATAAAATAATAGAAAATGAGGAGTTTTTTATAGGAATATTGTTAAAAAAAAAAAATTACTCAAATAGCACCTTACCCATTTTATTTATAGATGTAGACTCAATTTCGGTGCAAGCTATTGGCATCCAAAATTCGGTTCCCTGGAACCGAATTCTGAGTTGCTATTTCTTTTTTTTAAATTTTATTTTATGTTTTAATATAATAAAATAAATATTATTATTTAAATTACATTTATATATTTATTTATTTATATTTTATTAAAACAAATATTTATAAATATTTTATTAGTTATATATAATAAAATAAGGTTTATTATTTAATTTATGTTTATATTTTTATATTATTTAAAAATAAATAAAAATAATATTAATATTAATTTTAAATGCTTATTAAAATTTATTTGACATATTTAAGATAATAAATAATATTTATGTTTTTCTTATTAATTTTTAAATTTTTAAAAACTAATTAAAATAATTAAATAATAAGTAAATTAGTTTAGATAATTTTGAAAAATAAATAAAATATTTAAATCATAAGTATATTACTTTAGATAATAATGTTAATGGTTAGATTATTTATACTTAAAGAATAATAAATCTATTTTTAAAAATTAAATAAATATATTAAATATTATTCTATTTATTTATTTATTTAAATATGTAATTTTGACTTAATATTTTTAAATATTAGTATGATAAAATGATATTTTGAATAAAAATTTTATTTTAATTGAATTAATTTTTTTAAAAATGACATTATTTAATATTATAATTTTTAATACTTTAAACTCTAAAACTTTACTATTATAATTTTAAATAAATTTTATTTGAGAATAAAAAATTATTTTAAAAAAATATTTTAAATTATAAGTTAATTATTTATAGTTGGGACAAATATTTTGAAATAAACGTTTTCATATTACTAAGATAACATTGATGAAGACAAAATACATTAATAAAGATGATAACAAATTCATAACAACATTAATAATTAACTATTTCTATAATGATGGTCAATTCCACAACGATGGCGACGTTTGTGACGTGGTGGAATTGTGGCAAGTTTCAAAAAGTTTACATCCTATGCTTGCATGTATTTGTTTTATTTTTATACACACACCACAATTTTGACATTTATATATATCCTATATATACCTTACAACAAGTTTATAAGGTATACGAATGTCAGTTTAGAGAACTGAGACATGAAGACTATTGACCAACGTACACGAGGCCAACTTTATGTCCAAATCCAGAACTGAAAAGAACTTTAAAGAGTCGACTCAAGTCCAGTAGAATAAGAACAGAGATGGACATTAAAGAACAACAAAGTCCGGCAAAAAATTGTTCTTATTGTTATATTCTTGGTCACACAAGGAAAATATGTCCAAATATCGCTCAAGCTTCTAGTTCCTGCCATTAATTTATGTTGTTGTTATTATTTTAAAATTTTCTTAATGTAATTTTAAATTTTATGAATGTCATTGTAACTTTTAAATTTTTAATATTTATAATTTATATTAAATATATAATTATATATAATATATCTACATAATATTATTTAATTATGTTTATTAATATTAATAACATATTTTTTAAATAAATAATTATGTATAAATTTTAATAAAGATTAATATTTCAAAATAAATAAATAAACTAGTTATGATTTAAATAAATTATTATTATAATATTTATTTTATACAAATTTAAAATTAAATAAATTATTATTGTAATTTAATTTTTTTTTATAAATATAATATTAAATAACTAAAAATATAATTTTAGAATATAATATTAATATCATTTTCAAAAAATTAAAATTATATTAAATAATATAATAAAAAAACATAAATATTATTTATTATCTTAAATGTCAAATAAATTTTAATAAACATTTAAAATTAATATTAATATTTTTTTTTAAATAATATAAAAATATAAACATAAATTAAATAATAAACCTTATTTTATTATATATAACTAATAAAATATTTATAAATATTTATTTTAATAAAATATAAATAAATAAATATATAAATATAATTTAAATAATAATATTTATTTTATTATATTAAAACATAAAATAAAATATAAAAAAATAGCAACTCAGAATTCGGTTATCTGGATGCCAATAGCTTCCACTGAAATTGGGTCTACATCTGTAAATAATAAATTGGCTAAGGTGCTATTAGAGTAATTTTTTTATTTTTTTACAATATTCCTGTAAAAAACTCGAAAATGAGAGTGTATCAAATTAAACTAAAAAATTCAAAAACGGGGAACCAATCACGTGGGAAGAAATTTGATTGAGGGTTGAGACTCGATGCATTTCTTTGCGGCCGACACGCCATCAACGTGTACATGTGCGAGGCACGTGATCAAACACTTTTGATATCTTGTGGAGTTGATCTTTAGGTTCTACCATTATAAAACATAAGCACACTTTTTATACTTAAAAAAGGTAACTGCACTTTCAGTTTTTTACACTAATTCTGATTATTTATTTTGCATCAAATTAATATATGGTGTGCTTTGATGTTTAAGTATAATTAGTGCTTAACTAAAAATATTTTAAAATGTATGTTAAATGACACATTTATTTGGACTGAATGACCTAATTTTCATCATTAAATTTGCTTTGCGAATCAATATTTAAAAAAACTGAGTTATTAATAATCTCTGATACCTTTTTCAGCCTTCATCCAATGTTTTGAGTTATCAAAAAAAATTAGAGATTCTTTCAAATGAAAACGAATCAATTTAATTTTTAAATATCGAAGTTCTAAAGTTGAACGAAAATTATCTGCCATCAACCGGAAGTTTATCCACAGCATTCGACTGAGTAGAGAATCATCTATGTTATATAACCTGTGGTTGTTAAGAACATAAGTTGAGAGTTTAGAATTTTAAAAACTTGCACATGCACATGCTTAGTTTCAATAAAGTTTGCGTTTCAAAAATAGATTAAAAAATATATAAATATAGAGATAAATTTAACACAGAAGTTGTAATTAATAACATTAAAACAAATATAAATTTATACCCATTCAAATGGAAGTCTAAACATATTAAAAGTTTTAACAGTTACTTTATTTCACACATTTTCATATGTATATTAGTCTGGTCCTTCCTCATAATATTTTGCTTTGTATTATCATGACTGAGTAACTTCAAATAGAAGCAAGAGAAATTACTTTTGGAATCAACTTTCTCTGTTATCAATCTAAAATCATATCTATGCTTTTGGAATTGAAAAATTGAAGGTGTTGAGAGACCAAAAACTTAGTAGATTGTGTCCCAAGAAAAGGAGAAACTAAACGTAAAAAAAAAAAAAAAAATCGTACATAAAAAATTTAAAAGAAAATATATGACAAGGAACATCACCATTATCTAAAGGAAACGGCCCAAAAAAATAAACAATTATTGATATAGTAAAATAATAAAGAGAAACAGACATGTATGTCTTACCAAAACACCTTAAAATAGGTACTACCAAATATTGTCGTAAAAAAAGTGGACATGTATGTCTTTGAACTATGATCTCTATGTGCTGCACTACACGTGCTGGATGGATTATTATACAGTGTCCAATTAATTTTTCGTTTACCGAGAAATCTATGTGGAATGGGTAAATATTAGTAGAAGTTTAGCAACAGATTGGTATGCTCTAACTTTGTTTTTAGATCAGTCAAACGTACAGAAGTTTATTTGACCCAAATCAGATCATAAAACTGTGAAATTCAACTTTAAGATTATTTAATCGAGAATATCTCTGTCACACAATTTGCCAACAATTATTAATTAATGATTAATTTATTAAATATTTAAGTGTCTATAATAAAACATTAATAAATAAATTTTTTATTAAAAATTACAATTTAATGTTATTAATATATTAAATTCTATAATTTTTAATATATATATATATATATATATATATAATAAAGTATTATTATGCGCCATTTAGCATATATTAAAAAAACCTTTTAGCTCATGAACATGTGGGTTACGAGGAGGGTGAGGCTCCATACCTTGTATAATACTTGCATTATCAAGGGAATAAAACGCATTATAAGAACATGAGAGAAAGAGACAAGGCAATGGTGCTATCCAGCGTTGTCAAATGAAGCATAAGCTATTTTCTTGATATGGTGGGCAAGATTTCACGTATCTCTTCCAAATTTCCAATAAAGCTCCTTTCAGTTGAAACATGGACGAGACAATTAGAATGGGACATGCATAATGTCCCTTCACTCCTAGATAATTTATTTCCCCTCATTCTTAGTGTGATATCTTTATATTGATTCCAGATTGGGTTAGATCTAGTCGGTATGTAAGGGAAAGGGTGATCTAGGTTTCCAGCTCTAATGCCTCAATTTCCATAATTGGTAGTCCTTCACGTAGTTTGCATTTAAGGAAGTGAAATAATTTAGGTAAGATTTGCATTCTAATCTTCTAACTTTATTTTTTATTTTAGTTTTTTTTTCATTTTGATCATTTACCTCTTTGTTTGATTTTAATTTAGTCCTATTTATCAATTATAACAAGAAAATGCCACAATTAATTTAAAAAAACCATAACTAGTGACAGTAAAAAACTACTACAATTGACAAATTGGACCAAAATGAAACTAAATAAAATATATTTAAAAAAATGAAATAAGAGAGAGAAAACTAAAAAGAAAACAGTTAAAAAAAAATCGAAGTATTCATTTTATCAATAATTTACTAAATAAAATGAACAGTCAATTCATTCCGTGCAAGTGAACCACGGACACAGGAGTACACATAATTGAAGGGTAACTGTATTAGGATGTAACTAACCTGCGATGATGTATTCAACGCTTATGACATGGTTAAGATCCGACATGTCCCTCAAGTCCCTAGATATTGCTTTACTTGATCCAGCATATTGCATATTCACCAAAAGACATTTGGGAGCTGAATAGAGCATTGCAATAATAGTTGACCATGATCAAATGGAGAAACCACAGTTTAGGGACATTAACCTATCATCACTGCCATTATGAGATGGACAAAACCATCATTTATGATTTATTATTCTGACTTCTGAAATCCAACACTGAACACACCAACAAAACTACTTGCATAAATGAGGTATGGCTTATATTTATTTATATACGAACGGGCTAATAGCATAGCAGTATGACCAATATTCAACGTATGCAGGAGTTAATTGAACTGAATTTAATTCTTTTTAAGTGAAAAGATGTATAAATTTAAAAAGTAAATATGCATCCACCATTGATTTCAAGTAAAAGATATTGTAACCTTAACTAGCTTTAAATCAGCAGTAAATGCATCTTCAGTTGTTCATTTCAAATCTGCTTGTTTTTCCTTTTCCACTGCAATATTTTTCTCCTCTCGGTAAACTTGACTTACAACGAAGTGGGGGTATTGGAAAGCATGAAAAATCGGTTCTACTGGGTAAACAAATGCTCTTCATACATTTACTCAAACTAGATTTGCATCTTCATACTCTCTTTTTTACCATTGCAATATGCAAAACCAAATGCAAAATTTGTTTGTTGCAATTCTAAAATCTATATGAGATCAGAGTTACAGAGGGCATAGTGGTCATGGTATTGCCATTCCTAACATAAGGAAAGAGGACAGCTACCACACAGAGGACAACATAAATGAATTTACACAAAGCGAAAAAATATGGTATATGATGGGGGAGAAAAAACGGTTGTAGCTAATTCCGATTAATTAAGAGGAGGCGTTACCCTCAGGTGCATCTGGCTCATCTTGAGGCGGATCAGATTCAATTTTTTTATCCTCAAGAAGTGAAACTTCATCCGCAGTATGCTCTGTTGTATTAATAGGTACTTCTGATTTATTATTTGCATCTTCAGGTCCACTGTCTGAATAATCTGCCGTGGTTTCAGCTTGGTCTTGAGCATTATTTTGGGGATTGGATGGAGGATGAGATGTAGAAGAGACACCTAACCCTTTGGAAAGACAAACATACTTGCAAACAAGTTGTTTGTAATTATTTAGCAGGTCTTCAACTTCAACTACTGTCAGGTCGCCTACCCTTGCAAACAAATATGGAAACTCCCTGAAAACTTCAGACAACTTATCCTCCTTTAAAATCATATTTGCTCCTTTATTCTCCAAATCTGATAGGGATGGAACTTTCATGATCAATGACTCGTCTGCAAAAGTAACTTTCTTGCCTTCTGATTTTGCACCAGAAGATGGAGTTCGTAATGCAGTGTCCTTATTATCATTCAATGCTTTATTTCTGTGCTTAGTAGGTTCTGCTCTAGGATACTGTCCATTATTTGGATAAGGTGAACTGGGATCTTGAGTATCAGCTGAAAGCAGAGCACGAGCAAATTCCATGTTTCTCTCAAACTCAGCCTCATCCATTGAAATGGATTTTGCATCAATGTTTGAGATGAAGGACTCAGCAGAGAGCATGTTTGTAAAATAATATGCAGCTTCTGCAACCAATCGAGATTGACGTCTAAACCTTTGTATGTACAGTAGATTTGAGTGCAGTTGCGGAGGGTTTGCCTGCATAGTATCATTAGTAGAAGATGTTTCATTTAACAGTAAAACCAAGTATATCCACGTTAAAATGATACCTAACAATAGAGCTTATGAGAATATGTGATTGCTCCGCATAATTATCATTTTTCTAATTGCAGGTAACAGGTATAAAAGAGAAATCCCATCTTCAAGAATGCACTAGCAAATAAATAACTGTATATAAGTCTCTTCCTGAAGTCTATATCACTTGTGTTGTTTCATCATTCTTCAGTTTGGGCAAAAATAAAATTAAAACTACAAAATCATGTGGATCCCACTCTTTTTCATTCCTAATTTAATGTTTTTCTCTCATACTTTTATAGTTTTAAATAAATTTTAGTCAATAATTAGGAATGTGTTAAAAGAGTGTTTTAGAGTGTGTGTTACTAGCATTTCTTTTGATAACAAACATTTCAAATGAAAAGGTCATATCTCAGCACCATGAGCAGCCCAAACGAACAAGTACTTAAAATTGAAAAATGCAACCAAACCTCCCAAAAAGAGGATATGCATAGTTATGGACGATATGGTCATGCCAGGATGACTGGATCAGTGCATGCAAGATGATATTTTAACACCTCATAAAATATACTCTCGTGAAATAAGTCACAAGTGACTTCACATAACTTCACAGAATACAAGCTTTATTAGTACAAAATCGTAAGAGAGAAAAACAAAGCAAAGTGGCATAATAAAAAAAGGAAAGATTAATAGAAGTGCAGATAATAACATCATCTTCTTAAATAAAATCATTTCTACTTGAGAATTATGTATGTATATATTTCTGATGAAACATTGAGATTACCTTTAAGGTAACATAAATCAGCACAGGAAGAAATTCATCAGCTCCTGGAGGATTCTCTTTGGAAGCAACAGAAGCATTGAGCAGCAAGTTACCGATAACCTTGCAACAATTCAGAATACAGACAAGTTTGTCTCTGGGTGCCTTGTACATGTTGATCTTCTGCAATTCTTTCTGAGCAAGCTAGCACCATAATAAAGAGAGAAAATATTGGATTTAAAGGGAGCAGGAGTATATACAGAAAATCATAAACAAATCAAAATTGTAACGTTTAGTCACCAAAACCATAGTAAATAAAAGCACAAGTTAGGAATAATTCTTCCAGTGTTTCTGCCTGAAACTAATAAAATAAGTACTTAAAAGCTGATAGTGACTAGTGAGCACCTCAGGCTACATCTAACAGAAAATTCGTTCTTAGGAAAAGCTTGGCTAATCAAGAAAATTATGCATTAAACTTTTCCCATATCCATGTATCTAAGTTCATTGAAATCCAATACGTGACAAACCCAAGAACCACTCAATCTAAAGGCATTGGGAAATGATGACAAAAAATGAGTGTTTAGTGTTAACTAATAGTTAAAGGTAGAGAAAAGATAAATAATCATTTATCATGTGCTAAAACTAAATTTTGACAACAGGGATCCCTATGATATGAACTTTAGAGTAGACCACATTGTCAGAGGTGTGGCTGTCCCACCATGTCAAAGTAGTATGTAGGATTCAGGCTTAGAATTCAATTATACAATTCTCAATGAGTTCAATTACTGGCTTTGTGAGCAGCGCCAAAAATTTTACTGTTGCATTAAACCAAACTACAAGAGAGATGAAAATAATTAGGCAGCATTTGAGATCGATGTGATGGCAACAATGGTTGACAATCCAATAATTCATTAAAAATAACTTCATGCAGTGCCCCTTCGTAAATGATAAAATGTTGTGGTTAACATAAGCAACATGAGCTTAGCTGACATAATTGTAGACAGAGAGGTAACTGAAAATAAGTTTGGATGTTACTCACCAACCATGATGTTTCATTCTGAAATGCTGGCTTGATATCTAAATTTTCTGGTCGAATAAACTGTTGAATCAAAGCCATCTTCTCAGAAAGTTGGTCATCAAGTTTTACATCATCCGAAAGCGAAGCAAATACACGAGCAAATAACTTGGTCATGACATACTTCTCAAGCCCCTGTATATGATCAAAACCAGGAGGCAAGACGATCAACTAAGATAGGAAGAATTATAAAAATTTTGCCAAGAAAAGAACATAGAATGATGCTTTGTGTAGAAGCAAACATTTTCTTGTTGTGTTCAAGAAAAACAACAAGAACAATTAAAACTAATTTGAGCTGTGTCTATCGGTTGGAGTTTAATTAAACCGAAGAGAATGAGCTTCCTTAAAACAACTTTCATAACAGAAAGGCAGGGATGGGAGTTTAAATTGATAGACTGTGCCTATATAATTACCACTAGTAAGCTGCAATAATACATGTGCCTTGAACTTGGCTTGCTTCTTTTCCAAAAACACTTGTGTTGACTAGAATGTATCAAACATACAATCCCACCATTAGGTTGACCTCACTCCAAATTTTATTTACCTGTATTGTCACTGGAGGAAAACAACCTTTCATACATTGGCTAACAAGTTTTTAGATAAATTTTGCATCTTACTGTAGTGAAATTTATTTGTATGGAAATTAAAAAAAAAATTCATTTCAAATTTCTCTATCATGTCGGACCTTAAATGCCTAAAAGATCTTCAACCAACTCCAATTATCGAGTATCATAGACATTGTGAAGTTGACATCCAGGGCAAACCAAGTTTCCAAGCCAATACTCACCCAAAAGGGATTAAATAATAGGAAAAAAGCATAAATATGTCTGACCGACAATATTGAGGAACACAAGTAAATGTCAAGAAAGCATAGGGGAGAAATGAGAACCAACAGTGTCTGAGAAAATTAGTTTGTGCAAGCAAAATATTGAGTGGAGATTATTTTGGTACTGCTTTCTTTTATGTAAAAATATATTGTATCAGAATAAAATGGTGTCCCCAACTACATTGCTACAAGTTAGCCAATCCTACACTGAAATTAGTCAGCAATGAAATAGAGCATGCAGATACCAATACTACTTACTAATAAGAAAACAAGGATTAGAAATTAAGATATGCATTTTTCCGTACTGTTATCTATAGTCTATATTTCCAAATTATTCACGATTTACAAAATGAGGTTCACATTTTCAATACCAGTTGAAACAATAGATAAATATGTCCCTTGATGAGATTAGGGAGCCTTTGCATAAGCTTTTAAAAAAAAAGTGTTCTCATGATATTTCATTTTTTAGAGCCTCCTTTTTTTTTTCTCCATAAACTACAATTTTTACTCTTGAGAAAAAGCACTAATATTTACTTTTTTGTCCCAAAAACTTATCCTTTTTTTTTTAAAAAAAAATGACAGGAAGGAGATGGAACCTATAGGGTGGGGCATAGGGGTCCCAATGGCATCATGAGAAGACCAGCTGAAACATGACCTCCAGGATTACTGCACAGGCCTAAACCACAAGCAATTTTATCCAGTTGTAACTAGTCAACTAGCCTTTAGGTGCTAGGGATCTCACTGGGGAGGGATGCAGATCAAATGGGATTTTGAACGGCTACAAGGGGATTCAAACTTGTGCCCATGAAGAAGGCGAGGATTTTCCTTCAGATCCCAGATCATTAGTGCCAACCTGCCCTTTTTTTATCATGTTTTAAAATATATAGGCACTTGGTTTTTCTTTAGATTTTAGAAAGACAAACAAACAGGCCCCTTAAGGTGAGGATTCAGATAGATTTTCACAAGCTTCTTTCTAGTGCTCATGAACATGTCGCTCAAACTCCATGCTTTATGAATGAAAAATGGTAGAATTTTCATTTTGGGCAAAAGGACCTCTGATTATCTACAACAATCCCAGAACAGCAATTTACTAATATATGCTACAGTGCTACCAACAGGCTGGTTTTTTCTTTTACATTGTGCAACAACCATGACATCTGTCCTTGCCAGTTGCCACTCCTATAGGCAACATACAGCATTTTTTCTACCAACTCACCGAGGTAGAAAGATCCGCACACCCCAACAGCTGAACTAAATTCTGTCTCTCCCATTCCCAAATCATATTTACAAAATTTCAAACCTCACTTATAGAATTCACCATTACTAAAAAAAGAAAAACCTAGAAATGTCCTTCAGATATAGGACATGGGAAGAGAAGTGGGTTGCATTGATTGTACGGATAACCCAATTCAATCATCCCAACATCCACGGCTAAGATAAAATCTGCAATGTAAATACAGTAAGTCAAATTAGGAAGTTCAACGTAAAGTGATGGTAGAGTTAGTACAGGGTAGTGAGTACCGAGTAGATTAGATACAGTGAAAACTGAAATATCTTAATTTATGAAGAGCAACAAGTAGAAAGAACATGTTATGAGTAAAGCAGAAACTGACTTCACCGGCACTTTCGAGTTCCTCCTCAGAGCAACCAGACCAAAGTGGATGAGCTCTGAAAGCCGCTTCCATGTTGGCGAGGAACTCTTGAACCGCAGCACTGTCCCTCTCGGGATCAGGAGCATTATTCGAAAACGAAACAATGAAACTGCGATAATGTCAATTGATTAGGGTTCCGATTCTAACCTAAACCATGATCGTAATAATATAAAGAGCGAATGGAAACGAAAAACCTTTTGATTCCTTTGACGAAATCAGCGGCGGAAGGTTGCCGCATGCGCTCGAGGAAGTCGTGTAAGCCCAAAAAAACGTCGGCGTTTTCCATTCTCCGCCGTCTCAGCAGCTACAGCTTCGTCTTCGTTGACAACGCCAAGACGGAGACACGATCCAATACAATTAACATCCCATTTTCACCCAAATCCAGACATTTTATTATATTCCACTTCTTCTTAGTAATTCTTACAAGGGTTTGTGTTAATTACTGATGTAAACATCTAGAAATCAATCTCACATAATAAATTTATTATATAGAAAATATAATATATTTTTAATAAAATTTTATTGTCATTAATTACTTAAAATCAATCTTAAATTCTAATGCTAATATTTTATTTTTCATAATATAAGAAATTTGTAAACACGTAAACGTAAAAAAAATATTTTTTATTAAAAATATATTATATTAAAGCTTTAAAATATAATAAATAATTTTTTAATAAAATATTATTATTTAAATTAAATTTATAAAATAACAAGAAAAATATTAAAAAATATATAAAATATAATAAAACTTTTTTAACAATTATATTTTTCTCTTCTTATCTATTTTATAAATAATTGATATCATATTCTATAAAAAAAATTATCAAATAAGTGTTTAAATTAGTAACATTTTTAATATTTTTTTATCAAAAATGAGTTTTTTAATCTAATTTTGATTTTTGAAATATTATTATAAAGATTATATACATCAAATTTTATTCAATTTAATTATTTATAAATATGTAACTCAACAGTAGTTATTTATTTATATTTGTATGATATATCATCCGTTGATATATTGAGCCAGTGAAATACCAATTGGTAAGTTATTAGAAATTGAATTAATAAATTTTATTTTTAATAAAAAAAGTTATACAAAGTTATTGTATTAAATTTGACTTATCATATCATTTAATCCTAACCCTAAAATAAATGTTCATTAATTTTTAAAATGACAATAAAAATGAACATAAACATAGTATCGAAGTAATCCCCATTCATGACAAGAGAATAATCATTCTACCCAAGGCAGAAATCTTTAAAATGAAAATCTTAGATCTTATATTAAATTGAAAATAATTTTATTCAACTTCATAGTTTTATTTTAAATTTTGTGTCTCTGGAGTAGGAATAATGCTTTAACATTTAATTTTGTCTTATTTTCCGTACACTGATTTTGCACATAAAATATTCGTGGAGCTACGTGTTTTTAAGATTTATTTGATCATATTCTAATTAAATTGATATTTACTCCTCCAATTTTTATGGATGGATATCTAACAGATTCACTTTAAATTATTATATTATATTTTTATAAAAATAACACTGATATTTATACACAATCAATACTTGAAACTGGATCCATCATTTAAATACCTATGTTCAACTAATAGACTTTTGGCCACTTAATTTAATGAATTGTAAAATATTATGAATAACTCATTATCCAATAACAATTGATAATCTAATTCATTTTATCTATTAATTTTTTATTTTATAACTTGATGGATCGATTAAAATTATTTTGTATCACCCAGTGAAAAAGATTTCCTTTACTTGGTTTAATTTCATTATAAATTAGAGTGGAGATGCATGTAATTAAATGTTAATTTACTTTGTAATTCTTCATCTATCAAAATTGATTTACTTAAAAAGAAAACATGAGAGTCGATAAGGGCACCTTACATTATTCATTAGGAGGCATCGAGCCAATAACAATTATCTTTCTTGGTGCTCTTTGATGTAACTTTCTTGTGCTGGCTTCTGAACTTAGTGATGATAACCACTACAAAAGTGAGAAATATTTCGTAGTTTAACTTTAACCCCTGTCTTTTCTTATATATATATATGATCAAATGTGAATACATACGACATATGAACTTTGTCATCAAAACAATGATCACGTTTAACTCATTAGAAGAACTATCAATACATTGTTTTGCATTACAAAGGGCGAAATAACCGATCTCACCCACCTATAAACTATAACAAAAACACTTTAGAAAAGGAACATATCAAAATTATAAAAAATAGAATAGACTATGTTACATAATTCCGAGAATAGTTGTCATGCCTCCCACACTAAAAAATAAGACTGGAGGGTGTGGTGAACATATGTATATCCTTAAGTCCACATTCATGCAATTGCTAACTTCAGCTAGCTTTCACCAAAATGATCAACCAGCCTTGCTCTTTCTATGGATCAGGAGATCTTCCATGTTATATCTGTTTGCGAAAGAATTCTCACTCTCAAATCTGGAAACTGTCTGTTTCAGCTGCAATTAAATAATCAGTACCTCTTCCAACCAGAAAAAACAACCCTCGTTTGAATCAATCTAAAATAAAGCACTCCAAACAGCTCCATCCCCTTCACCACACTTTGAGTGTACATATTTAATCTTCTCCACTGACTTGCAGATTCCACTGCAGCTCCAATCAAATGATGCAACACATATGTTACCTGCTTGTGCCTTCCACTCACAATCTACACAAACATTAATCTTAAATAAGAACCGTAGCCAAAAGAAAAAAAGGGGCAGATGGATTAAGAATCTAATGAACTTCAAATCATCTTTTAGTCCTGACTAAGATGTGCATGTAGATGCCACTGCGCTTTATGATTGCTTCCAGCTTATCAAGCTGAATGTGATTAAGAAAAGAGAGATACAAAATTATATAAGAAATTTCAGTTGTATATAAGTAGTCACTTATCCAGTGGCACCAATAAGTGCTAGAACTTAGTGGTACTTGAAACCAATATACATTATCTATTTCTCTGACAATCTGACTGCATATAAGATATAGGTAGAGTGTTTGCTAGTTACACATTTTCAGGCTATATACCTGGAGGAGTTCCACAGCACATATTGCGGTCATCTATATGCTCAACTTCAAGACCAATGAACCATGCACCAAGTGAGACATCTTCATTAGCATATTTATGCAAAATTGGCCTGCAGTCGCAATAAGGATCCATAGAATATTTAAATTTAGGACAAATATACAATGATTCTTGCTGGTCCTATAAACATGGACTGATCCACAATCTGAGATTTCATATTTGGAAAAATTTTAACTTGTGAAAAAATCTTTCTCATTTCAAAAAAAATCTGCAGAATTGTTCAAAAAAATTATTTGCCGGCAAATATTGAAAACAGTTGCTGATCTGGGTATCCCTGCATACTTTATCTAGCAAAAAATACATCATTGTTGTCCATAGAGCAGAAGATAGCCAATTAAGTACTGCATGAAAAATCATATACATACTGGTTGATGGATATGTAAGTGGCTAGATCCTTGGAGATTGCATATATCTGTCCAGTGGCATGTCGGAAGTATTTGTTCCCCTCTTCTCCAAACTTCCAAAACTCAGGTTCATGGTACTTGACATCCCTAGAATACAGAAACAATGTCAAACATCCATACAAAGCCACAATGGGGGGCATAGAAGAGGGAATAGTCTCTTTCCTAATATTTTATACACACACACACACATAGGAGTCCAGTGGAATTACTTTCGAGAAAGAACAGGTCCAGATTTCATACACCCAATGTAGACCCTTGGTTTTGATCGATGACGAGCAAGGGTTGATGCCAGGACACCTAAACAGCAACATATGTTAGAATACTAAAACTTACTAATGAGAGAAATTGGACAGAAGAAGGTGGTAAAGAAGTCAAGAATCCAGAGATAGCATATACCTAAATTGACATGGACATCATCATCCACCTTGACATAAAAATCGGCATCCCACATTGCAACTGCAGTCGAAAAGAAAATCTTTGTCTTTGCAGACAGCTCATGATACCCTTCAACATGCTCCTACAAGATATGCAAAGTTCAAATAATAATGTAAAACCAAATATCAGGCCCCCGCCAGATTATCAATATTTTTCTCCCACAAAAAATTGTAATTAACAATGATCTGTCTTACCAGGCGAAGGAAGTCTTTGTGTTGGGCTTCTTCTGAATCAATAGCTCGATCTAGAATGCTGTTGGAAGTTGCACTGTTATAACAATGGCAAAATCAACCCATTTTAGTGCCAATAGGACCCGATTTAAAAAAAAAAAAAAAAAAAACCATTAATATGAAGTGCTCCTGAGATTTTAATCCCTGACTTATCATATTCAAGTATAAAATAGATAGAGCATGTAATGCACAATTAAGTTGCTTAGAAGCCGAGAAGTGAATAAGAGATGAATATCATTGTAATATGAAAAATACGACCATCAAGGGATGCAGGCTGAGGGGGCCAAAAATGGATGAAATATTATGAAGCACTTTTTAGTCTTTATGTTAATGAACTATAGTAAAATAGAGAAAAATATTCAAATATGTCCACATTGACAAAATATGCAATGCCGCAATTGTGCATGCTTTTTTGCTTTTCAATTATACAAGACAACAGCGAAATTTTCTAAATCAGTCACATCACTCGTGTAAGGGAAGAAGACAAACATTTATATTCATCTTAATATTTTATATATAACTTTAGCAAACAAAATTTCAAATAATGGGGGAAGGAGCATCACTGCTGGCCTCCCTGTTTAGTCTATGTGGGCATCTCACATCCTCATGGTATATCTCACAAAGAATACACCACACTCCATGGACATAAGTTAAAAACTCATGGGAGAAGACTTGTTGCTTCATGAAAATTACAGTGCAATGGGCACCCATATGCTTGGTTAAATTCATAGCTTAGATTTGCCAAACCACTTCTAATTAATCTATTTATGGTTTCTTTATATGGTACGCATGTCCGTTTGAAATTAGTCCATTTTTTGGATCTAACAGTTAGATAAGTAGTGTTAATAGAGATAACTTGGTGTGGTCATATTAACTGAAACAGTAAATACCAGTCTTCCATTGAACAGAAAGAAATTCCTGCAGCTTTAGCTATTTGGTGACTTGTTATAATTCTCTCCTAATTCACACCAAATTTTGCTAGACAAATGTTAAAAGCACTTATTATGAATAGAAAATTTTTAGTAAGAGTTTTGATATATCTTCCTACTTTCTTCTTCGTAATCCTTTCAACTACTTTATAAGGTAAGTATTAAAGGAAAAAGCACATGTAATTTTATCTTGAAAGCCTAAAATATAAATAATACTCTCTTTATTTAATACTAATTAAGAGGATTTGTAGGAATAAAAAGTAGAAAGATTTATAATTATTCATTTATTAATACCCTCTTACTGCTATTATTAATATATTTCTGACGTAATTTTTAATAAAAATATTTTATTCATTGATTTCATGACCAGTCCCCTAAAGAAGACTCATTTTGTTTTGATAATTTCATGTGGTTGACCCAACCGGAATCATGCAGGCAATTTACCTGTGGCCAATCATGAACCGGATAACAATTCCCTTCTCACGCTCTAATTGAAGAAGCTGTTCACCTGATCAAAACGTGGACACAAAACACAATTTCCTAAGAAATTAATAATGGTCATTATTCCCTTAAAAATAGGGATGAAAAATTCTGGTAAAATTTGAATTAAAATCTATCACCGGGAACACCAAATAAACTCTTACACTAAGAGAGTTTTATTCACCTTGAGGCATCCAAGTCTCTCTAACTGAATCACGCCTCTTCCTGCTACTGAAAGCAGTGTTTATGCCTATCACTATAAATGCCTTCTTCCTTGGAGTAGATCCTTCCTCAGAGATCCCCGAAGTGGTGTTTGAATCCGAGATCCCAGTTTCACGAGAACTCCTAGCTGCAGCTAATTCCATCTGAAGCATCGACACTTGCTTGTCTAAAGTTCTGGCATGCCTCCCAGGAGTTCAAAACACCCATTATGATTATTCACAAAAAAAAAAGGCAAAAAAATTCCATTTCAAACAAATCTAGCAAAATGGAAACAGATTTGAGGTGGCACTCACTGAATGGCTTCATGGGTTTTGTACAATTCGTTCATTGCATCCTTAGGTTGCATCTGATGTTCGAAAATTGAGAAACAGAAGAGGTTTCAAAAATTAAAGCAAAACACTCGTGACAAAATCCATTGGAAATATAAGATGATTAGATTAAACTTGCCTTTTTGCTAGCACAGTCCCCTGAAATCACTTGAAGTTCTTGTTCACGCTGATGCTGAGCAATAAGCAAACCGTTTGATTCAGGTGGCTCCCACATCCTGCACCCAAAGACAAAAACCTCAAGGATCGGATCATAAAGTTTAAATCTTAAATAACAAAACCCACAAACCCAAGTTTCCAATTCTAGAACAGTCCGACTCAAAAGCTCAAAAGAATCATTTCCTATACGAAAAAATAAAGAGAGAAAGAGATAGATAATAACCTGCTTGTGATGAGCATACCAAGAATGAAGGAAAAGACAGAGAAAATAGGAATCCATGATGCAGAGATTTTGGTAGAGCTACGAGTTTTCATCTTGGCGTTGTTCTCAAAGAGAGAGGAGTGGAAGATGAAGAAGATGATTAAGGATGCGGAAAACGTTGGTGGGAATGTCAAACGAGGAATTGGTCTAATGGCTGCAAGAACTGGCAATGGAATTACGTTTTATATCATTAAGTGTTATGTGAGTTTTGATTTTTAAATAGAAAGGTTACAAAATTTGGAATCTAACGGTTGTTGTAAATACATAACGATGACTGTTAAATGTGTGTGTGGGATGATGATGACTAATGAGTCTCGTACACGGTTTGTGCTGTCGTAGATTGTCAAAGGTTTGGCAAAGTAATGTCAAATGTGCGTGCCTCGTAGGAAACGGCGTCTCATCTCTCGCCAGTCAAGCATTGAACTTATGGTGCTCATGTAAGGACCATTTTGTGACTTTTAGATATAAATGAAATTAAATGGAATGTGATGCAATGAAATGTGCTAATATTGCCAAAGCACGTAAAAAAATAAAACGACTTCTTGAAATATTTACTGTCAATAAATAAGTCATCTAAATTGTGATTTTAAAATATTAATCTCCAAAAAAAAAAAAATTGTCAATAAATTTATTGCATATATAAAAGGATAAGCTCATTTAAATCTTCTAATCTAAACTTGTTCATCACCTTTATTTTGATTGGTTAATGTTAAGATGTCTGGCGCAGCTGTGAATTTATATTTATTCTGCTACGACATTGAATATTAATTCACAATGAATCTTTCATTCAGCTGCAAAAATGAATAATTTTAAAGGAAGAAAAAGAAACTTGCATAATATTAAAAAAAAGTTGTGGTTCAACTTGTAATTTTCAGAAAAAGAGACTTACCTTATAAAAAGAATATGTAAATGACTTTATTTAAAATTTATGTAAATGTATAGATGTCACTTAATCTAACAAATTGAAACTATATTACTTATTTTTAATATTTCTTAACATCAACAATTAAAGTGATCAATGTTTATTATTTTTATGGACTAAATTTTTAAATCATAATTTTAAGAACTAATTATAATTTTAAATAAAAATTTATTATATGTGTAATTTCTATAGTGTGCATTTTGACACACGTTAAAAATTTCTATATTTATTATTTAAAATATTTAGTAAATTATGGTAGGATGAATTTTGTTCATATTTTGAAAATTTAGGATATCAAATGAAATTATTTCTTCTGTTTATGTTAAAAATATTTAAATGATAGAATTTCATTAATTTCTTTTTTTTTTAATTACTATTCGTTGCTCATTGTCCTATTTTTTTTCCTTTGGTTTTCCTTATACATTTTTCTCTACATCTAAATAAATTACTATTTTGTTTTTTTATTTTGTGCCTAAGTTATATTTTTGAGGTCCCGAGACAGAATAAGATACGCAGTTAGATGTGTTTGGTGTCATGTTTAAAAATCCCCAAACCATGATTTAGATAAAAACTATAAGAATTTACTACAATGTACTAACATGGTAAGTTATCATCTTATCATAAATTATTAAACTAACAAAAAACATTATTTTTATAATAATTAATTAAAAATAAATAATATGTCTATGTAACAATAATAATAAGAGTAACTGAGTGAGTAATTATCTAATAGATTGATGGCAAAAAATTAGTAACTAAATTAATTAAAGTTTAACAATGTATTTGGATCTTCACATGATTTAATATATATGAGATAAACATCAATAAATATAAAATCAATTAATGTAACAATTGAATTATCTTACATTATCCTTATATGATTGTGCATATTAAGTTTTACATATTTTAAATATTTATAAATATTATTTTAAATCAATATTTATTTATACTTTAAAAATATGTTACACATCAAAATAAAGTAACATAATGGGGTAACTACTACTTTTTTATATAAAATTTTATAAAAATAATATATTTATTAAAATCAACTATTGAATTGGTTTATCTCATATTTTATAGAAAAAAATTAAGTGATATAAATATTTAAATGTAATACTTAATGTAAAAAAGGTTTTCTTTATATATATATATATATATATATATATATATATATATAAACAAATAAATAATTGATCTTATTATATTATATTTAGATTTAAAATAAATAATTTAGCTTGTAAATTTATATTCTATTTGAAAAATATTTAATGACTAATATTTATTTTATAGTGATATTTATATTTTACTAATTTATAAAAAAATATTAGATTACCTTATATTACAATAAATAAATTACGATTAATAAAAATGAGTATGCATTTGATGAATACAAAAATTTAAATTATTATCAATATAAGTACAAAAATTTCATACAGATAATCTTTTAAAATGCAAGTAAAAATTTTAGTTTATAGTTAAAACTTTATTTGCTCGTTCTTATCGTTAAATATCTTATTAATTTTAATGAATTTTATTAATAAATTTGACATTGACATATTTTCATGAATTTAGTATTTATTATTTTTAATTTATACAAATTTAAAATATTCTTTTTCTAAGCATGGAAATAGGCTGGATTATAATAAACTTTGCATAAATAAATATGACTTATCTAATAATTTTGAAGTTTAAGCCAAATTTATTATAAGTGACTTTTTATTAAATCTAAACTCTTAACATTTTCTAAAGCATACATTAACTTGTTAGGTTTTTTTATAACTTATTTCGTATTGAGTTTAATAAGTCATTAAACATTTTTATAAATAAGTTATTAAATCATCTAAAAAGATATATCTTTATAAAGATTTACATCTAAACAAGTTATAAAAAATATAGTTTAATACTTTGAATATATATAATAAAATTACATGTTTTTATTTTATCAAATTTGTAATTGAAATAACACAAATGCAAATCAGTACATATCAATTATGCAAAAGACTCTAATATAATTCTCTCTTTCAAAAGTATGTAGCATGAATACTCTTCAACTCCAATGTAAATAATTATAATTTATGATTTAAGATTTTTTTATTTTAAAATTTAATTTATTCAATATAATATTTGTTCTTGTTAAAGATACATGAGTCTTCTAGATACTCCTCTGTAGGTGCTCCAGCTGACTCAACTCTATGAGTTGTAGATTCCTCTTTCTAACGTAGGAGAATGTACTTGCAAAAGGTACCTCAACGATGAAGTCAGGATTTAGTTTTGAGCAATAAATGTTATTTTATATTCAAAAGTCAATCCTTTACCTGTACTTCTTACCTTCCTTTTATAGGAGATATTATGGGCTAATGGGTCTCATGAGTCAGCCCTGATTACGGCCTTGTATTTAAGGCAGATAATGGTCTGATTATTACTCTTAATTGGGTTCATTACCTTTAATTATAGTTGAAAGGGTATTCGGTCTATTTAAACTCATGGGGTACTCTATTTCCTTTTTCTGTAGGTAAGACCAAATAGTATCTTATCCGGTACAATATTATATCATAATTTTGATATAAAATTATTTAACATATTATTATAATGTTTATAAATTTTAAATACATCATTTTAATAAGTCTAACATATTTTTTTTAAGTTTAAGCTTGATCTATTTAATTAATTAAACTATTTAAAAAGCCTAAATTAAACCTATTACTTAAATAGGCAAAGCTGAACTATACTTTAAAAAAGCTAAACACCTAGCCTATTCCCATTTTTAAGTCTAACTTTATTCGATAATCATATTGATGTACATTTAAATATGTCACATTATATTTTACATATCATATTATAATAATTATTTATATGACATATTGAAATACATGTTATATAATTATTATATAATATTTTTAAAAATATTTTATGTTTGAAAAAAATAAAATTAATCTATATTTATATAGACAAAATATATATTAAATATAATATATTTTTATATTTACATTTGAATAGTTATAAATTCTTATTTACTTTAATTCTATTGATTATAATTTTCACTTCAGATTCATATTTACAATTTTTTAATGCATTTTAAACATATAATTAAAGTTTATTTTATACTATTACATCCAAAGTCACAAAAGGCATAATTCTTTTTTTATCATTCTTGGTCTTAGGCAGGTTTGTTATGACTCCCTTCCTCTTATTTTTCCTTCTATTTTTTGTAGGAGAGGTACTATCTTGTCCTCGTTGTTCTTGAAGCTGGATCTTTTCTTCATTTAGTTTGACGACATTTTCATGTTTCGTCTCTCAATTTTTTGCATCAGACTTTATTTTGTATGATTGGATCCCTAATATTAATTCCTCGCAAAGATCAAACATTTGTTTTGTTTATTTCTTGGTGCATTTGAAAGGTTTGTTGTCGTTTATATTTCTCTTGGTCAGCAACTCTGTGGCTCTGGAGGTTAGAAGAAGTATGAACTTTTTATTATATTTTTACATTCTCTAGCTTAAGTTTAAGCTTTTATAATTTTGTTTTTGTACATCATATAAAAAGTTTCATACTAATAAAAATTTACTATATTTATTGTTAATATGAGACTTTGTTCGCATGTCCTAATAATTTTTACTTCAAACAAAGTCTTCTAACATTAGAGTCTACTTTGGAGGGGTCTTTGCTTTCTCTGGACTCTCGAGACACTCTTATCTTCTCTTGGAAGTTCACCCGCACTAAGCCTCCCACATAAGGATTCATAGTTCCACCCATATCCACGTAGTATTATCTGGAGATCCAGACTCTGATATCACTTGTTAAAATAAATATGATTTTTTTTACTATATCTCTATACTAATATGATATTATTCACTTTGTACCTAAATCCTTTATTTGTTTGAAAAGAAAAAAAATAAAATTTAATTAAAAACTATTAAAATATTTTCTCAAATATTTTTTATTCAACTAAAATATAAATAAAATTAAAAATGGATGGATAAAAATAATAAAAAAATGAAGCGTTTGAAAAGAAAGGTAAGACGACATTTGACATGTTATAAATTAGTTAGATACTATTCTTACTTTGTTACTATTATTTTATCATAATTCTTTATTAAAGATTTTAAATTTCATTTATAATTTATCATGCTGCTTTCTGCCTTACACGTATGTACTTTTATATTGTAAATTGTGGTCACATCTTTCGGCGTGCAACGTAGAACTAAGTGAACTTACATAAAAATTGAAATGATCGTCCGTATATTTATTTAATGTATTTATTTATTTTCAGAATGGGGTGCATGAATGTCCTGCGATTGCAAGTGTCTACCCACACTAACTCCGACATTGATGATGGTCTTTACGAGAACAAAATTGTCACTATACAACATATATTATTCTCCCAACTCAAAATACGCACCCATATCTCGCACCGTTCCGCCAATATGCATCTGCAGTTGCCATTTCTGATTCTACAATTTACTGCCCGTTAGACAAAAGTTAAACAATTAAGTATACTTACAGAGTAATATAATAAATTAAAAAATGTAATAATTAATAATTATTTAAATTGAAATTCATCATGGTTTGGAGGAATGGCAAAATAGTTATATTTTAAAAATATGATTGCGATCCTCAGGGGATATAATTCTGTTGAGATTACGGACATGGCAAGATGGAGCGAGAAACAGATTAAACGAGGGCAAAAGAGTAAAATTAGGAGAGTTTGCATCGACTTCGGTGTCTGTTATCTCCTTTGGTCGCAGCTCGATCGAATCGGACACAACAAACTTTATATAGAGAGAGAGAGAGAGAGAGAGAGAGAGAGAGAGGAACACATGATCTCTCACACTCTCTCACACACGCACAACAACAAACCCTGATTTGAATCCAGTGCTCTCTCCCTATGTTTATAAACCCTAACCAAATCCTGCTCATTCTCATTCCACAGACTAGTTCACGTGTCTTCTGCTCTCATCAACGCAACCATGCCTCGTCAAGCTGTTTCGCCGCCACTGCCGCACCCTCGCCCTATGGACCCAAAAATATGGCGAGCATGCGCCGGTGCCTCCGTTCAAATTCCCACGCTCCATTCTAGGGTTTACTACTTCCCTCAGGGGCATTTCGATCAAGCCTCGTCCGTTCCACGCCACCTTTCTAAACTCCTTCGCTCCAAGTCTTTTATTCTCTGTCGCATAACCTCCGTCCAATTCCTTGCCGATCCTCTCACCGACGAGGTTTTTGCCAAACTCGTCCTCGTCCCTGTCTCTGATTACTTCGCCGCGCCTTCCTCTGTTCCTCCAACCGCTGCCTCCGACGATGACGTCGTCTCATTTGCCAAGATTCTCACGCCGTCCGACGCCAACAATGGCGGCGGATTCTCTGTTCCAAGATTCTGCGCTGATTCCATCTTCCCGCCGCTCAACTTCCAGGACGACCCACCCGTTCAGAATCTGTCTGTCACCGACGTTCACGGCGTCGCCTGGGAGTTCCGCCACATCTACCGCGGCACTCCGCGGCGTCACCTGCTCACCACCGGCTGGAGCAAGTTCGTCAACAACAAGAAGCTCGTCGCCGGAGATTCTGTCGTGTTCATGAAGAACTCTAGGGGAGGGCTGTTCGTCGGGGTTCGCCGTGCCACGCGCTTCACTTCCGGAAAAGGAGGCGGCAACGTGGGTTCCAACTGGTCCTTGCAGATTGGAGGGATGGAAAACAGGGTCGAGGAGGAGGAGAAGGAAGAAGAAGAAGAGAATTTGAGCGAGGTTTTTTCGAGGGACGGGAAGGGGAAACTGTCTACGAAGAAGGTGGCGGAGGCAGCGGAATTGGCGGCGCTGAACATGGCGTTTGAGGTTGTTTATTATCCTAAAGCTGGTTGGTCGGAGTTCGTGGTGAATGAAGAAGCTGTGAACGAAGCAATGAGTGTCGCGTGGGGTCCCGGAATGAGAGTGAAAATGGCTATGGAGACCGATGATTCGTCCAGGATGACATGGTTTCAGGGTACGGTTTCATGTGTCTCTGTTAACGAGAATGGCCAATGGCGATACTCTCCTTGGCGCATGCTTCAGGTATAACTGTTTTATTTTATTTTATATATATATAATAATTAATAAATAATTTTGGGCTTGATTATGATTTTTGGTGTGAGGGTTTGATGACGATCAGTGAAATTCAAAATCAGATACCAGTGGAAGTGGTAAAATAAAGCTTCTGTATGACTACTACGACCAACCACACTGAGTCTTTCTTTCTTTTGCTTTTTAACGAAAGAAAGAAAGACTAGGATGCGTGCGGGTAGGGCTACAGAGTTTTTGTGGACCACCGAGAACTATCTGGCTAGAACTATGCTTTTGCTTGGAAAATGTTTTGCTATGAGTAGGGTATACTTCTTGGTCTTTTGTGGAGTCTCAGTGATTAACCTGTCATCATTTCATGAGGATTATGTTTCCCATTGGCATCATATTTTACATAGAATTGTAGTTCATTTGAACATAAAACTCATTTGGGTTCAAACCAAGTTTGATAGATAACGCCTAATTGTGTCATTTGATTCACCTAGGTGGTTGATGCTCAGTTGTTGTTGTGTTGTGAAACTTATATGGAATTACAGGTCTTAACTTATAATGAATCTTGACTGAGAATGCTTTTGTGGCTTATGGTTCTATGCTATCATAAAATTTTGCCTTCAAAATGACAGATTTTGGGCAACGAAAAATATATTTCACTTTATTTGCTGATGTAATATGAAAATGGAAGAGTGGCATGTGTGTTTGGGCTTAAAAGTATAGGAGAAGGTTCAAGGTAGTTTGTATATAGAAATTTATAATATGTTTCAAATGCATGAAGAGGTTGAACTGGGAAATGCCAGTGTGATAGTTTTGCTTTGCTGGTCCTCTGTTTAAGGGTAATATTTGGTATTTTTACATTTGATTTATTTTGTTGTTCTGTTATGCCTCTTGAATTTCTACATTTTTGTCCAGACGTTCTAGTTTGTTGGGTTTAATTCATGAGACTTGGGTTGGTTGGAAGAAGTAATTTTAGGATTCGCAAAATTTTATCAAAAGAGCGGATATGATTTTTGTTTGTAAACTATTTTCAGTTTGAAATGTATTGCTATTAAAAATATAATATATATTTTTTATATAAAATGTGCCATATTTCAAAAGAGATATCATATTCATACAACAAAATTATACACTGCATGCAATACACTCTTTTTTTTTCTCTCTCTCTCTCTATATCACATTGTCCATCGTATCCCATATCTCTTTCTTCTCTTCTTATCTCTCTCATATTTGTATGACTTGTCATATATTTAGGTTGTATAAATATTACAACTATGGTTGTGCTAATTTTGATGGAAATGAAGGTACATCATGTCTGCAATTGAAGGAATCTCTTGTGATCAACTTTGGGTAATCATTTATTTGGTTCTACTACCAAATACAGTCTTATTTACACTAGTTATCAGAAGACAGATTAACATATGTTTTCTTTCTTGTGTTGCTATTTATGAATATTGAATACACTTGCTTTGTCAAATCCTACAAATGTTACTGGACGTCTGGACTCTCCCTTCATGCACGAGTCTATCTGTTTTAGCACTCTTGCATGGGAAATTCTTAGGGGATCTATTGCTCACCGTTAATTTCTTGGGTTTGAGTCTTAGATATATGTCTTTGGTGACAAAATATTCTTTTCATTGAAAAAAACCTTTGTTGCAGAAGCTGTGCTCCTAGAAGTTATAATCTATCTCAAATGACTGATACTGGCCATTTATTATTTCTGCTCTTAACATCATAGATTACATGGGATGAACCTGAAGTGTTGCAGAATTCAAAGTGGGTCAGCCCTTGGCAGGTGGAACTTGTTTCCACCACTCCTGCACTTCATTCAGCATTCCCCTCTGCAAAAAGGTTTAGATCTTCTCAGGGTTCTGAGGTGTTTACTGATGGAGAGGGAGACCCCTTTTCCATGACACGATTCACTAACTCAGCAATGTCACCCCTGAATCAGACATTGTTGAGTTATGGTACTTTTCCTGCTGGCATGCAGGGAGCCAGGCATGATCTATTTTCTGCACCAAGTTTTTCCAACTTTCCAAGTGATGCGTCTCGTCTGTGTATGGGTAATTCCTTGGGGAACAACATGGTGCCAAGGCTGACAACATTGCCAACAGAGCTAAATGTTGGCAGTCCTCAATCTGACAACTTGTCACCAAATAGCAATAGTAGTTTGCATTCCTGTGCCACAGAATTGGTTGGGAATCACAACTGCAACTCAACAAAACCTGGGAATCGCAGTTTTCCAAGTGATACATCTCGTCTGTGTATGGGTAATTCCCTTGGGAACAACACGGTGCCAAAGCTGACATTATCAACAGAGCTAAATGTTGGTTGTTTTCAATCTGATGACTTGTCACCAAATAGCAATAGTAGTTTGCATTCCTGTGCCACAGAATTGGTTGGGAACCACAACTACAACTCAACAAAACCTAAATCCGTATCGATTCATCTATTTGGTAACCTCATTCAAATTAACAGTGTTGAATGTGATCTGCATGGTACTGGTCTCACTGGAGTCGATAGCCGCAAGGGCTGCAATGAAACTGAAGGCATTAGCAACCCACTGGATGATTCTTTGGCTTGCTCTAAATTGCCTGACAGGCTTGATGACCAATGCCAAAGCGCCTCAAAAGTTGGGACATGGTACTTCTCAAAATAGCTGTGACTATGTCATGCATACAAGTAGCTGTACAGGTATGCTTATAGCTGAGTGAATTGAATTTCTCACCGGAAACAAATCAAATAATAAAATCATCCATCGATGTTTTACTAACAAATTTTATACTGAAAAAATGGATTATGTTAGCTCAATGGTATTTATTGTTCTGTTTGTAATCTTGTTTGAACTTTTGACTTTATTTTTTAAGGATTGTTCTAACCAAGTGCTACGTAGATTTCATCTCATATATACTTATGAATTGGCTAATTGACAACATAGATTTAGTTCTGTGATATATTTATGGTGCTTCAATTTCTGGTTGATTTTGATCGACTTCAATTATAATTTTTGTTATAACTGAACTACCTTTAGCATTTATAATTATAATTTTTGTTACAACTGAACTACCTAAAGTGATAATTTGTTTTTTATTGCAATACTGTAAAGTGGAAAACCGCAATGTGATTTCATCCTACTTGTTTAGATTATGGCATCACATAATCGATGTTATCGCATCATGGCAGCAGTTGAGTGATCTAAATTCCTTAGCATTCTAAACATGTTCGTTGTCTACCTGTTTGCTGACTGTCTGAGTTGAAATAAGCTTTTAATCCATGTAGAACTAAGATTGTCTTGTCTAATTCCTTTTGTTTTTTGAGAATAATGCATCTCACAGCCAAACTAAATATACCATATATTGAAGACAAACTGACTGACTAAGTGAACTGCTGAACGTTTTGGTTGTGTGACTATGATTATCCTCTTTGAAATTTGCATAAATGCAAGATAATAAATGAATGCTTATTTTGATTATTCAGTCCTTTGTTGGGGAGGAAGAAAGTTGCAGCTTCTTATTGCATGAAATGAAAAGGCTAAAAAGGGGAATTTGTAGTTCTCGCCTCTGAAGTAAGTGTCTTTATATTATTGAACATCTAATACTCTGGTTACCTTTATTTGTTGTTTGGTTCAAGAGCATTCCATGATTATGTGACTGAAATTCATGTTTCAATTAACTTCTTGGTACTTTCATGCAGGTACTTGACGCTGGTAGGAAGCTGACTCCCCTTTTAACGTTGTATATTTAGTATGCTGGTTTTCCTTTGCTCGTGTTGTCGAAACTTGGAACAACGAAACTAACTACTTTTATAGTTGGCCAAGTGAATGATGTTGAAGTCTTATCATTTTTTATTATTTCAGTGTTAGGATTTGACTGTGGCGTGGAACATTTGATGGTGCTGTGGTAGTATTAATGCATATTTGCGGTTTGAAATTTTATATATTATTCTTTATGTCGTTTCTGCGCTGTTATTGGTTCCTTCTTCCGTTTTATATAAACAATTATATATAATAATTTTTAATTAAAAATTGCATAATTTAATATATTGATATTATTAAATGTTTAATTTTAAATGAAATTGTATTGTGTGTGTGTAAGTTTTTATTATGTGAAATATTGCATAAATTAGATAAATTGTTTTAAGTATTTAACTAAAATCAATAATTATGGCTATTATTAGAAAAATAATTAAATTTTTAAGCAACATATTTTGAGATTAGAAATGTATATAGCAGGAAATAAAAATTAGTATTTCTGTAGTTTGCTATAGAAAGTGATTAAAACAAGGATTAAGATAGCATTTTCCTTTCGAAAATGTTGTAATTTTAGTTTAACAACAGTGCATTTTAGGTTTTCAAATCTGATATCATATGTTGCTAAATTGGATTATTTTCCGAACGATGTGGCATGGCTAAGGAAAGAAGTTTGATGGTTTTATAATTTTCTAACTTAACTAACCTGTGTTTCTAACTTAACTAACCTGTGATGAGTGCAAAGCCACTTTAAAAGTCTCAGTCAGAAATTTCAACCTGGGATGGTGCTTTTCAAATTTTTGCTTGCAATGCAGTTTTACGACCCACACAATGTGCAAGCAGAGGCGCAAGCAGAGAGTGCCTCCCTGCTCCTCGTGACTTATCTTGGTCTTCATCCCCGATCCTTGTCATGGGATATTTCTGTTCTTTGTCAAAAATTGTCATCCCTAATTCAAGTTAAAAAAATAGTGATTGCTATTCTACCGATTCATTTTTACATCCACAGTTTCGGCGCAGATAGCTGAGTCTTTTTCATCAGCGTTCGATCATTGAGTTATTACTCACTCTTCTTTCAATTTAAAGATTTTAACCTTACTAATTTCACGTAAAATGATAATCTCAAGTTCTATATGATACATAACTTAGAGTAGTCATGTCATGGGTATAATTTATAATATACTTGTTTAAAATAAGAAATAAATAACTGACTAAAAAGTTACAAATTTCTGATATACTAAAGTCTTAATCCCATCAAAATTTAAATTATTTTGAAATATCGTTTTAGATTTTCCTACCCAAATGCTAACTATTGTTAGGATTTATAACTATTTGGTTATTACTTAAAATTCTTTTCTTGAAAGATACTAAATGATTGGTAAAATATATTTTAGATGTTTTTAATTTATTAGATAAAGATAAAAAGAAGAAGGGTTTTTAAACTTAATGAAAATAACAATATAAATAATTAAAAAAGTGTCTCTATTAATGAAAGAAATTAGAAGACACAGAATTTATAATTTGCGCGAGAAAAAATTATGTCATTCACTCAATTTTCCTAAAATATAAATATAATAAAATTTTATTAAAAATTAGTTAGTAATTTGTGCTTGAATTTTATTTTAAAATAAACCCACGATATATTGGTTGAAACTAGAAGGAGGCAAGGAAAGAAAACATTCTACAACACACAACACTCCAACACAACCTCTGTTGTGCCGAAAGAGAGAAGAGAAGCAAAATGGCTGCTTTTCTTACGAATCAATCTTGGTTGGCTTCATGTCCATGTTCTACTTCCTTCTCTTCAATGCCCTTTACCCTACAACCCAAATTCCTACCATTTCCATCTCGCTCCATTTCAGGGTTTTCAATTTCCTGTGTTAATCGAAGGGCCCTTTTCAAATCTTTTCTCGCTTCCCAAGATTCCCTTTCAATTGTACGCTCTCACTCTGTTACTTTCTTATTTCTTGTTTGAATCTTGCATTTGTTGTATATTTTGTTTCAAAATTTTATTTTAATTTGTGTTAGTATGCAATCATAAATCTGATATTGATGCATATCAGAACTAAATAATTAATCATTTCTACTTATGTTTGTGTGTGATTCATTGTTATGCAAGTAGCACATAGAGTTATGCCTTTGGTTTGTCACAAGTTTATAACCATCAGAAGGTACTGCTTTTCTTGTTACCATGTTATAATAGATATTGAATCCTCGAAATTTCCTTCTGCCTCTTACCTTCTTGTATGCTCCTGTATGATACTGACAAGTAATATGATATCATAATATCATTACTTAAAAAATTAAAATAATTTTGATATATACAGATTCAGTTGCTTTCAGGCATTATTGTATTTTTACAGCTCTTTCTCTTCCTCGTCAACAATGCATGTGGTAAAATCGCTAATTCTCTTGATGTTTGTTTACTTTTAGCTGCAATAGGTTGCTTTTGTTTTGGTAGATGTTGCTTGCTTAATTTTATCCCTAGCTACATCCTCTTTCTGTCTTGTCCTCCACAGACGAATGATGAAACAGAGGGGACTTACAATGATTTAAGAGGGACAGATGATTATGAAGATCAAAAACCTTTACCCAGCTTAATGGTTCTCGTTGAAGCATACAGGGAAGCCTTTCTTAATGGGGATGAAAAAACTGCATCTCGAATTGAAGAGAGAATGTATTCAATAGCAAATAAAAAGAATGAATTGATTCAGAAAGTATCAACTTTATCGGCTGACAAAGTTGCTTCTAAGGAGAAATATCTTCGCTTACAAGCAGATTTTGATAATTTTAGAAAAAAATCTGACAAAGAAAGACTAAACATCCAATCCGATGCCCAACAAGAAGTCATTGAGAAACTCTTGTTGATGGTGGACAATTTTGAGAAAGCCAAACAACAGATTAAAGCAGCAACAGAGAAAGAGAAGAAGATTGATGCAAGCTATCAAGGTATTTACAAGCAGTTTGTGGAGATTATGAGGAGCCATCATGTTTCTGTGGTAGCAACAGTGGGCAAGCCTTTTAATCCCTTAGTAAGTTATTTTTGAAAATCTTAAATCCCTATGTTGATCTTATATGAGGAATATATATATATATATTTTTTTGTTTTTAATTGGTAATGATAGTTGAAACAATTTCACACAGAGAAAGAATGCATTGTCATTAATTTTTGCTGTGTTCAATATCAGACAATTGTTTCCCCATTCTCCCATCTACCAGTAACTATAAGGAAGAGGAAAGACTAGAATTTTACTTCTAGGATAAATGCATGTGATCTCACTGCCAACATTTTTATGAATTGAAAAAACATTTTCACGAATTGAAAAAAAGGAAAAATCAATTAAATGAGACATATGTTTGGGGGTTTCTTGATCTTGAAAAGAAAGTTTTTGCTAGAATTGGTTTTGGAAGAATCAAATCATTTTTTTGTTTGAGAAATTTTTTACATATAATGTGAGTGGAATTATTCTTGTTTGGGTATTGTTGGTGAAAACCATCCTTGAACGACAAGATTGTTTTCCAACTGTCATATATATCTAATGGCTAGAGGCTGAATTTTTTTCCCCTTCAAATAATATTTTTATGGTTGACGAGATTCTCTAAAATAACCTCTTTTCATTGTCATCATGCTGCTCATTTTGCACGCCTTTAGAGGACTTTCACTGCAATATATGCTTCAAACGAAAATGTGGACATTGTTCCCGTCTTCGGAAGCTATATTTGATGAAAGCTTACATAAATTATCCACATTACTATTTTTTAATCTGTTTTTGGATTACTTTTGATGTAGCTACATGAAGCCATTGCACGGGAGGAGTCCGTGGAGTTCAAGAAAGGGATTATAATTAAAGAAACCCGACGTGGTTTCTTGCTTAGAGATCGAGTTCTAAGGCCAGCACTTGTCAAGGTTTCCTTAGGGCCCGGCAATAAGAAATTTCCAGCATCTCCTGACAAGAACATGGAGCAACCTTCAACAGCTGCTGGAATAGATGAAAGATAGTCTCCTGAATTTCTCATTTATTCATTAAGAATCTAGTTCCACCTGCCTCGCCGATATCTTGTCATTGGTCAACTTGAAATGCTTCTAGTGTTCAATATATCGGTATTTTTGCCCCAGGTAAGTGTAATCCCCTGTAGTATGGACATCACAAATTTTAACTTGTGTGCAACTGCACTGCAATTTTCGTTCCACCATGGAAAAAGGAAATTAATTTTGATCACGAGAGCTGAGTTTATTTTGCAATCCATTTTTACCAAAACCAAAAATGGCCCTTTCTTCTTGAACTTTTCTGGTGTTATTGCCCCTCGTATCAAGATGCATAATGAAGGGAAATACTAGAGAAATCTTGACTGTTGAAACTTAATTTTTCATTTGGTAACCAACCAAAAATCTACCACAGTTTGAGTTCTGAAAAATAAGTAGAGCTCACATTTTTTGGCCTGATAACTATGTTAATGTCTAGCGTTAGAACGCTCTACTGATCTCTTGCAAAATCTTTTCATGAAACCATGGGGCAATGCTGAATAAATTTAGAGAGTAAGAACTCTTATTAGGGAAAACTATTTTTATAGTAATGAAAACCAGTCTATAGCTCAATATTATTAACGTTCATTTATAATTGGACTATGAGCATAATGTGGGGAATTAATTTTTCACTGTATCATATACCATCTTTCCTACTGTGATTTTTTTATTTATTTCTAATATATCAAATTTAAATGGGATCATAGTCCCTGCTCGTAGCACCCTGGACTATTAACTGTATTTTGTTGTATATTCATGTTGGCATTGACTATAACAAAAATACTATGTCAAATCACATTTTTTCGTATGGGTTAATAGTAAAATTTTATTAAAAAAAGAATTATTTATTGTATTTTTATAATTTCAATATAATAACTATATTTTTTTATAAATTTTTTTTATTTGTAAATGTTTAAACTTAGTCTTTAGACTAAGGTTAATAAAATCTTTTTGGTATTTTATATAATATAATTAGGACATCATTTTGGTAACACTGCCGTTTCATATAGATTTTCACAAAAAAAAACTCGGGAAGATTCACAAGAGCAATAATGATGTCGGGGTTGAAAAATATTTTTAACTTGTGCATATATATTACTTTTAATTCTATAAAAAGTAGTTATATATGTCATAATTATATTTTAAAAATATTTATAGTATTAATTGGTATTTTAGGCATTAAATGAGCGAATTCATTTACACAGGTAAAAGGTGATTATCATGAAAATTCAAATTTTACAATAAATAAGAATATAAAAAGAATTTAACAGTTAATATATTTAAAAATAGATTTTTGTTTTTTATAATTTTAATAAAAATGTTAATAGTTATTTTTTTATGAATAGAATTGAAATTAGTATCAAACCAGGTGAGCAGTTAGCAGCTTTTTTAGGGCGAAAAATCTCGCGCTGTAAGTACGTGAACAAGGACTAGGTTCCATGAGAATAGCCAACCATCAACATATCCAATGCCATGATTCATATTTTCACATGACAAATTGTTGGATGCTGACATAGTGATGGAAATTGGATGAATTCAAAATGTGATCTATGATAGAAAGAATCAAAGGAAGAGAATACAAATTATACAGATAGATAATAGAGGGAGGACAATGATGAAATCACCAAAAGAAAGAGAAGACCAAAACGACAAGAACATCGTCCCAAGGACTCATTGTCGATCATGTATTTACACACCATGTTGCCTAATTCTACCTCAGCTAGTTCTACTTTTTGGGCAATATCTGAATAATTTGATATGTTGATCTACAACCGACTACTTTACGCTTTTCTGATTTAGACAATTTCATAAATGATTGAATAAATTAACTGAAAAATTCAACAAAATTTAATAAGCTTTTGACAAACTTCAAAAGCAATTGCTGGATAAATCATATGACAGTCTGATATCTTCCCTGAATGTATGTTTGAAATAAAATTAGCAATGCATAATATGCATTTTTAATAAATAAGAAAGTTTATAGCATATACTAAAACATAAGGCAATTTTTCCAATATTTCAGATAAGGTGTTTGTATAATAAAAAAATCTAGTATAATAATTAAATGAAGAAATAATATAATAAATCAAAACCGAACCATATATGAATGACAAATCTCAAGTAAATGTGAAGTTTTAAGATAATGTAGTTAATGAATGAGTGAATATTGTTTTTCTTCGGTATTAAAGTTTGATATATCTCTGGCAAAATATAGTTTGACAGTAATTATATTGTTTACGTAAGTTGCACTACTTTTCCTCTTCAATAAATAACATTGTTTTATAGATATAAATCTTGATTAGTACAGGTGAAACTTAATCAATGCTTAAACTATTAGTTAAGAACTTCATATTCTGTTTAAGCATTTTAATAGAAACAGAACAGAACGCTCACCACAATGGTGTTCAATCTATTAATCACGGTCATTTTAAACCAAGCCAAATTATTATTAAAATTGTTCCTAAACAGAATTCAATTTGCATCGACAGATGGGCATTATAAGATTTTTAAAAAATGTGACGTTCCAAAAGAAAAATTATAAAATATATATAGAAAAGGGGGACAATCCTGTGAAATGTTGACCATTATCAAGAACCCCACAGAATGAATCTAGCTCTCATTCCGTCCAGGTAAAGCTAACCTTGGGAATTTCTCTGGTCGTGTCGGGTTATACTAAAACCATCCCATAAAATAATATTTATTTATATTTTGTCCAAGTTGAACCACCAACTTTACTATTCCACTTTGAATTCCCTAACAAAAGCTTCATTCGCATGGCATTAACAACACATTCATAGCTCTCTCTCCCTTAATCACATCCAGGTTCATTCATTCATCATCATCTTCTTCTTCTATTCTATTACCCTTTCACACTCTTCCTTTCAATGCATTCACTTTCTTCGCCAACACCAATATCTTCTTCTATCGCATCATCCTTCCCCTGTTTCCTCTGTTCCTGTTGCTGCTGCACCGACCCATAACCTCAATTCCGTTCAAAATACAACTTTTCCCTTTCCCTTTTCGGGTCGACCCATGGATGCTCAACCGGGTCTATCTCTCGGGTTGAGTTCCCCGTTGTCATCACCTGCGGCTCCACTGAGTGACAACTCGTTCTCGTTCATGGCCAATTCCACCCCTTCCGTTCCGTGGCGGTTACATAATGAAAGACACGAGAGCGTTCTGGTCAACGCCAAAGAAGAAGGAGACGAGGAGGGAGGAGGAGAAGAAGAAGAAAATGATGGTGGTGATGAAACGATCAACTTCATGGATCGGCGCGTGTGCGTGAAGAGGCAGATAGAGGAACAGCACATGTGTTTCCCTTCGAAGCGTGTGGCGGTGGAGTCAGTTGTGGGTTGGTGGAACCAGCCACTGGGTGTTGCAGATCCTGAGATTTTCGAAATCATGGAAAAGGAGAAGCTAAGACAGTTCAGGGGAATAGAGTTGATTGCTTCAGAGAACTTCGTGTGTAGGGCAGTGATGGAAGCTTTGGGTAGCCATTTGACTAATAAGTACTCTGAGGGAATGCCTGGTGCAAAGTACTATACGGGTAATCAATATATTGATCAAATTGAGTTTCTTTGTTGTCAGCGTGCATTGTTGGCATTTGATCTTCATCCCAACAATTGGGGGGTTAATGTTCAACCTTATTCTTGTACTTCTGCTAATTTTGCTGTGTACACTGGCTTGTTGCATCCTGGGGATAGGATCATGGGTTTGGATTCACCTTCTGGTGGGCACTTGAGTCATGGGTATTATACTCTTGGTGGGAAGAAAGTTTCTGCTGCTTCTATATTCTTTGAGACTTTGCCTTATAAGGTTAATCCTCATACTGGTTATATAGACTATGAAAAACTTGAGGAGAAAGCAACTGATTTTAGACCCAAGATACTTATTTGTGGTGGTAGTTCCTATCCCAGAGAATGGGACTATGCCAGGTTCAGACAGATTGCTGATAAATGTGGGGCGGTGTTGATATGTGACATGGCTCATATCAGTGGTCTTGTGGCGGCTAAGGTTCTCTCTCTCTCTCTCTCTTTTCTCTTATTTTTTTTCCAACTTAGTTGTTAATTTTGTGAGATCCGATTTAGTTTTCTTTGGAGGGTAGAGGCAATTGTATGGTTTATAATTAGTAAGATAGAGTTTCTTGCTTTTAAATTTTGGTGTAGAACAATTTAGGTTGTACTATCAACCCACTTCTTCAGACTTATTCCTGTCTTATTTCGCGTTTGATGGCAATGTCATATACTAGTAATGGGTTTGGCTTATCTAAAGTGAGGGAATGCACTCTAAAGGATAAAGTCCGGTTATAATTGTTGACTGTGATTAAATACATGCTCATGTATAACAACTGTATAGTTATTAAATTCTCAAGGATTATTCTGCACTTTTTATCCTCTAAAGTGCACCCTCCTCACTTTAGGAGCTAAATTCACTAGTAATATCTATGGAGACAAGGATACAGATTACTGTTTAGTTCTAGCGACTAGGAAACATCAAAAGCAAAATTACCTCCTCTTTCTTTGTCTTTTCCTATGATGACATTGCCTTTGTGAATGAAAATTCTATATGAAATCATGTAATTGTTTTTTTTGTTTTCATTAATCTCCTTCAAGAAACATACTAAGGGCTGTGTGGTTCCTGTTTATGTTGTGAGTGGAAGTCAAATTGCCTATGTGGATCTGGAAACATGCATTGATTGAAATTGTGCATCTAATTTTAATCTGGTTTTTCTCATATATAATAGTTAAGTGAAGAAATGCCATGTACGTTTCAACTCTAGTACAGTTTGGCCTTCCCTTGGTCAGTGTATTGAATGTACTGTTCCCTTTACTTGTTTGGCTCTGTGCAAAGGATCTTAATTTCCCATTGCCTATTTAAATGTGTTTTTAAGTATATTAGCAGTTGTTTTTACAGGAAGTAGCTAGTCCATTTGATTACTGTGATATTGTTACCTCAACAACCCACAAAAGTCTCCGAGGTCCTAGGGGAGGTATCATCTTTTATAGAAGGGGGACGAAACCAAGGAAGCAAGGCTTCATTCTCAATCACGGAGATGATAGTAATTATGATTTTGAGGAGAAGATAAACTTTTCTTTATATCCATCATTACAAGGAGGCCCCCACAATAATCATATTGCTGCTCTTGCCATAGCTTTAAAACAAGTTGCAACTCCCGAGTACAAAGCATACATGCAGCAGGTGAAGAAAAATGCGCAGACATTAGCATCTGCCTTGTTGAGAAGAAATTGCAGATTGGTGACTGGTGGGACCGACAATCATCTTTTGCTATGGGATCTAACAGCACTTGGCTTAATTGGTAATTTTTTCAATCATCCCTTTTTTAGCAAATAAATGATAAAAATATAACTGAATTTGAAATAAATATATATTTTTTCATTAATAAGAAAGAATGAGTAATTATTTGGAGTACTGTTGTCTAGAGATGGAAATAATGCAACTACAAAACTGGTCGGAATTTTATGATTTTGTCCCTGACAAATGAAAATTGTATGCTCATTCTACTTGAATTTGTAATGTATTTCAATGCAAGCTAATCTTAATTTCAAACTACTTTTTTTTATAAAATTGCAGAGGACATAAAATGGTACCTTTTATTATTTTTCAGTTGAGTAAAACATGAAAATACCTTTTTGTATTTGATTATATTGGTATTTACATATTTTGTGAAATATGCAGACATTAAGGTTATGTAAACTACAGACATGACCACTTGTGTAAGAAAACCAAAGTCATATAATAATTCTATAGCAACAACAAATACCAGATAAAAATAAATGGGAAATATAACTATGGTGTATGTAGGCTTTCCTTGACCAGCTTTTTTTTTTTTTTTTTTAATTTTTGACCTTGTAGTTTAAACGTATCAATCTTCTCCTCTCAAGGATTATTTGCTAGCACATAACCCAAATTTTATCTTAGATTCTTTTGGACAAATATGCTGGTGAATCACGCATGATTGTGCCTTCCCCTTTTAGACTTTCGAAATTTTGAACAGGAAATAAAAAAGGTAAAACATTCCCCACCTTGTGGTTTTATTGGCAATATTATGACTGAGTGGGACATCCATATGTATTTTGGATAAATTAAACTGAAACATAGTTTCTGAAATCGATCAATTTCTTTAGTTAGGTATTTTCTAATTTAATCTCCTTAATTGATGTCAGATAGCAACTAAGTTTAAGAGATTAGGATAAGATTTAAGAGTTAAGGATAAGTTAAGGCCAACAGACTTGGTGGAATATAAGTTTAAAATCAAAAGTATGTTTGAAGGGTTAAGACAAAGGACTTTCAGGTTGTATATTTGTATACTGGTGATTTGGGACCCAGTTACATTGAAGAAAAAATGGAGACAATGCCAGATATTCCTGCATAAGATATCTAAATTGACCAAGGGTTAAAATGGTTGTGAAAATTTTTTGCTCTTTTAAAACTACTGCATAGTATTCATGGTTTTTGCTAAATCAGTTACTTTGATATCCAGAGCATCCTTATATATTTTTTTTACTTATTTGCTTTCTGATCAAGAGACTCTGTCAGCCTGAATCCGTGCATGTATGTCTCTCCTAGCAATTATTAAATATGTCTTGGATTCTACATATACAAACTTTAAGTTGTGATTACTGGATAAATCATGGTCAGATTAGCATATGTTGCACGAAGTTCCAGCTTGAATTGAATATAGGAAGTTTTCTTTTGCAAATTTAAGATATTTGTTTTAGGAATATCTGTTTCCATTTTATTTTTTCCCCTGTAACTGCATTGTTGATGCTCCTATGACTAAAAAGTTTGATTCACAAGATTCGAGTAATCCAAAAAAGAGATTGGTAGGGACAGGAACCGTTCCTTCTTATTTCAAGTTTTAACATGATAAAGTCCTGTTCAGATTTTGTGTCTATATTGCCTCTATTGTTTTCAATTGGAATAGTAAATATGTTTTAATGGTTATTTCAAATTTTAATCTCCTTTATGAATGTGTTTGTGTACTAGTCATGATTTCAAATACTCCATTTCCTTTCTCTTATTGATTATGTTTTTGAAGTTGACTTGAAATGCTCTCTAAGTCTCTATAATTTTATTATGTAACACAGACAGAAACTATGAGAAGGTCTGTGAGGCGTGTCACATCACTCTCAATAAGTGTGCAATTTATGGTTCTATATCTCCTGGAGGAGTGAGAATTGGTGAGTACCTCTCATATAGCGTATCTGAAGTTATGGTATTGGTGTAGTACTATAGTATCAATATACTTGATTTCTTTGGTTGAATATGTTTGCATGTGCAGCAAATATCTTATGTCTGCCAACTGCCATACCATTTAGTTTAAGTGTTCATTCTCATTGCAAAACTTATAATTGTTTTTAAGCAGCATATCTTTGATCAAAAGACAAAATTGTAATAAATTCCTGTTCGCTCCTTAGTAAATGGTCCTTCCATCCTCACATTTTCTAGGGGAATTAATTGGTGCAAAGAAAGAAATTCACATTTGTCATGTGTACAGCGTACCACTTCCTTGTGCAGGGGTGCATAGGTGATTGTGTATTTCAAACCAAATATGTTGTTATATAATTTCCACATTAGAACATATTACCACTGGGTCTTCTGAATTCCCTTATGTTTTTTTCTTCTTGTTCTCACGTTGCTTTATTTCATTGGTATTTTCAGGTACTCCTGCAATGACATCAAGAGGTTGTTTAGAGGAAGATTTTGAGACCATAGCCGATTTTCTTCTGAGGGCAGCTCAGATTACCAGCATTGTACAGAGGGAACATGGGAAGTCATGCAAAGATTTTCTCAGGGGTCTTCAGAATAATAAAGATATTTCCGAGCTCAGAAGTCGGGTTGAGACATTCAGTTCCCAGTTTGCAATGCCAGGATTCGATACTTGATTTCAAAGTGTAAAGCAGGCATACATCTATTACACAGTTATGTCACGTTGTGGCTTACCATGTTTTGAATTACTTTTGCATGGTAATCCATCGGTTTTTTCCCCTTGTTTTTTTATCTTTATCATAGTTAGCTTATGTAAAGCAAGTATCCAAATGGAAACCGAATCATCATGCAGCAGCCATACATCACACCTCGAGATTGTAGAAATTATTCTAGGTCACTCTTTTCTTCAACCACAACTTTTGTGGCTACTTTTTGTTTATGAAGAAACTTAAGTAATTATATGATACCATTGTACAAGGAATACGTCAAGGGAAGTGATAGTATTTAATACCATTGTAAACATGAAGTGATTTTATTGTATTTGGATATGCTTTTTACGTGCTTGTTCCGAGCCTAATGCATGGGTTATATGCGCTGTGAATTAGAATACAGGAATATCATCTTCCTATTTATTCTACCAAAGTTTATCATTTGTTGTGATGAAGAATAAGAAGCTATCGATTTTAACCATGGTACTTTTAACGGGAGTAAGCTGTTCACCATTGCTTTAGGCTCTGATGAACACCATTTCTGCCCTTCTGGCTTCAAGCATTCTGGATGCTATCCAATACATTACACTCCTTTTTTTTGTCTGTTTTTGCACTTTGAATGCATTATTTTATTGTTTGGTTTGAAAGCATCACTCATGTGGAACCCTTATGAGGAGGCAAGGCATGAATTTGCGGCAAGGGACAAAAAGCACGAGATACGGTTAGAGATGAGAAAGTGACAGCTGAATTATTTGTGGCATATTAAACATCCCAAAACCCCAAAAAGGGTAAGTTGAAAAATTTGGTAACAGAACAAGATTGTGAGTGAGAGAGAGAGAGAGAGAGACTTGTCAGGCAATGGGAGAATGTGGTGAGATGAAGTTTTCATCATCATCATCTCCATTGCTTTCAAAGTGAACCGAATCAGACAAAAGCTTCCCGAGAGCAAAAGAAGTTGCCTTTGACGTTAAAGCAGTCCAGGAATCTCACAGTGCTCTTTTCTCCACAGTCCTAAGCCTCCCTTTCCATTGTTCTTTCAGGACTAGAATGAATGATTAGTCATTTTCTGAGCCAAAACTCACGAGGCCACTCTTTCAAATTCAATGTTAATAAAGAGAAAAATCAATCACTGCCAAGCAAAAGCAACTTAAAATCAACCCCATACTGTGTAGTCATCAGTGTTCCCCCTTCTTATGTCGTGTATAATAGGGGCTTCTCTTTACTACTTTTCTTTCTTTTTTTCACTTTTTTGGTTACCCCTTCTACTTTTTTGTCTTTTTCTTGCGCGGCTGCAATTAGAGGAGGAATCAAAGTTTCTTTCCCAAAGAATTTTAGCTCTCAAGAAAGAAGATAATTTAATTTAATTAATCCATTGTCAATGTTGTTTTCAAATCCAGAACCACAATTCAATTTGAGAACCTTCGTTCTGCTGGGAAAAAGACTTTGGCAGTAGCACCAAAGTTTCAACTACGGTAACTCTGAAGAAAACAAAACAAAAGACGCCAAGTGATAATAATAATTATAAAAAAAAAGGGTTAATAAAAGATACAACAACCCCATCAACTGTTCCTCTACCTCGTTTTTGTTTCTATTTTTTTTTTCTTTTTTCTTTTTCTTTTCAGACAGGTATTTCTGATTTCTCCTCCAATTTCCTTTCTTTCTTTTCACCATCGCTCTCTCAAGTCACTCACTCACTCACTCACTCACTAGTTTGTTTGTTTACAGTTTACCTATGACTGCAAAAGTCCAAAAGCTTCTTTCTTCCTTCAACAATCTCATCAAAGAAATCGTCAAGCTGGGCAACGATGTTATCTGTTCCAGATCTGAGAACTCCAAAACACGCTCTTAGATTCTCCACTCTCTCCCTAATCCCAACCTCACTTTCCCACTCTACTCCCTGAGAACCCCTTCTCTCCAATTCCCCTCTCAGCTCCTCCATAGCCACCTTCGATCTTCGAAACTCGTGCAACAACATTCCCTGCGCTCCGTTCATCCTTCCGATCTCCGCCGCCACCCGCTGCTGCAACCTCGCTGTGGACATCATGAACGCTGATCCCAGGAACAAGCACCCCTCGTACCCCCCAATAACGAAATCCGAGGATTCTCCCCAACAATACACCAACCCATATAGCAATATCATCAGCAACAACGAACTCACGTTCCTCATTGCGTATAGCACCCCTCTGAACCCGTTGAACCCGTTCAGCTTGGACTCGATCGATACCCTCTCCTCGAACCGCAATGACAGAGGCTGAATCCTCGTTTCCATCAATGCCCTGTTCTCTTCCTCCAACCCCACCGCTTCTCTGCGACACCCTGTGATGGCCCTTATAACCTGCTTCATCATCAATCACAAAACAACTCAATCTCAATCTCAAAGGTCGTTTCTTTTTCTTTTTTCCTTTCTGGGTTTTTCTTATGATGATGAGAAACTACATGCAAGGAAATAAAAATATGATTTTTATGGTTTTGTTGTGGCGGGTTATGAAGCTGACCTGGCGTGAGAGTTGGGGTGTGATGTGGCGATGAGAATCGAGTGAGGAAGTGATGTTTGAGGCTGCAGAGTAGTAGTTTTCGATTCCTGAAATGCCAGATTTTAGAACATGGCATGCTTCCCAAAGTTTTGAGCTTTCGTCCATGTACTCATCGAGCCACTTATCACCCACTGGTAGATGGAGCTTTTGGACCAAAAGGGTCAATTGTGTGTGTGAGGATCGAAGAAGGGTAAGTGCCCTTTGGAGGAATTGGATTGACATGAAGTTGGTGTTAAGGAACACTCTCTCTAGATCGTCAATTCCTCTTGTCAAGAACGAGTAGAACCCGTTCACGGAGTTGGTGGAAGAAGGATCCATTTTAAGTTGGCACAGCTGTGTTGGAATTATTAATAAATGGGAAAAAGAAAATAAGAAAAGAAAAGAAAAAATAAAAAAAAAGGGGAGAAAAGTGGATGGTTGGAGTGGTGAAGGGGAAGTGTAGGGGAGAGATGGTTGTGAAGAGTGGGGAGATATTTAAATTGAGAGAGAGTGGAAGCATAAGGGGAAAGGAGAACAAAAAAAGTGAAAAGAATGGAAGAATGGAATATCTTGGAAGCTCAGGTTTCTAAGGTTGAAAAGGATTGTTGGGGGCAATGATGGGTGTTTCCTACAGAGGGGAAAGGATGATTGGTAATATGCCATTTTCATTGTTTAATGGACAGAAAGGAAGAGTGGTAAAAATTAAAATAAAATTAAAAGAGGTTTGGAAATTATAAAGAGCAAAAAATATTAAAGAAAGAAAGAAAATAATGGAGACAAGTATCAGTGAGGGAGATGAGATGAGAGGAGATGAGATGAGTGTGGAAAAGATGGAGAAAGATTAGCCAGGTCAATGACATGAAATCATCTTTATGAATTTTCCTTTTCTTTTTGTGTTTCTGTCAACCTTTAATCAAAGAAATCTCCAAGCCCGTTCAATTTACTTTCATTATTTATATATTATTATAAGTATTAAGGGGGCTAAAAACCGTAGAAGAGGGTGCAAGCGAGATTTTGATATTTTATTCATATTCTTATATATTATAAGTGAGATTGAGATTTTCCTGGGTCATGTTTGACTGGATTGTATCTATAACATCAGTTCTCGGTTCTGATACAGGTCATGCTTTTGTTTTGAGTGCTCTTTGGCTCCTCCTTTCCTCAATTTCTTCCTCGAGCTACTGAAATGTGCTGGCTCTTCACCAACTCTTTTCTATTGAAATTTGCAGTTTTGTTTTTCCTAGATATGTATTGTTCTGTTGATTTTTTCAAAAAGAAAAACTGGAATGATGAGGCTGCTTGTACTTATGTGTTTCGTAATCTTCTACCATACATAAATCAGTCTTTTGAGGCCATATATGCTCTTTTATCACCTTTATTTAATTAGTGTTTCATTACCTTAGTTTTGGGACAAAAGAGAATGATGCTTCCTCATACCCTCCTCTACCCCTCTTAATCAATCCCATGTATTGAAATGAAATATATTTAATTCCAAGCACTAACTTCTAAGTTGTATAATCCAAATCTGAAGTATATCATTTTAATTACATATTGTTCGAGCCATTAGCAAACTAAATAATATAGATCCATGCCATTGATTGAGTAGGCCTTACTACCCATCAAGCGACAGATATATTGGAAGAAAAAAGGAAAAAGATTTTGAGCTGCATAGCTTCATGATTGTTCAGTATTGCAACTGGGTCCCATAGTTTGTGAATCATACCAAATGGGTTTTAATTGATTGATCGTTTTAAGTCACTAATTGAACGCCACGAAATGTTTCCTTTCCTTTATTATATTGACAAAAGTATACTGTAATGTATGTGATTCTTTCTCTTTTTTCTATTTATATGCTCTAATTGCTATTTATAAGGATGACTTTTTTTATTTTTTGATTTTCCTAGTTGGGCGAGAGGGGAATGGGGGACCATTACCTAGCAATCTAAATTATGCATTGGGCAATGTAACATCTTATTAAATTTGGTTGAGACGAGTGCTCGTGGGTTTTTGGAGAATGGGACATCTTAGAAGCATGTTGGTCTTCAAAGATTTCATTGGAAAGTAAATAATGAATTGGAGATGAGATAGGTAAAGAAGAGATTGCACAACAACATTAATATGGGGCACCCCTCACAAGGGGAATGAGGTCACCAATGCTGCCCTTTTTATTTTCTTATACATTCGTGTCTGGAATTTTTCTTCATCACTAATCCTCTCTGTTTAAGAGAATAAGTAACCTATTTTTCTTAAGAAATCGGATTAATACAAATACTTGAGCTGGTTTTTGTGGGAGGGGATGGAAAAAAGTGGAACTAAAGTGGCAGATTTTTTTCCCTTTATTTTTTATTTTATTATTATTATTATTTACAACATTACATATAACAAAAAGTTATATAAAATAAGTTTTTTATTAAAAATGTAACATTTTAAATTATATCTATGCATTAAATTATGTAATTTTTAATATAAATTTAATATATGCATCTTGCAATGTTACACATACTAAAAAGATTAATATTATTATATGAAGAGTTAAAAATATTAAACTTATTTTCTATTATACAAGCAACTAAGGTTCATTCTTTATAAATTTCTATAAAAACACTCATATGAAAAAATAAATAACAAAATAAAACAAGTAAAATAATTTCTAGAAAATAGAAGAGCACAAGTTTATTTTAATATATAAAAAAAATTAATTCATTTTTTAATAAGTACTTACTAAAAATTAATGCAAACTAAAATTAAATTAAATTAAATTAAATTATATATTTCTTTTATTCATCATAAATATTTTAATAAAATAATATACAATTTTTCAAAATTTGTCACCGTCACATTTTGATGCTGATGAGTGACAATCAAATAAAATACCTTGTACTAAATTTAAATAACATTTCTAATATCAATGACATATAATAAGAACTTATGTAGGATGAATTGTTATTAAAAATAATAAGATATCATAAAATTTAACGTATATAAAATATTAAATATTAAAAATTTTATAAAATTTATTTATTTTTCTTGGCAGTGTCCTTTAACACATTAAAAAAATTAAAATAATTTATGGGCCATGAAAAAAATGTTTTATTCATGTATAATTTGTGTTATTTTCACTTTTTGTCATTTTACATTCTGAAGATGAATTAGGGACTAAGCCTCAAACTACTCAAGTCTTTCTATTTTTTTGAAGATGAATTTGGGAGTCTTGCAAATTCTCATGCGTAAGCAACATTTGTGCATTCAAAACAACAAAATCATCCCTAAGATTGTCCAAAACATGTCTGCTAGGATCGAATAATACTAATGTGATAATTTTGTTATAAAAATAATGATGTCAGTATGAAATGAGTGGACATTTAATCATACAAAAGTGTTTTTTTATTGAGACTCATTTTCTCTCAAAGTAACTTATCAAACTATTTGTAATGTCCACTGTTCACCATATTATGCCCAACTCAGTACATTCTTTAGTGAATCAAATTAAAGGAATTGACTCATAATATCCAAAGTTACATATGGTATTGACTTTCATGATGTGAGACCCAGGTCCCTTCTTTTTAAAAATTTAAATAGCATTAATTTTACACTACTGAATATAATTGAAATAAGTTTTAAAAATAATTTTTCTCATATTTATTTATTAAAATGTTGAAAAATTTATTATAAATTAAACAAACAAATAATATTAAACAAACAAATAATATTAAACATTTATACTATTTGCATATCAAAATCTGTCAACTAGTTTTCAATGACTTCGTGTGAAAAGTGTATAATATCTATAGAAGATATTTTCATGATCAACTTATATTTGTGTATGGTAACAATGGAAAGAAATTGTTTACTTGCACAAAATAAGTTTAAGTTTATATAAAGTTAGGAATCCGGATTTCCCATGTTCAGGCGCGAACATGAAAAAATTCTTTCTCTAAAGTTAGGGGTATGAATAAGTCACATTAATATAATTAAAGTGAAATATTATTTTTTATCAAATAGGTCACGTTAATATAATTGAAGTGAGATATTATTTTTATCTAACTTATTTTATTCTTCGTTTGGAACATAATTATAAATACGTAAATTTTGTTACTTTAGAGAAAAGTGTATCTTAATAAAATTCTAATGAATAAAAAGTGTAAACCCAATCTTAGTTAAAACTCAAACAAACACTTAAAAGAGAATCCCTTAGCACTAATATCATTTCACCAAAATAAAGTATGAGTTTAAACTAGTGTGCACGACCTGAAATCACATGTTTATCCTTAAAAAGGTTAATACAATACTTTATTAACCGTATGTCGACGGAATTCTCAACAAACCGCTGATTCAAAGCAAGATGCAAAATTAACTGATTAACATTGCAATCGATTTTGTAAGAATCGAAGACATTTTTACGTCATGGCTTATCTTAAAATCAATAGGCTTTGGAAGCACTTATATTTACCCTCCCCAAAATGAAGAAAACAACAAAGTAGCAGTAGTACCTACAAACTGCAAACATAGAACTAGAGTATTTAAGGCTTCTATTTTCATACTAAACCAAAAATTAAAGAAACCTTCCATTCTTGCGTGAGAAACAAAACAACTAATGGGAATCCAAACGTTGCTTAGTCAAAAGGAGGAGTTGAGGATATAGGATCTGGTGGTGGGCAAGGGCTTGTTTGTTCATCTATGGTAAAGGTTCCATTTCCACAATCAGATAAGAGAAAACTCCAACGATCCATGTGGGGATCAATGAAAATAACCAAAAGGAACAATGGGTAGTAATTGGAATTGCCTTTAAATATTCCATGGTGGAGGAAGAGCCAATGAGATGTAATGAGTCTTTGTGCATGCATTGCATTGCAATTTGCAATATATGTAATAAACGGTGCCAATCCTTATGTCGGTCCATTCATTGACCGAAAGTAAACACATTGGACGGATAGATTTGTGTGTCCAAATCTCTTTCATCCCCATCATGATTTTTACCTAGAAAGTCTCTATAGAAGAATATTTCATTTTCTCCTTAATACTCTTCTTAGATGGACACAACTGGATGGTCCACAGCTTCTAAGAATCGAATATGATACAGAGGAATGATTGTTTACATAGAAATTTCAGTGGGAAAATTTATCAAATTAAAAGGGTAGAGGATTGGAAAGAGAGAGCATACATATCCAACCATTTCAGCCAGTTAGGCTATACCTTGGTAAGTCTAATCTTGACAGGTTGCTTATCGTATTAACTTTCAATTTAATTGGGTTTCCAGGGGACCACTGACACTTCTTTCATTCTTCTTGGTCTTAAATTTTGATGAGAGAATTTCTATAAATGCCCATTTTGGTTTAGTACAATTTTAAAGGGTGTTCCAAGCCTAACCTTAAATGCTTGTTAAATTGTGCATCACTTTCAACCCTATCTAGCATAATGTGGCTTTTCATTAATGTAATTTGAGTTTG